GGTGGGGTGTGGTGATGGCAGGTGCGGATGGGGCTTTGGAGGAAAGGAGAAGGGAGGGGGAAGGCGGGCAAGGAGGTGGGGGTGAGGTGATGGTATGGGGTGGTGCTGACGTCATGCATGGTGCAGTGAAGGAGGAAGTGCAGGCCATGGATGACGTCAGCATGGGTGGTGACGACGTTAAAGTGATGGCCATGCCATTGCGTGGAACCTATTATGGGGCACCTGATGGGGCACCTGATGGGGCACCTGATGGAGCACCTGATGGGGCAACTGGTGCCGCATATGATGGTGGTGCAATGGCATATCAAGCGGTTGTTGTTCCCACGGCCCCACATGGTAACCGCATGGTATCAAGTGGTAACACGAGAGCATCGCATGATGACGCCATGGTATTGTATGAGAACGCCATGGCATCTCAGGGTAGTGGCATGCCGCCCAGTGTCAGCATGGGCTGCGCAAGCAGCAGTCAGGGCGGCAGCAGTGGTGTCGGCGGCAGCGTTCTGGGCGGCAGCGCAATGTGCGACAGCGTTTTGGGCGGTGGCAGCGTTTTGGGTGGCACCGGCAGCATGGGTGCGAGTAGAGGCAGGATACGGGGGAGTAGAGGAGGGAGTAGGGCGGGGGGGAGGAAGGGGGGCGGCGGAGGAGGAAGAGAAGCAGACAAAGGGGGAGCAAGAGGGGGAAGCATTTTATCAGGTGGCAGAAGGGAAGGGGTAGAGAGTGAGGGGCAGGTGGTTAGACGGTCGAAACTTGGGACTTGTGTGAAGGCTGAGAGTCAAATGGGTGATGGGAGTGATGAGGAGGAAGATGAGGAGGAGGGGGATGAGGAGGAGGAAGGGGGGGAGAGGGGCAGTGATGGGGTGACACGTGGCGGGTTTGAATTGGTGGAGCTGCAGGTGGACGAGCTTCTAGCAGAGCACACACTCTTCTGTGAGGTGCGTTGCAGTTCTCTTCACTCATAGTAGTGAGAGTATCTGATAGGAGTAAGGGCTGCAGTGTGTGTGCTAGAGGATGTTCTCTTCTGTGTGTGCTAGAGGATGTCAGCAACACTATGCAAGAGCTGCAGGTGGGCGAGCTTTTCTGTGAGGTGCATTGTCGTCTCACCTGTGTGATGGGCGCTTGAGGCTAGCATCCCCCACCTCCCATCTCCCACCTCCCTCTCCCATTCCCATCTCCCCCCTCTCCATCTCCACCAGGTGTGTGGGAAGGGCTTTAAGCGAGACGCCAACCTGCGCATGCACATGCGAGGCCACGGCGACGCCTACAAGGCCTCCACCTCCCTCTCCCGCCCTGCACTCTCCGCCGCCCGCTCCGCCGCCCACCCCGCCGCCCGGCCACAGCGCTACAGCTGCCCAGAGCCAGGATGCAAGCGCAACCAGCAGCACCCGGATTTCCAGCCGCTGAAAACGATGCTGTGTGTGAAGAATCACTACAGGAGGACGCACTGTGCGAAACAGTACACGTGCAGTCGGTGCGGTGTGAAGCAGTTTGCCGTGCTGGCTGATCTGCGCACTCATGAGAAGCACTGCGGCCGGTCCTCCTGGAAATGCTCCTGCGGCTCGTCCTTCAGGTGGGTTCTGTTGGGCTCAGGTGGGTCCAGGTGGGCTCAGGTGGGTTCAAGTGAGTTCAGAAGAGGTTCAGATAAGTCCATTGGAGCTTTGATGTGCCTCAGTCGAAACAGAACTTGGTGTGTCCGGTACCCCTTACCTACCTCAAAGCAGAAATTGGTGTACGAGGCGGCCCAATCCAGTTCAGTCTAGGCCGTTCTTATGAGAGGCCGTCATCCCCATCCCATCATCACCCTCTCACCACCCCTTCTCCCCTCCACCCCTTCTCCCCTCCACCCCTCGTCCCCTCAGCAGGAATGAGCTCCTGAGGCGCCTGTCTCACTCCCTACCGACCAGCATCTCAGCTTGGTCTCGCATTGCCTCCTTACACACCATCTCCCTGGTCCCCCTATCCACAGCCGCAACGACAAGCTATTGGGCCACCTCTCTCACTTCGCAGGCCACCATTCCTTGCTGTCGGCCCGTCAGACTTAGATTCAACTCAAAACCCAATCCCTTTCCTTCTTCCCTGTTGCTCCCTCCTTCACTTTCCCTCCCCCCCTCTGTCTGCAGCCGCAAGGACAAGCTACTGGGGCGCCTCTCTCACTTCACCGGACACCACGCTGTTGCTGCCACTCTTTTACATCTCAAGTCAGCTCAAGCCCTCTACCTGTCAACCCCCCTTCCCTTCCCCCTCCTCTCCCCTGGTTTTTCACAGTCGCAAGGACAAGCTACTGGGGCACCTTTCTCACTTCACGGGCCACCACGCTGTTGCTGCCGGCCCCACTGACCTCCCTCTGCCGGCCCTCCCTTCCCCTTCTGCCTCCACACCTGCTGCTGCTGTCCATGCTGCCGTCGCTGCTGCTTCTGCTGCTGTTTCCGGTGCTGCTGCTGGCGATACTGCCGGCAGCTGTGGCGGCGATGGCAGCAGCAGTGCTGCCTTTGGTGGTTATTGTGAGGGGAACAGTGGGGTTGCCATGGGATTGGCTGGAGGTGGGGGAAGAAAAGGTGTTGACGCCAGCAGGAGCAGCAGTGTGGTAGCAGCAACTAACATGGCTGCCGGTGGTTCTCTTGCTGCTCCCTCTGCATTCACTGCTCCCTCTGCAATCACATCTGACAGTCACTGCCCATGACAGCTGGTTTTGCCTCTCTAACATGCTCCTCTTCATTCTCCAATATAGCCTGCTCTGGTACTCTCTGGTGTAAATGGACGCATCACATATTGTAGCGAGGGGCAAATAGGCTGGAGTTCTGAGACCAAAGGTTATCGGCGTGGACGCAATAAGCGTATCAAACAAAATGACAAACCATTGTGTCCAAGTAGGCATACTTTTTTATTTTTGTAATAATTGCATCATGTTTCCTAACTGCTTGGTCAATTATTTGTAAATACTCCATATTGAAATAGACGAAGCCTCGGGATTTTAGAGGACCTTTGAAGGTGTACTGCAGCGTGAAACATAGCAGTCGTGAATGGGAGGTGGGTGCATCTTCGCTAGAATGACTTTCAGGTGGATTCCACAGAGAGGATAACTCAGGTGAGGATGCGGACACCACATTCGTCTGGTCGGTGACTGTCCAACAGAACCACGTCATTCCACCAATCCGGACTTAGGACCACCAGCGATCAGCTCACCTTAGCGAGATGTTACCCGCTTGACTACGATGGATTCTCCCGCAGTTTGAGCTGCGGATACGATCGCGAACCTCGTGACAAATTTTCCAAGTCCAGACCACGACCCCAGTTCTGTGTTTGTCAGGTACGTTCTCTTCAGAGGGATCCAAGAGCACCTGAGCCGACCTGTAATAGCAGCGACGCGTCTCTCCCACATTTTCATTTTGTCGTTTCTCGTCCACGACTTCTTGCTCTGCGAAACTTGCCGCACATAGGTTGACCAATGACCAACAACCCACAGGTGCGTCAAGAAGGGTGAGACCAATGTCGCAAATTCACTCTGCGCCCCAGATGCGAAGCAATGCGACAAGGAACGTCGCAAGAGACCCAACAACCGTCACCTTCCTCCCATACCCTCAGTCTCCTTCTCGAGCAAAGCTAGCTAACTTCCCATTTTCCACATCAACACTCTTTCACGCAGAAAGCTGGCTGATTCTCCGGTTCCCAATTTTCACTTTGCCCAGAACGTAACCTGTAGCTAGGGTTTGCCTCGTTTTCAAGTTTCTTGGACTATCCAGTTTAGCTCCCCACCATGGCTCGCTACGCCGTCGTCGCCTTCGCCCTCCTCGCCCTCTTCGCCGTGTGCCACGCGCGGCCCGCGCCTCTCGACGACGATATCACCGACAACACCGTTGTCCCGGATCTCAAGGGACTCTCCAGGGAGAAGATTCAGGAGCTCGCGTTGACAGATCTGGCCGCATGGGACGAGGAGGACAACGGCGTGAGTGCCGCTGAGGCCGATAAGATCGTTGTTGACGAGGATAACACTGTTGCTGCTACTGACGATGCCGCTGACGATACGGACAATACCGTGGCTGCTTCTAGCGAGGATGTCGCCGACTCCGACAACTCCGTCGTCGTCGCGGCTGTCGCTGATGACGACAACACCGTGGCTGTTGCCGAGCCTGCTGACTCGGACAACACCGTGGCTGTGGTGGCTGCCGAGCCTGAGGATGACGTTGTTGCCGTGATGCCAGAGGACAACGTTGCTACCGCTTCCGCCGCCAAGTCGACCGACATGGGTATCGCCATGGTTGTGTAAAAATGTTTTCCGCAGCTTTTATTCGTTTCGTTGATTTGTACGAAATGTTTTGCACCTGTACTGTATTAAACAAATAGACTTATACTAAGGATCCTTCGCTCGCTCGTGGGTCTTACTCTTTGGCCTCGAATGACGAGCTGAATCCTTGGTTGGCGCCCAAGCTTGCTCATTCGTGCCACTCATGGAAGCAAGATGGAGAACAACTGGGTATTTTTTAATGGCGACGATTGCTGGTATGGTACGGTAAGAGCGTGTTCCTATCAGGCAACCTCCTATCAATCTCGCGTCGATCCGCACTAAAAACGTATCCAACCGCAGTCGAACACACTGAAATGCATTTCACCACGCGAATCTGATACGAGGTGTTTCTGATACGAGGTGTAGGAACACGCTCTAATAAGCTAGGCTGTGGTTGAATGTGCGGTCAGAACCTGCGCGGACCGGATTACCTCATTTCAGGAATAGCTGCAGATGCAATGGCAACGGAATGCAAGTAAGTGGACTTGTAGTGGTAAAAAAACTACGGTACTTACCAAATTACAACACTATATTGTCTACCTATTAATAAAGATCAACAGTGTAACAGTTAAAGTAAGGAGGTCACTGGGAAAGGCAGTGCTGGCAAAGCAAAGCATCTTGCGCAACCAGTGGAATCACAGAACGAGAAGCTATCAGGCCAATCACGTTCATCTTGAAGCATCACACTTATCAGAGGTCATCACCTCGCCATTGCCCACTATCACGCGAGGTGGATCAGCAGTTGAAGAGCCTGCACATGGGGTGACACGAGATTCCAACGGGTGGATACGAAATGCAACACAAGAGGGGGAGAGGGAAGGGTGTGGAGAGGGGAATGAAAGGGGGAAGGGGGGGGGGGGGGGGGGGGGGGGGGGGGAGTAGGGAGGGGAAGCAAACACACCAATACAGGAGCTGTGCTTGTGATAGTGAGAGCGTGCTGAGAGTTTGTGGAAATAGACGGAGCATGGGGTGCCATGGTGAGAGAGAGAGAGAGCGTTTGGATGATGGTACAAGGCACAGAAAAGCTGTGAGCACACTTTCTCCATCTCAACTCCACCCCACGTCACCTCTCCTCCCCCTCACCCTAGCTCTCCCCCAACTTCTTCCCGCTCCCATAACCATTCCTTCCGTCTGTCCTTCCCCCCTCTCCAATCATCCCCTCTCAAATCTTCCCCTCTCAACTTCCCTGCTATCTCACCCCTCCCCAAAGCTCGCTCTCCTATCCCTCCCCACTCACCTTGGCTTGCCCTCGCTCCGAGCCTATCCGAGCCACATTGGGAGTTCTCGGAAGTGATACAAACTGCATCTCCATCTTCCTACCACTCCACAACCTTGCACTTCCCTCACAACCTTGCACTTCCCTCACAACCTTGCACTTCCCTCACAACCTTGCACTTCCCTCACAACCTTGCACTTCCCTCACAACCTTGCACTTCCCTCACAACCTTGCACTTCCCTCACAACCTTGCACTTCCCTCACAACCTTGCACTTCCCTCACAACCTTGCACTTCCCTCACAACCTTGCACTTCCCTCACAACCTTGCACTTCCCTCACAACCTTGCACTTCCCTCACAACCTTGCACTTCCCTCACAACCTTGCACTTCCCTCACAACCTTGCACTTCCCTCACAACCTTGCACTTCCCTCACAACCTTGCACTTCCCTCACAACCTTGCACTTCCCTCACAACCTTGCACTTCCCTCACAACCTTGCACTTCCCTCACAACCTTGCACTTCCCTCACAACCTTGCACTTCCCTCACAACCTTGCACTTCCCTCACAACGTTGCACTTCCCTCACAACCTTGCACTTCCCTCACAACCTTGCACTTCCCTCACAACCTTGCACTTCCCTCACAACCTTGCACTTCCCTCACAACCTTGCACTTCCCTCACAACCTTCCTCCGGCCAGCAGCTTCCCAATCTTCCTCTCTCTACATCCTTACACTTCCCTCGCACATCACTCTTCCCCTCACCTCTCATTTGCAACTCACCTTTGCTCGTCCTCGCTCCGAGCCCGTCCGAGCCACGGCCGTCAGCAGCTTCCCAATCTTCTTCTCCCTGATCGCCTTCCGATGTCCTCCACCATTGCTATCCCACAGTACCACCAGTATCGCCGTGGCTTCCTCCTTCCCCTTATCCGATCCTCTCTCCAACGCCCTTGCCAGTGCACCTACTCCCTCCGCCTGCACCACCGCCTCCCTCCCCTCTGGCCTCGTTACAAGCTGTCTCATTGTAGCGAGAGCCTTGTCTGCTAGCCGGTGGCCGGGAGCGCGCGTTATAATGTGGATTAACGCGCGGTGGGCGCCTGAGAGGAGGAGGGTTGATTTGTTGGAAGCTAAGTGGGAGAGGTTGAGGAGAGTGAGTAGAGCGTCCTCTTTGGCCCGGTCTGAGTTTGCCGGACAGGCCGAGGGCTGCCGCTGGGGCTTTTCGTCCAGTAGGATGGAGACGAGGAGCGGGATCGCGCCGGCCGCGCCGATGTCCAGCCGGGCGGCGTCGCACGAGGAAAGGACGAAGAGGGCGGCGATTGCCGCGTCCCGGACGGCGGTCGGGGCGGCACGGAGGATGTGGACAAGGATTGGGGCGGCACCGAGATCGGTGACTAGATTGCAGTTGATTGGATTGAGAGTAAGATTGACTAGAGCGAAAGTAGCTGTCTCTGCTAGGGCCCAGTTGGTATGAGCAGAGTTGAAAGAGGGGGTGGTGGAAAGAGGAGGAGCAGCAGCGGAAGCGAGGGAGCGAGAGGGGGTGGTGGGAGCGAGGGGAGCGTGCGGCTGGTGCAGTGCGGGAAAGCCCGGGTGCGCTGCTGAGAAGTGCCTTGGAGTAGCATTGGCAGCAGCAGCAGCGGCAGCAGCAGCGGCAGCAGAAGCGGCAGACCCAGCAGGATACGGTGACGGGAACGAGTGAGACGCGGGCAAGGAGGGGGGTCGAGTGGGGGAAGCCGCTCGCATGGACCCCGCACGCTCGGAGAAGGGAGTGGGTGGGACGCCATAGCCAGGCGCAGAGGAGGAGTAGCGGATGGGCGGGTGGGAGGGGGAAGGGGCCACCCAGGGGTGTGCTGTGAGGGGTAGGCCTGGCATGGCAGGGGAGGGGGGAGGGTATGGGTAGTTTGCAGCGGAGTAGGGACCAGCAGCAGCAGCAGCAGCAGCAGCGGCGGCGGCGGCGGCGGCGGCAGCAGCAGCAGCAGCGCCAGGGGGGAGAGGAAGAGCAGGAAGAGCATCGCCTGCTCCTCCTCCCAGTCCCTCCTGCTTCTCCTTGTTCTCCTGTTTCTCCTGGCTCTGCAGCAGCACCGCCTCCACCCCCACAGGCAGCCCAGCAGCAGCAGCAATACAGTCCAGCAGCGGCCGGAGCACCCCGGCCTGCCTCAGGTGCTCCCGTGCGTCTTCGTCCCCCCGAGCCACCTCGCGGATTCGCCCTGCCGCGTGCAGGCGCGCAGGCTCGGAGCCCTGCAGCATCCGAACCAGCTCTGCAGGCTCGGCAGGGTGAAGGAAGATGGCAGGGAGGGGGTTCTTGGGGGGAGGGGGCGGGAGGGAGGAGGAACGGCGGGGCTCCTTCTGTTTGCCTTTGTGGCTTTCCCTCTCCACCTCCTTCTCCTTTTCCCTCTCCCTCTCCCTCTCCTTCTCCCTCTCCTTCTCCCTCTCCTCCCTGCCCCTCTCCCTGTCCCTTCCTCTCCCACGCTCTGACGCTCTTTCATTGAAGGCTGGCGGGACGGCACCTGGCTTTTGAGCGCCCTGCCTCTCGCGTGATTTCTCCCTCTCCTCCTTCCGCCTTTCCTTTTCCTGCTTCTTCTCCTCTCCTTTCTTCTTGCCCTTCTCGCTGACCTTCCTCCCCTCCTCCTGCCGTTGCTGGTGCTGTTGCTGCTGGTTCCCTGGCTGCTGTACCGTCTTCCCTTCATGCTGTTCCTCATGCTGCTGCTGCTCCAGCCACTGCTGCACCTTCCGTTCGGACTCATCATACGCCTGAAACTCCAACTCCCCCTCTGCTTCCCCCTCTGCCTCTCCATCTCCCTCTCCATCTCCCTCTCCTTCTCCCTCTGCCCGTTCCTTCAAACCCCTCTCTCCCTCCCCTTCCACACGCACCCCAACTTCCGTCACCGTCACCACCTCTTTCACCTCTTTAACCGTGTAAGCCGAGCCTCCCCTTTCCTCCCTCGCTCCGGGCGCCTTTTCCGTTCCTTCCTTTCCAGTCGTCCTTTCCTCATCCTGCTGCTGCCCCAGAAACGGGTGTGTCTTGCTGGTTCCCCCTCCCCTCGCCACCTCCCCCTCACACACCTTTGCGCCTTTCCCCGTTTCTCCTCCTTCTCCTCCCACTCTCTCTTTCTCACTCCTTTCATTCTCTTTCGCCCCAGCAAAGCACCCGGCCAACTCATTCAGACATCCACTTGCAGGAGCACCAGCGCAACTCTCAACCTTCCCAACCTGCTCCTTCTTCCGCCTTGCCGCAGCTGCAGCAGCGGCTCGGCGTGCAGGTCCGGCAGAAGCAGATCCGGAAAGGGTGGTTGGGGAAGCAGGTCCGGGGGCAACAGCAGAGGTAGGCAGAGAGACAGGCTCGGGAGCAGGTTTGGAAGCAGGTTTGGCCGGAGGTGCGGTTGGAACAGGGGTTGCAAGTTCCTTTGGTGCTGTTTCCCCTGGTCCAGCAGCGGCATCTACAGCTGCAACAACAGCAGGAGCGGCGGCAGCAGCAGTAGGAGCAGGAGCAGGAGCAGGAGCAGCAGCAGGAGCAGCAGCAGAAGGAGGAAGAGCAGCAGCAGTAGCAGAAGGAGCAGCAGGGGCAGGAGCAGGAGCAGCAGAAGACGAGGCGTTGGCAGCCTTGGCCTTGGCAGCAGCAGCAGCGGCTCTCCTGGCGGGACCCGACAGATAGATAGCTTTGGCTGATCGTACGGCGGAGAGTGAAAAGGAGGCAGTGGAGGAGGAGGGGGTGGGCGGACCAGCAGAGTCATCCGCAGCAGAATCAGCAGCAGAGGTAGAGGCCGTTGGGTGCGGGGAAGGAGTAGTTAGTCCGAGTCCAGCGGCAGCACCGGGAGCAGGGGCAGGAGTGACCGTCACATCAGCAGTTGCAGCAGCAGCTGGTAGCTCCTCCTGTGCAGGTGCAACAGGGGCAGGTGCAACTGGTGCAGGTGTATCTGATGACGGCGCAGGTGGAGGGAGAACAGACGATGGGCTGCTGTCAGTGCTCGTGGCAGCCGCTTTCTCTCCCTCCCCCTCGCTGCTGGCAGCTTCAGGTGCCTGTTCAGGGGGAATTTCGGGGTCTTCTGCAACAGGCGGGAGGGCACCCTGTCCGACGCTAGAGATTATCCCCATGCCTGGCTTCGAACCGGCCGGAGCAGGTTCGGCAGGAAGAGAGGGAGCAGGTTCGGTGAAAGGGATACCCAGGCACTCCTCTCGCATAATCTTAACCACAGATAGGGCAGCAGTTACCAAAGCAGGGTTCTTGAAACGAACAATCGCTGCAGGTGCTATCGGGGCATACTCAAACGAGGATCCCACGGAGGCTGGCACGGAAGCGTCCGAACCTGAATCCGTGGCTGTTCCAGCTTCGGTGTCAGTCCCCGTACCTCTGTCATTGTCACTGTTGCTGTTAGCGCTATGGTAACCAGACGTTCCCGCGCTACTCACGCTGCCGTTCATGCTCCCGTTATAAGGAAAGGCCTTCCGCCTCCCCACTCTCCCTCTCGCCGTTCTGTTGCTCTGCCTTCTGCTGCTGCTGCGCCTCCTGCTGCTGCTGCCACCGTCATTTTCGCACTCCTCTTTAATCTCCTCAAGAGCCACAATTTCCTCGTTAAAGTCCTCCTCCGTTATAAGATCGAGCTGTCCTGCCAGCATCAGCAGGCTACGGCGCTTATCCGGCGCAACAGAAATGCTGCTTGCAGCACAGGAGCACCTATGATTGCTGCTCCTGCCGCTGCTGCTGCCGCCACTGCCGAAGCTGCTTCCCTTGCTAGAGCTGCTGCTGCTGTTGCTGATACCGCCGCTGGCAGCGCCGCACGTGCAGACGTGGGGGGGCGGAACGAACGAGGCGATGGTGTCGCGGCAGCGGACGGCGGAGGGCTCTACGGGGTAGAGCGCGCGCGAGAGCTTCGAGAGGATGTGCGGCACCTGCGGAGCGGGGGGCGGGGGTAGGTGGTCCATAGGGAACAGGATTGAATGACGAGACAAGAAGAGCAAGGCAATAGCTCGCGGCAGCGCACGGCGGAGGGCTCTACGGGGTAGTGCGCGCGCGAGAGCTTCGAGAGGATGTGCGGCACCTGCGAAGCGAGGGGACCGGCGGAGGTGGAGAAGCGGAAAGGGCGAGAAGGGGAGAAGAAGCGCATGTATGGAACGAGGGTGAGGCGGTGGCTTCATGACAGCGCAAAGCAGAGGGCTCAGCGCAAAGCAGAGGGCTCAGCGCAAAGCAGAGGGCTCGGCGCTACCGCAGACATGAAAGCCCGAAAAAAAATCGCATAATCTTTCACCCGCTTTGCAGATTGAACACGAGTGATTACTGTACCCGCGTGTAGTGGTGGGTCAACAACGCCGTAAATCCCGCGCCTTCCGTGTTTACCTGGAACTGCCATCCTGAGGCTTGCCCGTGCGACAGCCCGTGCCAGTGCGGCTGCTGCACGGGCGACGGCTCGACGACGGAGTGTGCGTCGCGCAGAGCGTCACCCAGTCGCATGGTCAGGTCCTGAAACTTTTGCGCTGCCCATTCCGAGCTGACCGCCTGAGTAAGAGACGGAAGGAGAGTGCGGATAGAGGCAAAAAAGATACGAATTGCGCATTGAGCGGACAGCGAACGAAAGTTGAAAGAGTGCAAGAACCTTTGTGAAAGCAGACAGGCGAGGCAGGGGAGAATAGGACGGAATGAGAATAGGACGGGAATGTGAATAAGGGCGATGGTGAGAATGCGTAGTTGTGCTGCGAATTGAAAAATACCGTGGGCGTGATACACGTGGTGCAAACTCACGATGTACGCCTTGCTGCGCGCCAATGAGCACCAGTACAGCAGCCCGGAAGCTTCCTCCAGCACCGCCCTCAGATCGTCCAACGCCGATTGCAGCAGGATGTTTCCGCGAAGCTGCTGCCTCTGCGCGCTCCACGCGTCTACGAGCGGCTCGACGTCCTCTAATAGGGACAGCAGCAACGCGCAGTGGCTTCTAAGAGCCGAGGCGCATTCCGGTGGCGGCGCGTTGTCTTCGTCGAGGATGGATGTCAGGAGGAAGGCGAGGCGGTCTGTCAGACCGTAGAAGTCCATTCGGGCAGTCATTATAGCTGTTTAAACGGACGAACGGCGTCTAAGCTAACGGGACCGACACGCATACCTTGGATACAAACGAAGGGTGGTGGGAGCGATGCTAACGGCTATTACGCTAAGCTAGCGACTTCATGCGTACAGGAGCCAAGCTAACTAAACTCCATTGTCTGACAACTTTCGTTTCCGCAGTCTAACGCCAAGTTGTAATTGTCACGCCAGGTTATGCGGGCCTGCGTTCAATCACAGTACGGCTTCGAAGGTTGCAAGAGAGTTATGGTGGTTCAACTTGATCTCGTGAGCTTCTCAACGTGAGACATTTGCACAATGCCGAATCGCTTCGCTAAACCGAGAACCACAGCCCCGGCCGGGGCGCATATGGCTGCGGCCGAACCGGCCGCTGCGGTTGACAATAAGAGGAGATTCTAGGTTCGGCCAGGCTTACGCCCCTCTCGCCCACAGAAAGAGGTGTGTAAGGGAACTTTCTAACCTGAAGCAAACTCGCCAAGGGCTTGTGACGTGGTTTGGGGAGCCTTGGAGCCGTGAACAGAATTGCCGAACCGAATTCTGATCTGTAAATCACGGGCCGCAAAACCCAGCAAACACCAGTTTGCGACCACGTCCAAGGCTCGACATCACAATGTTCCGGTTTGTTTGTCGAGCGTAACCACATCGCAAAGCTGGACTTAGTTCAAGCTGTTACGCTTCAATAATAGAAACTAGTTTGCTCAAAATATCATCCAATATCCTCTTTACATACTAGCTCCACAAACTACGAACAAGCCGTCACCGTGGAGTGGAGACGTACCATATTCATCCGAATTATGTGTAATTGGGACGGGATTAATATGATATAATCAAAGAAAATCTTGAATAAGCATTGTTTAATAAGGTTTCTATAAGACCCCTTCGATATTTATCTGGAGCATAAAATACAGCTATTCACAATTACACTAGTTTTACATTCCATATTCCCCCAGATTCACCACCAAAGAAAAGGATTCATATTTTGACAAGGGTTTTTTTTTTTAATTTAAAGTGGTAAACAAAACTGAGAATGTTGGAACTACACGTACAACTGCAGTATCAAGGAACAGGTGGACAGATGTACAGATGTCCGTGACATTTGATTGTCGTGCGTCCACCAATGCGTGCACATGACAGAACCAGGCAACATGCGAAAGAGAACAAGATACAACGTCAGGACAACGTCATTCTTCTCTGTCCTCCGCTCTGAACAAGACAACGGATGCAGTTTTTTTGGTGCGATTTTTGCACGAGAGCATTGAATGCGGGAGTATCACCATGCCAGCTGGGTGCGAGGCTGGTGTTCTAATGATTTTGCACCTCTCCAGCACAATCCCAAACTCCGTTCTATTTGTCGTTTGTAGAAGCGTGAAGAAACCCAAATGATCACTGACTTGCCTGAGCAAGAAGTTCGCCTGTGGGCGCTGTCATCAAACCTGCACCCGCCCCACCTACGGTCCAACGTTACACACGTTCCGATCCGACGTCCTGCGTTGCGCTTGGTAGGTGGTGGTGAGATGAATGAGCCATGTGCATTGTGGGGTCCGCGGACACGAGCGTCTCGGAGAAGCTGGGGGGGAGAGAGTACAGGGGACAGGGGCTTGTTGTGCAAGCTGTGGGGGAAGAGGGGAGTTTGCGCGCGGGTGATGCGGGGAAGGGGAGGGGAAGAGGGGCTTGGTGAGATGGGGCTCTGGTTCGGGTCGGATGGACGGGTGAAATCTCGATGGGATGTCAGGATGTGCCTCTGCCGAACTCTTCTCTCCTTTTTCACAGGAGCGCGGAATGGGCCCACAAACGGCTTGCACGATGGAATGAGGTTGATGTAAAGGGGGTTCAAAGTGCTGCAGGGTTTCCGACGTCGAACTTCGTCGAGGTTGTTGAAGAAGGTTGGTGGGATGAAGGGTGCCATTTCCGTGTTCAAAGTACGCTTCAAAAAATGCTGACGCCAGCATCGCCGTTTGTACGGAATTGTGCAATGATTCGGGCGCAGAAACGGTCAAAATAAAAAGATTGAGCGCATCTATACAAGGATGGCCAGACCACGTCAGACAAAATTCTAGATTGGCTCGACTGGTAAATTCGAGCATTGCGAAATATCACAACTCGTTTTGTGATTTTCGCAACCAATAGACGCACAACAACGTTGAAAAACTTTGCGATTTCAGTTTTGATCTCAATTCAATTGTTCAACGCTCACAATTCAATTGCTCAACGGTCTGAATTCAATTGTTTGACTGTTCTGGCCGGCATTTGTCCTGAGTGACAGTTCGTCGCCGGCAATGTGTTCTAAGTGCCGCATTCGACGTCAAATCGACGTCGACCTCCACGTCGGTTGACGTCGAGGCCCCGACGTCGAAGGATGTGAGAAGTTACTTCGAACACGCCTTAACCGCGTTCGTGTTTCGCTCGCACGTTGAAAACATTGGTCGAGAGCTGTCGCGAACAAAACCAGCCAAATTCTGGTTGGGTTATCGTTCTCGATTCTCGCCCGCGGCAAACCGCGCTAGAGGCATTCAAGTGTTCGCAACAAACACAGAAACAGTTTGTCCAGGCCTATTCGATGTTGCTCTTCCATCCACCATTTCAACCACAACACGAGAATTTATTCTTTAGGGTCTTCGCTCAGTCTGCTCATAAATTACGTCGGCCGCCCCGTTCCGTTTCACGGTTTACGCATCTGTGCAACTGCTTCAACCGATTTAACGGCTGAAGTAGAAGCTGCGGCGCGAATGACATGAGCCCATTTTTACCTCGACTTCAACCCGTTGAGGCTCTCGCGAAAGCCCACGTGCGAAGTTCGCAGACGCTGTTATCATGAGCAACAGCCCGTCACCGCCCCTCACGGGCGACACACAGACTCCTACCACGAAAAAACTCTCCGAACGTCAGTCTCGAGCCGAAATTGATTCTAGTCAGTTGTTTGGCCGGTTCGAAGGCCAAGAGCCGGCGTCGCCAGGCGACAGCAAAGGCAATTGCACTGTCGCCCATCCCCACGGTACCTTTCGCACAGCCTGCGTCGTCGAGCGACGCAGCTCGCTGTCGCAGGGGGGCGGCGGCGGCGGAACGCAGTTCTCGGGAGAGGACGAGCGGGAGGAGGCGGCGGAGGCGGAGGCGGAGGCAGAGGCGGAGGCGGATGGGGACGGAGAGGGCGAGGCGGAAGGAGCGGAAGACGATTCCGGGCCAGACCCGACAGGGACGAAGCGGAGAGACAGGCACCGGAAGGTGGACGGCAGAGGCCGTCGTATTCGCATGCCGGCGGCATGCGCGTCGCAAATTTTCCAGCTGACGCGCGTCCTCGGACACCGATCGGACGGCGAGACGATCCAGTGGCTGCTGGACCAGGCCGCCCCCGCAATCAGCGCCGTAATTCCCGGCGGAGTCGCTGGAAATACCGAAGCCTCCGAGGCGGCTCGATCAGGAAACCAGAATCAGTCTGGCAGCGCGACCAAAACCCCGGAAGAAGAGGTGGGCGGTCGTGCGGCGGGCGGTAGGAAGAGGCAGAAGAGCGGAGGCTCCGGGGATGCGCGAGGAGGAGCGCAGAAGAAAGAGCCACGAGCGCCACAAACCGTGCAAACCGTGCAGGCCGTGCAGGCCGTGCAGGCCGTGCAGGCCGTGCAGGCCGGGTTGCAAGCAGTGCAGCGGCAAGCCCAGAGAGAGCAAGGGCAGACGGGCGAGGCGCGAACGGCGCCAATGGATGTACGCGGATCAGACGCGGCGCCGAACCGAATCTTGGAGAATTTCCCCCTGGTGCCAGCAATCCAACGACCTTTTGAGTCGACTCCGACTCAAAAGTCAGCACGCGGATCGGATGCACCCAACCGAATCCTGGAGAATTTTCCCCTGGTGCCAGCAATCCAGCAACCTCCATTCCAGCGGCAGCGCCTTTCCCTGCCCCTCCCCCAGCAGCAGCCTCTGCATATTTCCCAGCAACAATCCCTGCACCAATCCCTGCATCAATCCTTGCATCAATCCCTGCATCAATCCGCGCGTCAGATGCAAATGGATAACCCCCAGATGCAGCTTCTGCGGATCATGCAACTGCAGGCGCTGCAGCAACATCAGCAACATCAGGAACGGCAGCAGGAACGACAGCAGAATGAGCAGCAAGAGCAGTGGATGAGCGTGATCAGCTACCTCGCACAGCAAATAAGGGCTGCACAATCCAACCCACCCGCCGCCACCACAGCAAACATGACGCCACCAGCCCCGATTGCAACGTCGATATTCAGTGCATCCGCATCAGCACCTCTCCAGCATGATGGGACCACCATGGGTGCGTCTTTACCCAGCCGGGAGACTATGGGTGCCTTCGACCGACCTCAGGAGGGAATTGGTACGCCAGTGACGGCAGCGGCAGGCGTGACGGCTAGTTTTGCTGAAACGAGGCCTCGTACTGCAAGTGGAATGCTGCAGAATCTTACTGGAGGGGAGCATTTCCCCATGGAAAAGCAACAGGTCTCTACGGAAGGCAGTTTCCTGGACAGACTTCGAATAGCCACGCATAGTGGTGCATCATTGATTGAGAATTCAGCGAGTAAGGCAATGGAGGAAGTCGCGACATTGGGCTCACCGCATGGAGATGCAGTGCACGCTTCACACAATGTGGAAATTTTGACGGGGATAGTACATGCGGAGGGGAATGCACATACGCATGGTTTTGGTGGGAGTACCAGCGAAAGGGGCCAGTTGGAATTGGCAGCGGGAGTTCCATCACGAGAGCTTATTCTCTCTCCTGGTGCTTTTCTTAGGACAGAAGATGCTTGTCCAACCCCCCTTGTGCCGCCTGCCCCAACTGTTGGTTTGGAGCTTGGCCTTGGCTTGGGTGAGAGCCAGGACAAGGGCTTTCCTCATGACCTGAACTCATAAGAACGTCAAGGAATGTTGGACTTGTCTTGTGGTACTAGAAAGTATGATAAGAATTGTAATGATAAGATTGCCCCAACTGTTGGCTTGTCTTGTGATACCTGAGCGTATTTCCAATGTCCAACAAGTGATTTGGGAAGAAGATTTATAGGGAACAAGCATTAATTTTGAGCAGATTAGTATGATCGCACCCAAAGCATTAGGTGTAGAGGTCAATTGGTTTTATATGTATGTCTATAGGACGCAATGTAAATGAGTGTAGCGCAACCTCCCACCAGTTCACAACACGGGACCCGCCTGGACGTAAACGCGCCGGTAAGATTTGTTTCGCGAACACGTGACCTTCGCCAGTGCAATATTTCGCACATTCTTGCGACATTTCAAGCTGGCGGGGCGGTAGCGGAAGGAGGGGGGGGGGGGGGGGGGGGGGGGGGGGGGGGGGGGTGGGGGTGGGGGTTTGGGTTTGGATGGGGTGAGCGTGAGTGCTGTCAACAGTAGCCGGGACCGGAAGCAATGATACCTGTTCTGTACGCTTGAGGTTGGTGAAAGGTGCGTGGCCCGTTTCACGAAGGAGCGTCGAAGTAGCACACCAGTGCGGTAGAGTGAGCAGCGCACATGCAAATGCATTTGGTCGCGGAAGAAGGCACCGACCAAGCATCACTGCGATTGCCACATGTTGCTGCTGTCAGGTGCGTGAGCCACGTGCTAATTCTGGCGTGCTGCTCGCGGTCTGTTTGTAAGCGATGTTATTAATGCACTTCTCCTTGCTGGCATTAGATGCCTGGCATCGAGTTTTCGTGGGGCCCAGTCAGCATAAACACTGCCCTGCCCAGCCCAGTCCACACGGGGTCGGAACGGAACAGAACCGGAAATGATGAAGCTGCGGCGCTTCTGATTGAGCTGCGGCATTCGGACGGACTCAAAAGGTTGAAACAGTCCAGGTCAAAGTTTTGGAATCGCATGTACAGCCAACAGTGCAACAGTTCTCACCAACAGTGGAAGGACAGCCAGAGAAGGACAATCACCAGGCTGGTGCACCTGACTGGAGGCGGCGAGACAAACACCATCTCAAATCGATAGCCAAAGTTCCTTGATCTGCATTGTTGCCACGTGACATTCCCCCACAAGCTGATCGGTTACATGCTGCCCTGTCTGCCTGCTATTCAACAGGTTTCACCTACATCCCCGCTATTCTGACAGGAACAAACTGCAGTGACAACTAGTGTATCAAGCAGAACCTATTCTGGGCCTCGATATATCCATAGTTCCGTGGATATTGTTCCGTGTGCCTTTTCCATGCCAGCATGACAACCAACTCTCACTGCGCATCACTTGTGCAGTAATTGATCAAAGAGAGTGACCCATGCCACCCCAAGTTACGTGGCTGGAATATAAGCGAGACAAATATAAAGCTTGTAAATAAAACAAGCGGCATTGTTACGCGGAAGCTGTCATGGGGGGTGAAGGTGCATCGGAGCCTGGAATAAGCGGCGTGAGCCGGGCTTTAAAGAGATCGCCCAGGGCCTTCCTCACCTCCACCTGGTCGGGGCGAGATGCACAGAAAAGTGGAAAGAGGTGCGTGGGGGAGTGCACGAATGATGAGAGGAAAGAGTGGGAAGCGGGAGGGGTGGGGCAGGTTCGAAAGAGATCGCCCAGAGCCTTTCTCACCTCCACCAGGAGAGGAGGCATGGAGGGGTGAGCGGGAGGCGCGTAGGGGGGACGAGAGGGATGAGTGAGAGAGCAGATGCTACCTGGAAAGGACCTACTGGGGAAGGTGGTACTTGGACAGAGTAGATGAGGCGGGTGCAGTGCGGGCAGAGGTGCTCGCTGAATGAAAAGACCTACCAGGGGAGATGGTGCCTGGGGGAGGTGGCACCTGGGAAAGGCCTACCGAGGGAGGTGGTACCTGGTCGGAGCAGATGAGGCGGGTGCAGTGCGGGTAGAGGTGCGGCACAAAGCGCTCAAAGCGAGCCACGTCCATCTGGCTCAGCGCTGACAGCACCTGGAGGGATGGTAGGGCAGCACGGAATATGGCGTGACAGACTTCAAATGACGTGGGGCATACAGGTGAGGGGATGGCATACAGCCCATTTGACTTAGCGCCTTCAGCACCTGAGGGGATGGTATGGCAGCACGGAATACGGCGTGACAGACTCTCAACAAGGTGGGCATGCAGGTGACGCTCCAAGTGATTCGGACGATGGGAGAAGAGGGGAGAGCGTGAGAAGAGCGAGGGGGCAGGGAAGTAGCAACATGCAAGTTCCGTCCAACACGCTAAGTCCATCCACTCCATGCACTTTTGCTTTGCGCCCCCGCATCCCCTCCCCTTCCCTCCCTCCCTCCCTCCCTCCCTCCCTCCCTCCCTCCCTCCCTCCCTCCCTCCCTCCCTCCCTCACTCCCTCCCTCACTCCCTCCCTCACTCCCGCACTCCTGTCTCCCTCGCTCCCTTACTCACTCTGGCAACAACAGGAGCAAGGAGCGCCAGCAGGCGGTGCACCTCTGCTTCCACAGCCTGCCCCGTGTTGGGCTGCAGACGAGACGACATCTCCAACACCCTCCCACACACCCTCCCACACACCCCCCCACACACCCTCCCACACACCCTCCCACCCACCCTCCCTCATTCCCTCACTTACTCCCTCACTCACTCTGGCAACAACAGGAGCCCTCAGCGCCAGCAGGCGGTGAACCTCGGCCTCTACAGCCTGCCCGGTGTTGGGCTGCAGGCGGGACGACATCTCCAGCACCCTCCCACACACCCGCAGCAGCTGCTCCTCCGCCTCCTCCCCCAACCGCCTCCCTTCCTCCTCCTCCTCTTCCTTCTCACCTTCTCCCGCACCCCCTGCTGCTCCCGCCCCTCTGTTCGGCCCGATACTTGCTGCTCTTTCCCCTTGCTGCTGCTGCTGCTGCTGCTGCGCCAGGAGTTGCCTTCCCATGCACGTGCTCTTCCCCCTCCCCTGCACCCTCCCCGTGCGCCGCCCCCGACTGCAGGAGCATTTGGGAGGAGAGGGCAGGTGGGAGCAGCGCTGCTGCCGGGTCGTTGAGGCAGCGCAACAGAACTATCAGGTACAGCTGCGTTGCTGTCACCTCCTGGCGAAGGAGGGACGGCGGAGGGCTGTTGGGAGGGAAAAAGCGGGGAGAGGGAGGGGATGGGGTGGGGGAAAAGGCAAGGTAGGGAGGGAGGAGAGAGAGGGGTCGTTGAGGCAGCGCAGCAGCACTATCAGGTTCAGCTGCGTTGCTGTCACCTCCTGCCGCAGCAGAGATGGGAGAGGACTGTACGGGGAAGAAAAGGGGAGTGGAGGAAGAACAAGGCGAGCGAGGGAGGAGGGAGGGGAGCAGGCTTGTTGGAGGCAGTGCAGCAGAAACATCACAATGAGGTGGAGCTGGGTCGCCATGACCTTACTGTGCAAGAGAGATGGTGAGAGGGTGCAGAATTGCAAGGATCATGGGAGATTGAAGCGGGGTTGCAGGGAAAGCACGGGCAGCACGATGAGACGAGGCAAGGGCAGCAGGAAGGCTAAAGGGTCGTCGAGGCAGAAAGAGGGGAGGTGGAGACGGATGAGACGCAGGGTAGCGTCCACGGTGGGGGAAACGCAGGAGAGAAGAGAAGGCGACCACGGTGGAGACAAGAGGTTCTACGTCCACAAAGCAACACAGAAGTGCAAATGTGCAAGCAGCGCAACACAGCGAGCAAATTAATGGGAAATCCTGCAGAGAAGCATGGGGAGGAGCGCACCGTTCGGGCGGCAGCATTTGGATGCGCATGCGCAGGTGCGTGTCGGAGTTGAAGCGGGCGGCGAAGTCAATGCTGGTGGCGATACAGTCCAACAGCTGCCGCCGGTGCGCCGCCCGCAGCCGCTGCCAGTGCTTCTCCTGGAGGGGCGAGAGGTGGGGCGAGAGGTGGGGCGAGAGGTGGGGAGGGCACACGGAGCGAGCATCAAACGAGAGTTCCTAATGAACATCAAATGAACGATAGACATCAAGAGCATCAGTTCAGAATGATACACATCAGTTCAACCGTTGCCGATGGTGGAATGCCCGCAGGCGCTGCCAAGCTTCTGATGGGCCGTCTCATACAAGCCATCCCATATGTACCTGTAGCTGATAGAGAGCCCCCAGCAGCAGCAGCTGCATGTAGCACTTGACCCACACAGGGTCCGGCACGGGGAATGCCCTTCTCGCAAATGCAGCTGGTTCACCCATACCCACCTGTAGCTGATTAAGAGCCCCCAGCACTTGACTCGCACAGGGTCTGCCACGGGGAAGGCTCCTCACACATAGACACACAACCTCAGATGAACCTTGACTTGACCTCCCATCACACTAACCTGCAGTTGATTCAGCGCCCCCAGCAGCAGCAGCTGCGTGTAGCACTTGACCCGCACAGGGTCTGCCACGGGGAAGGCCGATGCCTCCTCCTCCTCCTCTTCCTCCTCCTCCTCCTCCTTTGGCCCCTCGCCTTGCTCCTGTGGGGACAAACAGGGAAGACAGGGAAATCAGATGAAGGGCAGTGGGTGCAAAGGGCAGTGGGTAGGGTAGTGGGTGAAAGCACGCACTCACCTCGGATTCGACAGCGGAGGCCAGGGCGGCGTCACTGGCGTTTGGATTCTCGCGACCAAATGCTGCCGCTGCCCCCAGCAGCAGGCGGGGTGGGAGCGCCTTCCAGCGCCATGGAGAGACTTTGAATATGAGGCAATAATTAACCTCTTGGAACATCCAGTCAACACTCACCTCGGATTCCACAGCAGACGCCAGGGCAGCATCGCTGGCATTGGAAGCTCGCGACCAGATGCTGCCGCTCCCCCCAGCAGCGGGAGTGGGGGCGCCCCCCAGCGCCATGGAGAGATTGCGCAGCAGCAGCGTGTCCATCAGCCGCTTGCCAAAGTTGTCGCCCTCTCCTGATGCTGAGACGGGGGAGGGGAGTGGGGTGGGAGGGACAGGGCTGTTAGCATAGTAGCAGCAGCAACACCAGCAGTACTGCCATCAGTCGCAGCAGCTGTACACTGTGGTAACCGCGCGCGCGCGTGTGTGTGTGTGTGTGTGTGTGTGTGTGTTGAGAAAACATGCACCTTACCGGGTTGACACCTGGGCTCACCTGAAGGCTTGATGGCAGTACCCTCCCCGTTCGCCAACCCCTCCCCTTCCACCTTCCCTTCTTCCTCGCCCTTCCCCTCCCCACCACCCTCCTCCTCCTCCTCCGCCCCACTCCTGTCTACCACCCCGTTACCCTCTCCTCCCTCCCCTCCCCCCTCCGCTCCTCCATTCGTTACAGTCACCTCCACTTCAGTCACTTGCTCGGCCACAGTCACAACTCCAGGAGTGGCCACAAACCTCTCTCTCAGGTTCGGTCCCATCAGGCTCGTCGCCACGTCACCAGTGGGAATCTTGGTACGGATCACCGAGCCTGACGCATGATCCGCCAGGTCAGCCGCGCCAGATTCCAGCACAGCATTGTCCAATGACAGCTCAGCGGTGGCGGCAGCAGTGGCGGCGGTGGCAGCAGCGGTGTCGCCAGCAGCAGCAGCGGCATTGGCTGCGGCAGCAGCAGAGGCAGCGAGGGAGGCTTCGGTGATTGCAAGGAGTTCGGTGGGGCGAGTGGTAAGCGTGGCAACTCTGGGGTGGGGTGGGGTAGGGTGGATTGGGGAGAGAAGGTGAGTGGGGAGGTAAGGAGAATGGAGGAGGTGGAGGCAGCGAGAGAGGCTTCGGTGATTGCGAAAAGCTCGGTGGGGAGAGTGGTTAGTGTGGCAAATCTGAAAAAGAATCGCAAGTGGGGTGGGGTGGGGAGGGATGGGATGCGGAGGGGGAGGGTGGGTTGGGGTGGTCAAAGCGCGGCTGGATTAACTCTATCCCACATTGTACTCCACATGAGGCAGTTCAGACTTCACCCCATCCCATCCACACAGCAACCCACCTGAGGCTGTCGAGCAGCACGGCCCAGTCGCGGGAGGAGAAGAGCCGCGCCCCCCAGTCAATGAGCCTCAGCTGAGCGCCCACCGCTATGGCCGCCAGCGACTGGCCGCAGTCACATCCCCACAAGGCCTCCTGTGCACCCACTGCCATGTCCAGCCCAGCAAACCACCCACATGCGTCTGTTCATCCCCCACACACCACATTGACCTGAGGCTGTCGAGCAGCACGGCCCAATCACGGGAGGAGAAGAGCCGCGCCCCCCCGTCAATGAGCCTCAGCTGTGCTCCCACCGCTATGGCCGCCAGCGACTGGCCGCACGAAAATCTCCCCCCCCCCTCTTCGCCCCCCCAACCCCCACACTGCCACTGCCAACCCAGCACCGAGAGCAACACACCTGAGGCTGTCAAGCAGCACCGCCCAGTCCCTTGAAGAGAAGAGTGGTGCTCCCCTGTCAATGAGCCTCAGCTGAGCGCCCACCGCTATGGCCGCCAGCGACTGGTCGGGGCGCGTGGCACAGTCGAGCAGGAGACCAAGGAGAGATGGCAGGATGAAGGCCACGTCCTGAAGGGGTGAAGGGGTGCAGGGGTGTGGGGTTGTGGGGAGGCCCGGGAGGGGGAAAGAGAGAGAGGCTCGGAATGAGAAGCTCAGAGTGAGCGCAGCACAGTCGAGCAGGAGACCGAAGAGAGACGGCAGGATGAAGGCCACGTCCTGAAGGGGTGCAGGAGAAAGGGGCGGAGGGGTGGGGTGGGAAAGGAGCAGCTTCCTCAGATACTGCATGAGCAGACTCAGCAGCGCAGGCGCAGGCAGTGGATAAAGGTGTAACAGCTAGCTCAGAAAGAATTGTTTGGGAACCTCACTTTTCCAATCCAAAGAATGGCTACACTACTTGCTCCTGAAGCAACCACCGTACTTGCCACACACTACACCGTAACACACCGGAAGCCCTACCAACTGACCTTATATTTTTTTGTCGACTCACATATCGACCTTATATTTTCTAGTCGACTAAAAAATTATTCAACTCAAAATAGCCACACACCACACTGTAACGCACTGGAAGCCCTACCAACTAGCAACCCACCTTATAAAAGTCGCAGAAGAGGTCGCAGAGCAGGTGCAGGCAGTGAATGGACGTGTCTCTCAGCCACAGGTCCGTGGGTGGCGGCCTCTCCCCATCCGTGCCAGCATGCCTCACATAGTCGAAGATCGGGAACAGCACCCTCTCAAACACACTCTCCCAGAACCGCGTCGAAAACTTATGCCCCCGCTCCCGAAGCAGATCGAACAACACCTCCACACCGCAGCTCCGAACCTCCGGGCGAGGGTCGGAAGTCAGCTCGGATAAACCAGCGAGCATCGGGAACCAGTAATACTCTGCCACCTCGTTATCGCTCATCTTCTCGCCTTCGTTCACGGGGCGCAGGGCGCCTCCCGGGACGCGGCCCTCGGCTAAACGGTCCTCGCAGATACGGAGGAGTGCAATGGCTTTGAGAGAGATGCGGGGGACGAGGACGTTGTTGGCGAAGGCCATGAGGCAGTTGACGCAGTCCATGAAGCAGTCGCCTATCACCTGCTCAAAGTGTTCAAGGACCACTGCAATGAGAGGGGTGATGGAAGGGGCAGAGGTGGGAGGAAGAAACCAATGAGCGAAATAGTTAGATGGGGAGGAAAGGAGGCCATGAGGCAGTTGACGCAGTCCATGAAGCAGTCGCCTATCACCTGCTCGAAATGCTCAAGGACCACTGCAGCAGTGGGAGGGGGGTGGAAGAGACAGACAGAGAGGGGAGAGAAGGGAATGAGAGGTGTGGAGGAAAGGAGGCCATGAGGCAGTTGACCCTCCCACACTTAACCTCCCACACTCACCCCCTCACACTCACCCTGCTCCACGGTCTCAAACGCGCTCTCCACAATGGGCTCATGGCTGTCAGTGGCGGCGGTGGTGAGCACCATGAACACACTGCGCCACCCGCTCTTGATACCGGCCACCTTCACCTTTATCATCTGCGACCAGTGACGGGGGGGAAGGAAGGGGAGGAGGGTGCGGTTGACAGATAAGCCTGTGAGGAAAAAACACAGAGCCTGTGATTCTCATGAGTTTGACATACTTGAAAAAACACAGGGCGTAATTGAAAACGCCCTTACCTGCACAACGCACTGAACGATAAGCTCCCGGGTCTTCTCGCTGCGGCTCGTGCGCATCAGCACCACAAACGGCTTCAGGATGTCGTTCTGGAAGGTGAAGCGCGCCAGCTCAGCGCGCTCAAGATATTTCAGCGCCAGCTGGCGGATGGAGTCGACGGCGTACATGGCGACGTGCTCGTCGGGGTTCTGACCCGCCGTGATGAAATGGATAGCTAGCACTGACCAGATGCGCGCCCACACCTGCACCAGACGAGGGGGAGAGGGAAGGGGGGAAGGTTGAAGGGCGAGAGAGGGGATAAGGGGAGGACAGCGTACATGGCCACGTGCTCGTCGGGGATTTGCCCTGCCGTGATGAAATGCACCGCCAGCACCGGCCATATGCGCGCCCACACCTGCATGAGAGAGGGAGGGGGGGGGGGGGGGGGGGGGGGGGGGGGGGGGAGTGGGGGAGAGGGGGGAATGAAGGGGAGGACGTCGTACGTGGCGACGTGCTCGTCAGGGAAACCGACCGCGATGAAATGTACTGCCAGCACTGACACCGACCAGATGCCATTGCAAGACATGCCATTGCAAGACATGCCATTGCAAGACATGCCATTGCAAGACATGCCCTATCCCCCAGCGAGGTGACTCCCACCAGTGCACTCATGTGCCCCACCTCATGCGCACACCATGTGCACACAACATGTGGATGCCACCCCATACGCACCATTCGGACATGCATCATGTTGTTGTTACAGTCAGAGATCTTCTGCAGCGAGAGGACCCACCTGCAGAGGCCTTCAAGTGCACTGCACTCACCTGCCTCGAGTGCTGGGGGGGAGACTCAAGCACCTTGTGAGCTACCAACCACACACACTCGTGCCTCCAATGAAAAACGCACCATGCGGATGCGAGTCATGTTGTAGTAGGAGATCTCCACGATCTTCTGCAGCGAGAACACCCGCGGGGGTGACTGGCGCAGCTCCTCTGCGGACACGCCGCAGAGAGCTATGAAGAACTCCACGACCGCGTCTGATGGCAGGCGCGAGCTCACCACAAACACCTGATGGAAGGGAGTGCATGGGAGGGGAGAGAGGGAGTGCATGGGAGGGGAGAGAGGGAGTGCATGAGGGGCAGGGACTGCCGGAGCTCCTCTGCTGACACGCCGCAGAGAGCGATGAAGAACTCCACCACTGGTGGTTCCTCCCACCTACCCACCTGCTCCAGCAGCTTCCCCCCTACCCCGCCCACCCCAACCACGCCCCATGCACCCACCTGCCCCTTGCGCACCAATCCCCCATCCCCCATCTCCCATCTTCCATCTCCCATCCCCCGTCTCCCGTCTCCCATCTCCCGTCTCCCTCAGTCCCTCCTGCCCTGCCCTCCCCCATCCCCCATCTCCCGTCTCCCGTCTCCCATCCTTCATCCCCCCCCACACTAACCCGCCCCAGCACTTCCCTTCCCCCACCAAAACACGCACCTGTTCCAGCGGCTTCCCTGACAATTCCTCCACCCCTGCCAGCAGCGCCTCCCTCACTGCCACCGGCGCGGGCTGCGCTCCCAGCATCGCCAGCATGGCAGGTGACGTGGCAACGTGTTCCAGCCTGGACACGCACTCCAGCACAGCATTCCACGTGTCCTGCAGCGCCTCTGGCTCCTGCTCAGCTATCGCCAGCAGCGTGCGGATCGCCTCTAGGTTCTTCACCCGGAGCTCCCTCGGCGCGTGCAGGAAGGTGAAGCGCACGAGAGAAGTCAGGAGCGCGTAGCGGAGAGTCTCCATGCCCAGGAGAAACGCCAGGTGAATCGCACAGCGGAGCCCGTCCATGCAGACAACCACCAGGCTCTTCGGCCCCACACCCCCTGCACCCCCTGCACCCCCTGCACTCCCTGCCAATGCTGCAGCACTATCTCCTGAAGGCCCTTCCTCCATGGTCACAGCAAACGTGGCTACGAGCGGCCAGCCTACCGCCTCCAGCATGGGCCGAGCGAGGTCAGCGTGGGCAGCGGAGTGGAACACTCCCCTCTGAACGCGGCCTCGCCTCACAATCGCCTGCGTGCGCTTGATTATATCGTCGCTCTCCTTCCTCATGTCCCCAGCGCTTCTCTTATGCCCCGACGCCAGATTCAGCACCGTTACCAGCTGCCCTTTCTCCTTCCCACCTGCCCCGCCCGCTCCTCCACCCACTCCGGCACCCCCCGGACCGCCATCATCGCGCAGTTTAATCTCCTCGGAGACTATTGAGTCATAAATGGCTTCTAGGAGCTCCTTAGGAGCGCTCTCCTCGCCCTCTAGGGAGGAGTTGATGCGCACGAAGTCGGCTTTGGTCATCTTGGCGGTCACCACGGGGTTGTGGGCGTCCGTGTTGAGCATGATGATTGCGTACGCCAGCACGTACGCACTGTCTGCCGTCTTGAATACTCCCGGGTTGTCCTTGCAGTACCTGGGCCGGTGAGTGCAGAGGGGAGGCAGGAGAGGAAGGGGGATGGAAGGGAGGGGTTGTGGACGTCTGTGTTGAGCATGATGATTGCGTACGCCAGCACGTAGGCAGTGACTGCCGTTTAGAACACACCAGGGTTGTCCTTGCAGTACCTCGGGAGGGGAATGGAAAGGAAGTGTTGTGTGCATTGAAGTTGAGCACGATCACAGAGAGAGAGGCAGAAGCCCCTGAGACGTCACAAAAACAAAAAATTCTTTCACGTGGAGCATGATCGCTGGGCCTGTAACACACCTAGGCAGGCGCCTCCAGTAACACACCTAAGCAGGCGCCTCCAGTAACACACCTAAGCAGGCGCCTCCTGTAACACACCTAAGCAGGCGCCTCCAGTAACACACCTAGGCAGGCGCCTCCTGTAACACACCTAGGCAGGCGCCTCCTGTGACAGACGGAAACCCCAATTGCCAGAGGCACACCCTCAAAGCTCTGGCTATCCCCTTCACTCACTTGTCAACCACACTCACTCCCTCCCTCCTCAGCCAACCACTCACTTCTAAAGAAACCTCTCCATGATGCCATCAGTCTTCTGCGCCTTGCGTCAGGAGTCAGAAGCCGGTGAGGAAGGTGCTCTTGGACTTTGCAGCAGAATCAGAATCAGTCACCCAAACCAAACCCACTTCTCAAACACACTCACTTCTCTGCGAACTTCTCCATTATCCGGTCGATCTTCTGTGCCTCCCCCGGCAAGCGGAAGCCCTTGAGGAAGAGGCGGATGGCGTGGTCGAAGGAGGTGTTGTGGAAGGGGATTCCGTCCACATACGCGTGCATCACCTCCAGATGGTAGTCGTCGTGATGGCCCAGGTAGTCCCCTATGGCCGTCTGAAAGAAGAGCCACACACCCGACACACATGGCACGCACAGAGGAGATCAGGGGAAGAGGAGGAATGTAGTGAGCCAGGGAGTCAGCCATGTAGGCGTGCATCACCTCCAGATGGTAGTCGTCGTTATGGCCCAGATAGTCCCCTGGCGGGAAAAACCTGCGTGGAGAGAAGAGGGGAGGAGGGGGGAGGAGGAGGGCAAACGAGTGTGCATGGCATTAGATGCTGGCTGTGGTGCAGGTGGCAGTGCCAGCCACCACCATGGCATGCCGGCTGTTTCTCGCCACCTAATCAACTCCCACTCACTTACCCCAGGCATGCTGACCTGACATCCACTCCTCACCGTCTCACACCATATCACACCGTTTCACACCGTCTCTCACCTTATCGAGCCCAGGAGTGGAGCACAGGAACTCAGCCGTGGCAGCAGCATTGCAAGCCAGCAGCCCTAGCGCTACCACAGGCATGCTGACCTGACATCCACTCCTCTTCACCGTTTCACACCGTCTCATGCCATGCCATGCCATGCCATGCCATGACTCACCTTATCGAGCCCAGGGGTGGAGCGCAGGAACTCAGCCGTGGCAGCAGCATCAGCAGCCAGCAGCCCTCTCGTCCGCAGGAACGCCAGCCCCTTCTCTGGCTTCATGTTGAACTGTAGGGGCAGAGGAGGGTGTGGAGGGGTGCAGAGGGGTGGGCAGGGGTGAGGATGCACCTTCCAATTCTACCTTTCTGCGCCTTGGCCCACCCAAACTGACCCAAGTGAGACCTGACCTGACCTGACTGCTTTCCTCTAACGACATGCAATGCCGCTCCTACCTTTTCCACTGCAGTCTCTAACGCTGCCTTCTGTGCCTTGGCCCACCCAAACAATGTGCAACGCTCCGCCTACCTTTTCCACTGCAGTTTCCAAAGCTGCCTTCTGCGCCTTCGCCCGGCCAAACTGATCTGCCTGCGACTCTTCTGCTGCCCACTTCGCCACCCGCCCCTCCCTCTCCTCCTCCTCCTCATCCTCCTCCTCAACCGCTCCCAACCCCTCCGCCTTCCAGTCATCCCCTTCCTCCTCCTTCTCCCCAGCTGCTGGGACTGCTGGGGCTGGTGGCTTATCCTTCCCATACCACGTATCCAACGCATGCACCACGTTCACCAAGCACTGCAACGCAGCCAGCTTCACCGCCGCTACCAGCGCCGCCCCTCCTTCCCCTCCCGTGCCCGCTCCCCCCGCCCCTGGCCCCCCGCCCACAACCCCCTGAACAGGCATCTGTGCAAGCCGCTCCAGAGACGTGACCATACGCTCAAACAGATTGGACGCGTCCAAATCACAGTCGTAATTCACAAACACATCTGCTAGCAACTGCGCGTCGGCTGTGAGCCGCTCGAGCACTCTCAGCAGCCCCAGGCGCTGGGTGGGGGAGATATCCGGGGAGTCTAGCGAGCGGAGGACGACGAGGGGGAAGAAGAGGCCGATCTCGGCTTTAAGTGACTCGCGGAAGCGCTGGATGAGCGTGGCGAAGATGGCGCAGGCAAGGCCGTGGATGCGGTCGGAGGGCGAGACGGCTGCTCGCACGAGCGCATAGCAGAGGTACATCTTGATGGAGTCCAGGAAGGCGAAATTGAGCGTGAACTCACGGCTGACCGATTCTAACAGGCCCTGCAAAAAGGGGTTGAGGCGGGAGGACAATGCGGTTCGGAGGGATGAGAATGGGGGGAACCAGGCGAGGGAGAAAGAGGGTGGGACTCGCGGAAGCGCTGGATGAGCGTGGCGAAGATGGCGCAGGCGTGGCCGTGGATGCGGTCGGAGGGCGAGACGGCTGCTCGCACGAGCGCGTAGCAGAGGTACATCTTGATGGAGTCGAGGAAGGCGAAATTGAGCGTGAACTCGCGGCTTACTGACTCCAGAAGACCCTGGGGAGGGGGCGACGCATGTGTTGGAGGGAAAAGGGTGGGGCGGGTGGGCACGAGGGGACGAGCGCGTAGCAGATGTACATTTTGATGGAGTCAAGGAAGGCTAAGTTAAGCGTGAACTCGCGACTCACTGAGTCTAAGAAACCCTGGTGGAGGGAGGGGGTCAGGGGAGTGGGGGGAAGAGTGGGCAGTGGTTGGCACGAGCGCATCACCACACGCTCACTCGCTGCACCGCCCGCTCACACGCTGCACCGCCCGCTCACACGCTGCACCGCCCGCTCATACACTAGAGAGGGCGTGGCTCCTTGAGCAGCATAGGGCAATTGTCCCCCAACACCTGATTGACGACCCACCCACCTGCAGCAGCTGCAGGGACAGTGCCTTGGTGCGCAGCACGAGGTCCTCTGTGCCGTCCTTCATGGCCATCTTGCTGACCACCCACCTGCCTGCAGTGCAGGAGCTACAAGCAACCCACCCACCTGCAGCAGCTGGAGGGAGAGCGCCTTGGTGCGCAGCACGAGGTCCTCTGTGCCGTCCTTCATGGCCATCTTGCACAGCGTGCGGAACACCAGCAGCGCGTCCCGCTGTGCCAGAGCCAGCAGGCTCAGATCGATGCCCCTGTGGTGGGGAGGGTGGGGAGGATGATATGGCAGGATGGGTCTTGAGGCGCCTCAAAAAGCGTGCGGAACACCAGCAGCGCGTCCCGCTGCGCCAGTGCTAGCAGGCTCAAATCAATGCCCCTGTGGTGGTGGCAAGGCGGCGAGGATGATATGGCAGGGTGGGAGGTTGTCAGTCAACTTGACCAGTCGACTTGTTGGGTTGCAAAACGGTAAACAAAGATACATGGATACTGTCACGATGCACCACACCACAACTCTCCTTACAATCACAAATCAAACCGCATCTCAGTTCACTTAACTCACTTTGGGGCAGCAGGAGTCGCCCCAGCTCCCTCCTCTCCACCGCCCTCCCCTGCCAACCCAGCATTCACCTGCCAACCCAGCATTCCCCTGCCAACCCAGCATTCCCCTGCCAACCCAGCATTCCCCTACCAACCCAGCATTCCCCTGCCAACCCAGCATTCCCCTCCCCTTCACCACCACCCTCATCACCATCACAAACCAAACCGCATATCAGATTCACTCACTTTGGGGCAGCAGGCGTCGCCCCCGCTCCCTCCTCCCCACCACTCTCCCCTGCCGACCCAGCACCCCCCTCCCCTTCACCACCCTCACCCCCACCACCACCACCCCCAGCAGCAGCATCCCCGCCTGCCCCCCCTCCCTGCGGCCTAAGTGCTTTACTTAGCACAGCGTCTAGAGCCTCTATACTGGGTTGCGGCCCCTCCAGGACTTTTAGCTCCTCCTGTACTCCCGCTCTCTCGTCCCTCTCCCCGTTGCCCTCAACCTCCCCCTCCTCCTCCGCCTCCCCGCCTCCCTCCTTCCCTTCCGTCCCCTCCACAGGAGCAGCAGCACTGCTACCATCACCAGCAGCAGCAGCATCACCAGCGGCAGCAGCAGCAGGTTGGTCCTCGAAAGGCCCCTCCCCGGAGGGCTTGGTGGGTGTGGGGTAGGCGTGGGGGCGCTGAGGGGCGCTCTGCACATGTCACATGTGGGGGAGAGGAGGGGGAAGAGCGTGGATGGGGTTCGCGGGGGCAGGATGTGGAGGCTGAAAGAAGGATTGTGCGTGAGAGGGTGGGTGAGAGGGTGGGTGAGAGGGTGGGTGAGGGGGTGGGTGAGAGGGTGAGGGGGTGGGTGAGGGGGTGGAAGCATCAGAAAGATCAATTTGGAGGCTGAGGGGAGAGGAAGGGTAAGATGACACAGAATCTGGACAGACCTATTGCTACCTCTCATGGAACTCACGGCTAGCCCTCAATAGGGGTCCTGACTGCACACTCTGATGAGACTCACAGCTAGCTCTGATGCCTCCATGCGCTTGAAGACGATGTTGAGCATCTGCGTGAGCGTGCCCCTTGCTGTTGACAGGTTCACCTGGCTCTTGCTGCAGAGAAGCACGTGGGGAGGGAGGTATGGAAGGATGAAGAAAGCAAGAGACAGAGAGCCTTGCACACAATGTGCTGGAATGGTAATCAGATGGATAAGATGTGGAGAACCTGAGTGACCGTACCCCTGGCTGTTGACAGGTTCACCTGGAGCGAGGAGGCACAAAGGGAGAACGAGCGGATCACAGGCGGATCAAGCATGCTTCGAGAAGGAAGTAGGATGTTTTTTCCAAGAAAACAAGCATGGAAAGAGTGCTGTGTGATGCCTACGACTGCTTGCTGCTTGCTTGGTGAAGGAACACAGCAAGCTGATTTGAACCGTACTTGCTGTGTCGGCACACAAATGATGATGGGGCAACTCACCTTGTGAGCACAATGTTGTAGCATGTGCGCAGAGCAAGAATCAAGCAGTCCCCATGCACTGGCAGACAGCACGCATGGACAAGGGGAATGGATCACGGTGAATGGGGAGACGAATGGGGAGGGGGATAAGCTTGGTTGAATTCGTTCAGAGTGCGTGGAGGGAGAGGGAATGTCGAGTGACGGATTTTGGGGGGAGACAAAAGGTGAGGCGATGGCAGGTGAGGAGACGAAGGGTGGGGAGATGAAAGGTGGGGAGATGAAAGGTGGGGAGATGAAAGGTGGGGAGATGAAAGGTGGGGAGATGAAAGGTGGGGAGATGAAAGGTGGGGAGATGAAAGGTGGGGAGATGAAAGGTGGGGAGATGAAAGGTGGGGAGATGAAAGGTGGGGAGATGAAAGGTGGGGAGATGAAAGGTGGGGAGATGAAAGGTGGGGAGATGAAAGGTGGGGAGATGAAAGGTGGGGAGATGAAAGGTGGGGAGATGAAAGGTGCCAAACTGCTTACAGATGAGGGTGAGAAGCTGGGTTGAATGAAAAACGTGGGTACCTTGGAAAGTGGAGGAGGCGATGGCAGTGAGAATGACCTTGATGACCTGCAGCACCACACTGAGGAGCGGAGAAGAGAGCGGAGGAAAGGGAGGGTGGAGAAGAGTTTTCTTCAGGCGCCTCAAAGAGGCGATGGCAGTGTGTCTCCAATCCCACAGTACAACGCGATACACAGCCCCATCTGTCAAGTGCCGTGTTATCGGCGCAGGAGCAGACGAGCTGGAAGATCTCTGTGTGCACCGCGTTGTTCTTGCCGCCCTCAACCCCCCAAGTGGCATGCATTACGCAATAAGCTCACAGCAATAAGCTCACCTGTCAAGTGCCGTGTTGTCCGCGCAGGAGCACACCAGCTGGAAGATCTCTGTGTGCACTTTGTTGTTCTTGCCGCCCTCCAGCCCGCAGTCGCCCTCCAAATGACCGTACGATATCAGTTTCTGCTCCAATACAGTCACACCAGGAGATTCCACAGCAATAACCGCACGCGAATGGCAAGAGGGAGAGAGACGCATGATTAGGACAGAGGTAAGTGGGTAGGACGGAGTCACGTGCAGGCAATCAGGCACCACATTCAACAGCCGGCTCTTCAGGCACCTCAATATGAGAAGGAAAGTCGGGAAGGGGGGAGGGGGGGATGAAAGGAAGTGGTAGGATGAGGGGGATAGGACGGAGTAAGGAGGGGTGGGAGGGAGAGAAGGGGTGGGGAGCAGGCGATTTGGAGCGGATGGGACAAAAGCAAGGAGGAATGGGGGTGGAGAGCACCCACATGCAGGCAGTCAAGAGCCGTCTCCATGAGGCGGCTCTGCTTGCTCTGTGAGCTCCGGCTTTTTGCGACGCCTCAAAGAAGAGGACGGGAAACGGCGGGAGGGTGGAGGAGGGGCGAGCACTCACGTGCAGGCAATCAAGCGCCGTTTCCATGAGGCGGCTCTGCTTGCTCTCTATGGCCAGCCGCAGCGGACACAGAATGAGCTCCTCTTCTACACCATCCAGCGAGTGCCCCGCCTCCGCCATCAATAAAGGACAAGGGGGAAGGGGAGGGTGCAGCACTCACGTGCAGGCAGTCAAGAGCCGTCTCCATGAGGCGGCTCTGCTTGCTCTCTATGGCCAGCCGCAACGGGCACAGGATGAGCTCCGCCTCTACACCTTCCAGCGAGTGCCCCGCCTCCGCCATCGCGGCCGCTGCTGTCACATTCGCCGCGTTCGCCGTGTTCGGGCGCGCGCGCCCGCTGCCCTCCCCGCTGCCCGCAGGTTCTAGCGGGATGGTGCCCGCCAGCTGCGGCGGCTGTTGCGGCTGCGGAACGATTTCCGCCGCTCCTGGCTCGTCTGTCTGAGGCAGTCCATAGCGCGGATCAACCCTGATGGGGAAAGAGTGACCGAATGGTTCATGCGTGTGGGGCCAAGGCGCACGCTTGGTGAGAGATTGTTGCAAGAGGTTACTGACTTGGACCTTTCAGTGGATTAACTGGAAGTGTGTCGCAGTGTGTGTTTTATTTGGCGAGAAGGGTGGATCAGCTAAGTCGTGCGATGTTAATCCGAGAGAAAAGAATTCGGAGGAATGAAGCACACTCCGAACAAAAGACGGAAGAAATGGGAAAGGAGTCGAGGAGGGGGGGAGGGGGTGGGGGGATGGCTGCAGAAAAGGAAAACAGAAGGAGCGGAAAGAGAGAGATCGGCGACTGACCGTGATGCTGATGTGACCAGAACCAAATGCTCCCCCTTGGGTCGATCTGCCGGTCATGAGACGAGCACGGCCGGAAAGAGAAGGAACGGAAAGGAGAAGGCCTGAATTCCCGAATGTTTGCGGATTGAAACGTCGCTTGTTTGGCGACGCAGTTGTGAGATGACTCGGAACTTGACTAATATATCGCTAGTGTTGTTATGGTGCGTACGAATGCGAGCATTTTAGTAAGCTGGTACGTATGTAAATAGGCTGTAAGTGCCTGGTCTGGTTTCTAAGATTCCCCTACCTAAATAGGCTTTAAGCGCCTGGTGTAGCTTCTGAAACTTCCGTCCCGTGGATTCCCGCAGAAGCTTCTCGAATGCGCGTGTGACGAACGCGCCTTGTGCGTCGGCCATCTCGTCGACCTGCAGCGCGGAGTGAAATCACCGCGTAGTCGCACGGAAATTGTAAGGCGTCCCGTAAAGGAGAGACACGATATTGTCGACGTGTGAACGAAATCGACGCTATAGCCGTCACGTGAAGGAAATGTGAATACATTCAAGGGCAATCAAGAAACTTCGTGGGTAGCCTAACTCGGCGAAATGTCACCAGAAATGATCGGAGAAAGGAGATTGACGACATAAATGGGATAGATTGAGAATGTCCAACATTGACCGAAGAAGCACTGTTTGGCTATCACATCTCGTTTGCTGTGTCCGGCATAGCAACACTATATCGCCTATAATCCATTTCACGCTCCATTCCCCACTACTGCTTTCTCGATCGATGCCTTACTACTTATTTCGTTTTATTACCTCTTCCGGCTCTTGTCGCCTCCAGATCCGATCAAGCACGCCGCGCCATGCCATGTCACCCCGCAAATTCCACCATCATGGGAACAATCTCGCCCGTCCACTACAAGATCCGTCGGTTTCTGAACGGGATGCTTGCCGGATGGCCTAGGCGTGCAGTCGAAGTGAAAAAGTATAACAAGAACTGCGTTGAATTTCTGTGATCCTGATAGGAGGACCTGGCAATGCTGGAACTAAACACAGACTGCGACACTTGAGCGCAATAATAGAATCTGGCCGACACTACGCCGCGACTGACCAATCTCTGGCTAACCTTAACGTTGAAAATAGTGGGAGGAAGGTGTAATCACGGCGGGGAACAGCAAGCTTCACCAATCAGACTGCAAGAATGGAGGTATGTAGTGGAGGAATCGAGGGAGAGGAAGGCGGATGGAAGGCGAAGGCTGCTGTGCAGAGAGCCGCAGATCTCGAGGGAAGCCAGACACCACTCCATTGAAACTGGATCATTCGATTGGAGACTCCTCGCTTGGGGTGGCGCTGGAAGTTCCGAATTCTCACTTTTGCAATATACCGTCATGGTGACAGGATAAATGCACACAAAACCTCAAACCCATTGTGCTAAAAGCAAAAGAAACCAATAAATTACCTAACTATACATGTGAGCATGGACATACCAGCATAAAAGCACGAGAGCGAGCAGCTCTCACATAGTCATCCTAAATGCGTATAAGCCATGCAGAGAAAGAAATGCTACGAAGCCTTCAAGCGGAAAATAATGCAGCTCTCCTTATATGGCATGGTGTCGCCCTCAGAATCCTTAACAACTGAGGAGAAAATGTTGATGACCCCCCCTTCGTCTTGTACTTGAGCTGAATTGATGTCCAGGCGAACAAATGAGTTGGAGAAGGCCTGCTTCAAGCTCAATGGATTGAATTGCCTCACTCTCACAACCTGCACAAGTTCCACACGCAGATTAAGGATATTGTTTTACCATACTAGTGTCAATCATGATAAGGAAACAGAGAAAAAAAAACAGAAACGCGACAAACACATACCTCTCCATTGGCATAAAACTGACTCCTCGTGGCATGGTAAACCTCATCAGGCACATGGACGCAAATCGACCTCCCGTTGCCGCTGTTTGCCGCCACCACACGACAAGTCCGGTTACCACGTAACACCACCAGCGCAGGACTAATCACCTCCTCCGCCAAGGCACCGCTAATGTCCAGCGTTGGCACTCGATCCTCATACCCCACAAACCTGAACACACACCGGATGGGTGACGGGTTGCACAGGGGGAAGCTGCTGCCTGGGCCGCTGGGCTGACTCACATTCCCCGCACCAGGGGTAGGTGGATTTGGGGGAGGTGGTGCCTGCGGGGAAAAGAGCGGAGGGTTAGGTGGAGGAGAGGCGAGAAGGACGTTCGGGGGAGGGGGAGGTGGGGGGAATTTGGAAGCTGGAGTGAAGGTCTCAGGGGGAGGAGGCGGGGGGAATGAGTGCGGAGGGGGAGGGGGAGACGCAGCAACGACTGGCGGCACAGAGTTTAAGGGAACCACAGGATAGGGAGGCAGGGAGGAGGTGAAAAACGGGTCCAGGTGCGGGTTCGATGGCTCCCCCGCCCCCTCAACTTGCGGCATGGTCGTTTCAAGCCCTAGGAGCTCTGACGTGGGCGGCATACTCGATATAGTCACAGGGGAGTCTTTCCCCGATACCCATATAGTGATGGACTGCCCGTCTGGGCGCCGCGCATAGAGCTTCGCCATGCCCTCGTCGAGGGCTTTAAACTCCTCGAGAGGGTTTTCGACGTAGTCAGCGGGCAGTCGCGGCAAACGCGGGCACCACACGGACGCGACTTCGCCCACGCCGCCCGTGACTGCCGGCGCGGGAGCCGCGGGCGGGCTGGGAAGCGACGCTGGCGCCGGCGCGGGCGAGGGGCTGTCGTCGCCGTCGCCGGGCGAAGGCGCTGGGTATGGCGGAAAGGGGAAGGAGTCGTCCGGGGGGGAGCCCGGGGGGGGCGGAGCGGAGTCCGCGGGGGGCGGATCTGGCGGGTCGGCGCTGGGATCTTCCGGGAGAGGCTGAGGAGGTTCGCTTGACGGGAGATCTACGATTTCCCAGCTGTCGTCGGGAAAGAACTCTGCAACACACATGAACACGCGGACTCGCTGTCAATTGTTGAAGACAGACAATGCGACAACAAGCGTGACTCAGTACGAGAAGTGTGTTTGCCGCGACAGCTGGGAGTTGTGCGGCATGGCGCGCTTACCAAAAGAATTTTCTTCACCGCCTAGCGACCGTCGTCGCGAAGACGCTGCACCTGGAGTAATAGGCGACTCGATCTCTCCATGTGCTAAACTTTCTACCTTCAACCGGGCTGAGCCGAGCCGAATATGCTCCTGCCGCACTTCCAGCTCCTGGTTCGCGCGGAGAGACTTTTCTCCTCGCCATGTGCTGATTTCTTCGCGCCAGACGTCCCGTACGGCGCTCTGCTGCTTTCGCCAGCCGCCATCGAGAATGCTGGCTGAGCTGAGCCTGCTAATAGTGCTCAGAGCTGCAACTAGAGTGGTAAGCAGAATGAGTAATGGCGGATAAAGATTCCAGTGAATGGACTTGGAGCAGAATGGGGCGCACATTGCTGCGAGCGACAAGGAATGAGGTTTGCGAAAGAACATTTGGAATTGAGACTGGAAAATGGTCGGCTCGCGACGCATGCGACGCTACTTGGCGTTTCGTTTGGGAGCTGGACGATGTCGGTTCAAACGCCTTTTTGCTTACCGCATATCGCATTCAGTCGTCGCCACTTTCGTCTTCGGCTGAAGGGAGGGCTGTTGATCGCTGCGAAGCGAGCGACCCGACGATGGGATCGCGTGCGACCGACTAGTCACAAACGCCACTCTGGTCGCTGAAAATAGGGCTCGCGCGTTAGTGTAACACCTGATCATTTGACCAGTTATGGAATGTTCTGTCTGCTGATCATAACCAGCCCAGTTCTGGTAAACTTGCGACAGACGCTCGTTAAATTCTATCGATCTTCTCATAACGAGAACTTCTGTCACTGTTTCTTCAAACGACGGATCACAGAATCCTTTTAGGGACAGCTAGGTACCTAGCTGGGTACCTAGGGACCTGGGGGCTTCTGTTCATAAATCGTATAACCTTCAACGATCAGTCAGCCAATTAAAGACGACCGTGCACACAACCGCTAGGCTGGAGCGAGAACTCTGTCATATTTTTTGTTCCCAGACTTCGTTCATGCCGTGCGCTTGACCCTTCTCCTCGATCGCAGCTGATCCATTGCTTTCGCCCCCTGAGTCGCTTTGCTCGCTGGATAACGATCTAAGGCTAGAAAAGCTGTCGCGAATCCGCAGTTTTGTCGCCGATCCGCGATTCGTTTAGTCGACCCTTAGAACCAGCCATTGATCTGAAGAATGCGCCGCTGATCGGATAGCACCTTAGCTCGCAACTTGATGCTAATCGCAGCCCTAGCCAGTCATAAATCCGAAGCGAATTACTGATCTCAAGCAAAATCGTGATTCTAAGCTGATCCGTGGCCTGTGCGCGGCTCCATTTTCTATCGCACTTAATCCATTCGGTTGCCATGGCCGCGGATTCCGGGTCGGCGTCAGGTCGATTGATTCGGGTGGGAGTGCTGGCGCTGCAAGGCTCGTTCCGCGAGCACATTGCAGGTCAGTGTCAAAGATCAGCGATTCGTTGTTGTGAATGACATTACTGTTTGTTGCTCATTTCTCTGCAAGTCTCGTTTCGAGGTTTGGTCGTGCAAAGAGCACATTGCAGGTGAGTGTTGTTGTGATCAGCGATCAGTTGTTGTTCATCGCTCTGCAAGGCTTCCTCCTTCCGCAAGCACATCGTGAGTCTGTGTGAGCTCAGCGATCAGTCGTTGTGAATAGCATCGAATGTTGGCTTTGATTGTCTGCTCCTCTTTGCGCTGCAAGATTCGTTCTTTTAGAGAACACTTTGCAGGTCAGTTCCAGCTCGCGATCAGTTGTCTTGAATGCGTGTGTTGGTCACTATCAGCTCGCATTCATTATTTGCTGTCGTGAATGGCAATTATTGTCCGTTGCATGCGTATGTTGGTCAGTCTCAGTGTCCGTCGCGGTGTTGTGAATGGCATTGATTGTCCGTTGCGCGGTGCTCCGCAAGGCTAGTTCGTTCGAGGAGCACATCGCGGATCGCAGATCAGCTTGCATCTTCCAAGCAGACCACTTTCCGACTCGTAAAATCTCGTCGTCGAGAGGTGCGTGAGGTGAGTCGAGAGCTGTCGTTGGAAGAAGTCGAGGTCCGCTCGGGCGCGGAGCTGCGGTGCGTGCAGGCGGAGCTGCGGGCGCTTTACATCCCACTCCCTCCCCGCATCCCGCCCTCCCTTCATCAGCTCCGCGCATGTGCGCGGCTGGTATGAAGGCATTCAACACGGATCCTATCGTGGTCCGCACGGGCGCGGAGCTGCGGAGCGCTCATAATCCCCGTTTCTCTCCCCTGCGTCCATTCGCCCCTGCTTCCGCCCCTGCTTCCGCCCCTCCTTCCGCCCCTCCCTCCCTTCCGCAGCGCTTCGCAGGTGCGCGACGGACATGAAGGTTAGCATCGAGGCCGGGAGGTGGGGTCGGTTCAAGCGCTCATCATTCCCGTCCCTGCCTTCCCTTCCGCCTTCCCTCCCTCCTTCCGCCCCTCCGTTCCGCAGCTCTGCGCAGGTGCGCGGCGGACATGAAGGTTAGCATCGAGGCAATGGAGGTGCGCACGGACGCGGAGCTGCGGAGCGTGCAGGCGCTCATCATTCCCGGCGGGGAGAGCACCACTATGGCCAATCTTGCCCAGCGATGCGGCCTGGTACGATGCCTTGAGCGCCGTCTTTTCTGCTATCTTTTTTACTATCTTTCCCCTCAACCCTTGCGCTCATCATTCCCGGCGGGGAGAGCACCGCCATGGCCGACCTCGCCCAGCGATGCGGACTGGTGAGATGCTTTGACGCTATATCCCCCTGTTCCTCTAGCCCTTCGCCACACTATCTCTCGTTTCCACACTATCCGCCCTTCACGCTATCGTTTTGGCTACCCGCGGGGAGAGCACCACCATGACATCCCATGCCTTTTTTGGAACTTCCTCCCGCGTTGCAGGAGTTCGCAGCCTCTTTTTCCAGTCGACTTGCAAAATCCAGACATCCCGACTGACTCTCCCGCGCCCCTCCTTCCCCTCCCTCCTCCCCCACCCCCCATCCCCCCCACTTCCCCCATCCCCCTTCCCCTCATTCCTGTCCCTTCCCCCAGCTCGGCGCGCTGCAGGAGTTCGCAGCCTCTGGGCGGCCGATGTGGGGGACGTGTGCCGGACTCATATTCCTGGCCAACAAGGCGCTAGGTGCGTGGTGGAGGGGAGAGAAAACAGGGTGGGGGAGAAAGGGGGGGAGATGGGGGAGATGGGAGGGGGAGAGAGGGGATGGGTAGAGGGGAACGGATGGGTGGTGGGTATCTCCTCTTCCTTCACGTCTCCCCTTCCCATCACGCCTCCCCTTCCCATCACGCCTCCCCTTCCCATCACGCCTCCCCTTCCCATCACGCCTCCCCTTCCCATCACGCCTCCCCTTCCCATCACGCCTCCCCTTCCCATCACGCCTCCCCTTCCCATCACGTCTCCCCTTCCCATCACGCCTCCCCTTCCCATCACGCCTCCCCTGCACTCCCATTCTGCTGCATTCTCTCCCTCCGTACGCGCCTCTGTCCCTCTCCTGGCTGGCGCCTGGCCGGCAAGAAATTGTGAATTCCTTGGGTCCTTGGGTCTTTCCTTCCCGCGAATCCCTTCTCGTCTCCCATGCGCCCTTCTCGTCTCCCATGCGCCCTTCTCGTCTCCCATGCGCCCGTCTCATGCGCCTCTGTCCCTTCCCTGGCCGGTGCATGGCAGGTCAGAAGTCGGGAGGGCAGGCGCTGCTGGGTGGACTCGACTGCACCGTGCACCGAAACTTCTTTGGCAGCCAGGTGGGTGGACCTTCGAAAGGGATGGGGGGGGGAGTGTTTCGTCTGTGAGTAACTTGGTGGGTGAGTTGTGTTGAATTCAAAGGCAGGCGCTGCTGGGTGGACTTGACTGCACCGTGCACCGAAACTTCTTTGGCAGCCAGGTCTGAGGGTTTCCGAAAGGGGTGGGGGTGGGATAACTTATCAGGTGAGTCGAATTCCAAAGCAGCTGCTGCTGGGGGTACTGGACCATGCACCTTGTTGTTTCCATCTATGCACACCCATGTGTGCATGGGTATGCCTGTCTGCTATTCTAAGCCCCCTCCCCACCCTTCCCTCTCACCCATGCAGATCAACAGCTTTGAGACTCTCCTTCCCTTCCCGCACCACACCCTTCAATCCACCTCCGCAGCAACACCATCATCAGAAGCATCAGCACCTCCCCCTCCCCAGTCACACCCATCCCTCCCTCACCCCTCTCCTGACGCCTCTCCCGCCTCTCCCGCCTCCCCCTTTCGGGCTGTGTTTATACGAGCCCCGGCCATCATCCACACCGGCCCTGCTGTTGAGGTTCTAGCGGAATATCCTCTTCCCAACCGTGCCTCTGCCGTTGCCGCACCTGCTGCCCCGGCCGCACCTGCAGGTGCTGGTTCGGCCGAGCCTGCAGCTGCTGCTTCGGCCGTGCCTGACCAGAGCGGCCAGGAGCTTTCGGAAGCAGAAATTCTAGCGAAGGTGAGAAATTTAACGAGGTATTCGAATGCACCACGTGCTTCCTAAGGGGCCCTGATTGCTGTTCCATTCAACAGGGATAGACTGTTCCACTCTCCTTCTCTCCTCCTCCATGACCTATACACGCGACCTGTTTTTTCTCCTTCCGTTGCCGTTTTGGATCGTCGCAAGCTTATGTGTCACATGTTTTCGTCACCCCCTTGTGTGTTGACTCTGTTGACTTGTGTTAATTTGTTGACTTATGTTTTCCCCTCTGTTGACTCTCTTCACTCGTCTGCCAGTTGGACCGGGTGGCAGTGGCGGTGAGGCAGGGCAGGCTGCTGGCCACGGCATTCCATCCGGAGCTCACAGCCGACCTCAGATGGTGAGATACAGATGCTGTTTTTCTTAGTCTACTACTGTAAGATAGTCAGGGCAGGCTGTATTCCACCTCAGATGGTGAGACACAAATGCTCACATCTCGTCTGTTCCAAAGCCCTTCCTATTCTTGACCAGCCTCTTCACGCCCATCTCCTCCCTCTCTGCCTGCACTTCGATACCCATCTGCACCCATTCCTCTCTGCACACACCGTTACCCACCCCCGTTCGAACAGCAATCTGTTCGTGCCATCCGCCTGCTCCCGTGTGTGATTTAAAGGCACCGCTTGTTCCTTCAATTGATCCTTTCCCCATGTGTGTGTGACCCATCGCCCTGTGTTCGTGCCATCTACCTTTCCCCATGTGTGCTTGAACAGGCACCGCTTGTTCCTTCACATGATTCTCGACGCACTCCAGTCCTCCCCAGACTTGGCTGTGGCCCAAGCCTCTGCTGTAGGCTCGGTAGGCAACTCCGGAGCCAGCAGTGTGCCGAATGTGGACCCCGGTGATCTCCCAGTATTTGGTTCGGCACCGGACTTAAAAATTGAGCTCAAGCCCGTGCCTCAGTTGTAGGGGTGGCAACAGGTCAGTCGGGGAGTACCAGAAAGGATGACTTCACTAATTTTTCATACCTATACCAGCTCTAAGGTGTTGGAAGAATTACCATGTTGTTTGAACCATGGGGCTCCAGATAAACATTATATACCAAGGAAATACGGTAGGTTGACATATTTTGACATGTTGGTGTGGGCATGGAGTGGAGTTGCGTTGTGTGGGCATTTGGCGCAAGGATATATTCAAGTCGCAGCTGATATGATTAGGGGATGTGGGAAGGAGTTCAGAAACTTGGGTCGGATTGGCGCAAGAATTTAAGCATGTGCATTTATTGTGTACATAAATCTGAATGTGGGATGTTATCATGTGATCAGATCAGATTGTTGAGTGTAAATGGGTTTTTAGTTTCCCCGGAAGGCTTACTGTAGCTGTCCTTCTTTCAAGGGACTTTCATCTCAGCTTGCGCACACTTTCCGCTGATCCGCTTCTGAGGCGGAAGAGTTATTGTGCTAACACAGAACTCGGCTTCTCCGCACGTCACGCAAGCACTGTTTTCATCGGGTGTCTTCTGCCAGCAAGCACAAAACTAAACCCCTCTCGGGTGGCAAGTTTTCGAGGGCATCAACCCTAAACTCCACGCGATTAGGTGTTTAGGATTGATGCCCTTTATTTACATGCCAACCAAGAGGGATTATTTTTGGCATCAACCCTAAACACTTAGTCGCAGTGTTTAGGGTTGATGCCCCCTATCACTTGCCAGCCGAGAGGGATTTAGTTTAGTGCGGATTAGAGAGGAAAAAAAAACAGATTCTGTTGTGCATCGTTTGCCTGACTAGTAGCAGCTAAGGCCTTACGAGATGATGACACGTGGGTAAACGTGGAGCCGAGTTCTGTCCCAGCGCAATAAGTCTTCTGTCTGGGCGTCGAAACCTGGGAAACTCTGTGCAGGTAGAGATGAAGCTCCCTAGAAAGCGCAGGTTCGGAAGTACCCCTTCCGCAATAACTAAAAACCCAGTGTAAATCGTGAGGATAAGTGCTGAACAATATAAGTGGCTTGGTTGTTCTTCGCGACATTTCAGCATCAAAGCCGAGACTCACTTTGCTCCACAGCCACACCTCAAGCACGCCCAAACCCGCGCTTCTGGACTTGCGTCCCTCCTGGTTCCATTGCATGACGTAGTCAGAAAGCCGTATTTCTGTGCTTGCCGTCAAGTCAGGTGTCTGTCGAGTCGCGATGATCTTTGAGCCTCTGTTACAGGTTACAGCGTCAAATTTCTCTCTTCACAAAAATCCACTTCGCCGGTCTGGGGTAACATCTCACGCGCCTCGGGAGGCTGAAACGCCGCAACACAACTGAAACCCGCCTTACTGCAAAGGTGTCCAAAAATTTCCAGGGAGGGCAGCAATTCGTGGGGTGGGACCACGGTGGGGACCACCATTGAAGCAACACATGCTGGCGAGCAGAACTAGAAATGCTGCTCTGAATATCTGGGTGCTCGCCTTCAATTGTCGCTGCTGGGTTTGAGAGAAAGAAAAGCCAGAACGTGGGAAAATAAGTGGGTACTTAACACGCATTGTGTTCAGATCCCTTTCTTTTGAAAGTTTGTCCATGGTTCAAAACTAGGGGCACGCCGAAATTGTCAGCCAAAAAAATGATCCAACTGAAAGCACTTCCCTTGAACTGGGAAGGTTCTGACACTGTTTTCTCGTCTGCTCCACCCTCCTCTGTTCCCTAGGGTTTGCGCAAGCAGACTCCTCACAAGCAACCCGCGAATTTTAGAGGCTCTCATGGCAGATTAGCGGCTCCTGCTGACGGCTTCATCGAATCGCGGGTAGATTTCATCCAATCCCGTTCGTCTTCATTTGAGAAATGCGCGGCAAAAATATGATCCGAACCACCACCACTTTTCCCAAACCTCGACCCCTCTTGAAACATGATCATTCTTCCTCCTTGTGATGGAAGAAGAGCCAACTGAACCACGCTTAGCACTTGACGTTAGCAGATTTTCTCATTGTGACGTTAGCACTTGAACAACTCGGCGTTTCCTCTTCCACCACTTCGGGCAACCCTTCAACTGCTGCTTCTTCAAGACAGCGCTAACCAACATCAACATCGTCAATCGAGAGAGTGCGATGGCGGTCTTGATGAGCGGATCTCCTCTCGATTCCACCACCGACCGCAACTGGGAAGTGTCATTCTCTTCTTAACGTTATTTTTTTCCGCTTAATGCTGTTTCTTTTGTCTCACATCCACACATCATTCATATTTCATTGTGCACCGTCCCTCTGATTCGATGATGGTCACAGCGAGCAGATGATCCTCCGCGGTTTGGGTTTGGGTTTGGGTAGCAGTTAGATCCTCCCTCTGCGAGCTGTGGCCACTCGGAGAATCATGGATGTTTCCATTTTTCATTCACTTCATTGTCGTTTTCTTGCAATCGTTTCGTTTTTTTCGGTTTTCTCTTGTTTTCTTTTCCTGGCAACTTTATTTATTGTCCACTAACTTGCTTTGTTTTGCCTTGTCGCCCAGTGAAGAAGAGCACGTTTTGAAGAGGTGACGCGGCTGCTGGAGCTGGAACAAACTCAACCCGTTGCTGGTTATTACGAGTTGCTGAAGTCAAGTTCTGCTGCTGAGAGGCCCTTCCAATCAAATCTTAACAGTAAGATTCATTGCCACACTTGGATCAATCCCCTTTGCTTTATGTCTTAGTCGGATTCTGTATTTCTTGTGTACTTGCCTCTAAGACACTCGTTTCTTTGGCTACTATGCAAGGTCTGACTTCTTGTTATTGTCTTGTGCAGGAAAGGGAGTTGCTATTGGAGCTGAAGGCGATCTGTTGATGTCAAGCACTGTTGTTGTTGGATCTGAAGACAAACTGCTGAAGTCAAGCGCTGCTGCTGTTGGAGGTGAAGACGATCTGCTGAAGTCAAGTGCTGCTGTTGAGAGTCCCTTCCAATCAAATCTTAAGAGTAAGAGTCATTGTTACACCTTTGACAATGTCTAACTCAGATTCTGTATTTTGTGTTTACTTGCCACTTTGCAAGTTCTGACTTCTTGTTATTGTCTTGTGCAGGAAAGGGAGCTGCAATTAGAGCTGAATACGGTTTGCTGATGTCAAGCACTGTTGCTGTTGGATCTGAAGACAAACTGCTGAAGTAGAGCGCTGCTGCTGTTGGAGCTGAAGACGAGCTGCTGAAGTCAAACGCTTCTGTTGAGAGGCCCTTTTAATCGAATTTGAAGGGTAAGAAATCTCGTTATTGCTCAATGACCAATTCAGATTCTGTAGATCTTGTTTACTTGGCTCCAATACATTCGTTTTTTTTTGCTACTTTGCAAGTTCTAACTTCTTGTTATTGTCCTCTGCAGGAAAGGCAGTTGCTATTGCTGCTGAAGACGAACTCCTGATGTCATGCGCTGCTGCTGTTGGAGGTGAAGACAAACCTCTGAAGTCAAGTGCTGCTGTTGAGAGTCCCTTCCAATCAAATCTCAAGAGTAAGAGCCATTGTTACACCTTTGTCAATGTCTAATTCAGATTCTGTGTTTCGTGTTTACTTTCCTCTTAAGATATTCGTTTTTTTTGCTACTTTGCAATTTCTGACTTCTTGTTATTGTCTTGTGCAGGAAAGGGAGCTGCAATTGGAGCTGAATACGGTTTGCTGAAGTCAAGCGCTGCTGCTGTTGGATCTGAAGACGAGCTGCTGAAGTCAAACGCTTCTGCTGAGAGGCCCTTTTAATGAAATTTGAAGGGCAAGAAATCGCGTTATTGCTCAATGTCTAATTCGGATTCAGTAGATCTTGTTTTCTTTCCTCCAAGACATTCGTTTTTTTGCTACTTTGCAAGTTCTGACTTCTTGTTATTGTCCTCTGCAGGAAAAGCAGTTGCTATTGCAGCTGAAGTCGAACTGCTGACGTCATGCGCTGCTGCTGTTGGAGCTGAAGACGAGCTGCTGAAGTCATGAGCTGCTGCTGATAGGCGCTTCCAAGGAAGTCTTGAATGTAAGATTCATTGTTACATCTTGATCAGTCTCCTTATTGCTTGATGTCTTACTCAGATTTCATCTTTCTTCTTCACTGCCTTCAAGATTTCTTTTTTTTTTTTGCTACTTTTCTAAGTTCTGACTTATTGTTATTGGCTTGTGCAGGAAAACGAGTTTCTATTGGAGTTGAAGACAAGCTGCTGAAGTCAAGCGCTGCTGCTATTGGTTCTGAAGACGAGCTGCCGAATTGAAGCGCTGCTGCTATTGGATCTGAAGACGAGCTGCTGAAGTGAAGCACTTCTGCTGGGAGGCCCTTCCATTCGCCACCCGCCAACTGCAACCTGCCACCCTCCAACCGCCACCTGCCGTGTCCTCCAATTCCACACATTAGGTACGAATCTGTTTATGCCACCTTTTCATTGGTTCTTGTTTTGCTTCTCTCATGCCCCTTGTTAGTTTTGATGTTTCTACGCTGTTTTGTTGCAAGGAATTAGTTTGCCGGTTCTAACACTGTTTTTTTGTCTTGTGCAGGGAAGGGACCTGCTGCTATTTGAGCTGAAGACAAGCTGCTGAAGTCAAGCGATGCTGCTATTGGAGCTGAAGACGAGCTGCTGAAGTGAAGTGCTGCTGCTATTGGTTCTGAAGACGAGCTGCTGAAGTCAAGTGCTGCTGCTGGGAGGCCCTTCCATTCGCCACCCGCCAACTGCCACCTGCCACCCTCCAACCGCCACCTGCCGTGTCCTCCAATTCGAGACATTAGGTAAGAATCTGTTTATGCCAACTTTTCGTTGATTATTGTTTTGCTTCTTTCAAGCCCCTCCCTAATTTTGAATGTCTCTACGCTGTTGTTTCCAATGAATTAGTTCGCTGGTTCTAACTTTGATTCTTTTGTCTTGTGCAGGGAAGGGGCTTCCCACTGTTGTTGTACCTCAAGTCAAGCGCTGCTGCTGTTGGAGTTGAAGACGAGCTGCTGAAGTGAAGTTAAGCGCTGCTGCTATTGGAGCTGAAGACGAGCTGCTGAAGTCGAGCGCTGCTGCTGGCCCTTCCAATCAAGTCTTGAAAGTAAGATTCGTTGTTACATCTTGATCGGTCTCCTTATTGCTTCATGTATTATTCAGATTCCGTTTTTCTTCTTCACTTGCCCCTAAGATGTCTTTTTTTTTACTTTGCAAGTTCTGACTTATTATTATTGGCTTGTGCAGGAAAGGGAGTTTCTATTGGAGCTGAAGGCGAGCTGCTGAAAGCAAGCGCTGCTGCTATTGGATCTGAAGACGAGCTGCTGAAGTGAAGCACTTCTGCTGGGAGGCCCTTCCATTCGCCACCCGCCAACTGCCACCTGCCACCCTCCAACCGCCACCTGCCTTGTCCTCCAATTCGACATATCAGGTAAGAATCTGTTTATGCCAACTTTTAGTTGATTCTTGTTTTGCTTCTCTCATGTCCCTTGTTAATTTTGACGTTTCTACGCTGTTTTTTTTCAAGGAATTAGTTTGCTGGTTCTAACACTTTTTCTTGTCTTGTGCAGGGAAGGGACCTGCTGCTATTGGAGCTGAAGACAAGCTGCTGAAGTCAAGCGCTGCTGCTATTGGAGCTGAAGACGAGCTGCCGAATTGAAGCGCTGCTGCTATTGGTTCTGAAGACGAGCTGCTGAAGTCAAGTGCTGCTGCTGGGAGGCCTTTCCATTCGCCACCCGCCAACTGCCACCTGCCACCCTCCAACCGCCACCCGCCGTGTCCTCCAATTCGAGACATTAGGTAAGAATCTGTTTATGCCAACTCTTCGTTGATTCTTGTTGTACTTCTTTCATGTCCCTTTCTAATTTTGAATGTTTCTACGCTGTTGTTTCAACGAATTAGTTTGCTGGTTCTAACAGTGTTTTTTTGTCTTGTGCAGGGAAGGGACCTCCCTCTGCTGCTGTACCTCAAGTCAAGCGCTGCTGCTATTGGAGCTGAAGACGAGCTGCTGTAGACGAGCTGCTATCGAAGGAGTTGAAGGGATATGCTGGAAGGAGTTGAAGGGAGCGGCTGAAGGAGTTGAATGGGAGGCGCTGCTGAGTGGAGCTGCTGGGAGGCGCTGCAACTTAAGAAGCTGTCTCCTTCCAAGCTGTCTCCTTGTAAGCAGTCTCCTTGAGCTGTCTCTAGCTTGCTTTACTTTTTTTTTTTCCCAGCTATTTCTGTTCCACTATACTCACTTGGTGTTTTCGTCTTGTGCAGGGAGCTGCTGGGAGGAGTTGGCATGGCATGGCGTGGCATGGCATGGCGTGGCATGGCGTGGCATGGCATGGCTTGGCTTGGCATGGCATGGGATGGTATGTCATGGTATGGAATGGCATGGCATGGCATGGCATGGAATGGCATGGCATGGAATGGAATGGAATGGCATGGCATGGAATGGCATGGAATGGAATGGAATGGCATGGTATGGAATGGCATGGTATGCATGGCATGGAATGGCATGGAATGGCATTGCATGGAATGGAATGGAATGGCATGGTATAGAATGGCATGGTATGGAATGGCATGGTATGGAATGGCATGGTATGGCATGGTATGACATTGAGTGGAGGAGCTGCTGGGAGGAGCTGCTGGGAGGAGCTGCACGGCGCTGCAACTTTCAAGCTGCAACCTACAAAGTACGTTGTTTCCTTTCAATCTGTCTTTTTGCAAGCTGTCTCCTTTTATGCTGTCTCAAACCTTGGTTTTCCAGCCATGTCCTTTTCAGTATACTGACTTGTTGTGTTGGTCCTGTGCAGGATTCCGCTGCGCATGGGGGCTGCCTGGGTGCCTCGACCAGGAGGGGGCTGAGCTGTGGCTGAGACGTGGCCAAGGCTTGATGGGGCCTTGGAGTGGCAAGCATGGGACAGCATGCGAGGGTGCTTTCCCACACTGGGGAGGGTGTGGGGAGCAGAGGGCGGAGCCTGCTCCAGTGGTGATGTGATGTGCAACCGGGCCGGGACGCTTTTGGAGCCCTGACGGTGTGCAGTCGGCCGGCCGGCTTCTGCACATTGGAGGGAGGTTCAGGCCTTTGAAAGCGTTCTGGGCACCCGGATGGCCAGGTAGCATCACTGCTGAAGTGGGTGACGTTCTCTTCAAGTCAGCATCACACCGGGGCGGGTGTGAGGGGCTTGTGCTCTCATGAGGCCTGATCACACTGGGGTGGGTGTGAGGCTCTCAGCCACTTAAGAGAGAGAGAGTAGTCCACACCGGCGTGGGTGTGGAGAAATCTCCTCTTTCCACACAAGGGTTTTCCCACACTGGGGTGGGTGTGGGGGGCTCTGTCTCGGTCACTTAAAAAGCTTTCTCACACCGGGGTGGGTGTGGGGGGTTTTCAGTCACCTAGGCTAGTCCACACCCAGGTGGGTGTGGCCAGACCTCAGCAACTAAGGGGAAGACCGCACTGGGGTGGGTGCGGCTAGAGCAAGCGCAATGTTGCTCTACGTCGGAGGGATTTTTAGCCGAGTTACACGGCAGTACCCGTGACGTAACGCCTCCGGGTCTCAGCCCGTAAGCATCGCGCCAGGAGATGCTGATGGGACGGATTTTTATCCCTGGCTTTGATGGTGAAGCCTAAAAAAAAAAAAAAAACTAAGGGAGAGCTGGTATCATTCCATGGTGGGGTGGCCATGGAGGGCTGGATGATGGAGAAGTGGTGGGAATTGGATGGGAAGGATGGTGAAAGCGGCTGGTTGGATGGAGAAGTGAAGGGAGAAAAGTTGGTGAAAGGTGGCTGGCTAGATGGAGAAGTGGAGATTTTGCATGGTGGGGTGGCCATGGAGGGCTGGATGATGGAGAATTGCTGGTTGGATGGTGGATGGTGGAATGGTGAAATGGAGCAGAGATACAGTGGAGCTGTGAAATCTTCTAGGGGATTAAATCTGGTAAAGGGGAAAAGTTCTAGGGGGGAAGACTTCTAGGCAAAAGTTTTAGGGGGGACGACTTTTAGCCAAAAGTTTTAGGGGGAAAGACTTGTGGGCAGAAGTTCTGGGGGGGAAAACTTCTTCTGAGCCAAAGTTCTAGGGGAGGACTTCTAGGGGACTAGTTCTAGTGAAGCAATTGAGCTGTTAACTTTTTCTAGGGACTATGGTATGAATGCAATTCAATACCATACTGATGAGCTCTTCTGCTAGGGGGGAGGACTTCTGATGTAGGACACTAGTTCTAGGGGGGAGGGAGGACTTCTGTTCTGAGGGACTAGTTCTAGGGGGGAGGGAGGACTTCTGTTCCGAGGGACTACCGTAGTTCCAGGGGGGAGGACTTCTGATTGGAGGGACTAGTTCTAGGGGGGATAATTTCTGATTGGAGGGACTAGTTCTAGGGGGACCATACTACACACACATGCAGTGAAATCCTTCTTGGGGGACTGGACGTGGGGTACGGCAACACCCCTTCTCATTTTAATAATACTTTCTCTTTGCCAAACAAGGAGACATGCTTGTCACATGAAGTAAAGTTTTCAACAAATTGCTACCATACCCAGTAGAGCAAAGCAGCAGCTTGTGGCATACTTGTCAGCAGCTGCTACTTTCCCCGCTGTCCTAGTGGTCCCCTCTGCCTCTCAATCCCCATGAAATGGCAGCCGCTCTCTCTCTCCTCGTCCTTCAGCACAGCCTGTTGAATGACAGCAGCTGATTCATGCTACTCATGCCTTCTTTGCTGCCTCCACCTCTGATGCCTTGCTGGCTCTTCCTCCTCTGCCTCCTTGCTCAGCCTGCCATGTGAGTGAGGGAATGAGGGAAAGAGGTGGGGGAGTGAGGGAACGAGTCGGGGAGAGCATGCTGTAACTCATGCCAACGTGCATGCTGTGACTCATGCCAACGTGCATGCTGTGACTCATGCCAACGTGCATGCTGTAACTCATGCCAACGTGCATGCTGTAACTCATGCCAACGTGCATGCTGTAACTCATGCCAACGTGCATGCTGTGACTCATGCCAACGTGCATGCTGTGACTCATGCCAACGTGCATGCTGCAACTCATACCAAAAGTTTGGATTGCGTGATGGATATACAGCTTCCTCCTCCGTACTCTCCACAACCACCATAACGTTATTCTCCTCCTCTGCCTCCCATTCCGCGCAAAGGAAAGGGGCAGAGGAGAGTGAGGTATTGGTGTTGAGGGGGAAATTGGGAAAGGGAGTGATAGTATGGAGCATCAAGGAAATTGAGGAAACATGGGTATGCAGAAACAATAAAGCCACTTGATTGGCAGGAAAAAAGCACCTCACATGCAGAAAGCCACAAAAAACATAAAACTATCAAAGAGGCGCGCTTTACGTGAGGGACACAGAACTCACTAAGCAAGCAGTCATCATGCCTTCTAGTCGACTCAATAATTGACTGAACAAACGAAGCAGGCCTGTTTCACTTGAAAAACACAGCACTCACTTGCTGCGAGTGTGCACGCATGAACAATGTGCAAGTCACTCCTTGTTCCAGTGGTGGCTGATAATCGCCTCCACAGCGTCATGCCACATATGCAGCCCCCATCTCTCGACCAACAACTGCAGCACATCAACTTTCAGGTTGAACCAATTTTCAACCGTCGCTCCTTGTTCCAGTGGTGGCTGATAACCGCCTGTGCAGCCCCCATGCGAGAGTCACTTCCCTGCAGCACGTGCAAGTCACTCCTTGTTCCAGTGGTGACTAATCACCGCCTCCACAACGTCATGCGGCCACATGTGCAGCCCCCACCGCTACGCCAGCAGCCCCAGCGCGGATTGGTCGTGCCGGTGGTCCGTGAAGCACGCGTGGTTCGGCCGACCCAGCTGGTTCGGCAGGTCCGTTGACACGCGCGGGTCCTCCATGTACCCCAGCCACTGGGCGGCGAACTGGATTGACTGCCGCCCGCGGCGCCACCCGGAGAATCCGGCATCGGCCTGATGGGTTTGGTGCGGTAGGGAGAGGGGAGAAAGAGAGAGGGGTAAGAGGGGGTGGGTTGGGAAGGGAAGGGGGGGGGGGGGAAGTTGGTGCAGGGGGAAGGACGGTTGAGTGAGCAGGGAAATCAGGAGAGAAAAGGGAGTGGAGGGAGGGGAGGGGAGGTAGGAGAGATGAGGGTTGAGAGGGAAGATAGGACGGTTAAAAGGCAGCATATCAGGCGTTTTAGCAATCAGACCAATCCAAATCATCCCCTCCCCCCCTCTTCCCCATCCCCCGTCAACTCGTACCCGTTAGAAGCTCACCTGGGCGGATTTCATGCAAACGCTTTCATCCGTGCAGTTGAGCAGAAGAAAAGCGTCCATCTTAGTCCAGCATGCTTCCACGAAATTGGGCGGGAACTGAAATAAATGAACCTCCTGTTGACTTAGAGACCATTTAATGATATCTTTCACGGCGCCGTCTGAATCATCCCCGTCGTTTAACGCCATCCTCGATACAAGCCCGTCCACTATCCCGCCAGAAGCATAGCTTTCCCCGCCACCAGCTGCTGCAAGACCGTATAACGCGGATAGATCGCCGTTTGTGGTGCTATCGGCGTCCGCGTATAGTAGCAAATCTCCATCCTCCATTTCCTCTAAAAGAGTCTTCAGTATAAGGTACGGTTTCCACACCCAGTATCCCGCGCCTCGAGGAAGGGATAAGATCTTATTGTTTCGCGAGGTAAAGTCGGGATCCAAAGAGGTGTGATTGTATTGAATGCAGCGATCCGCTCCGTGCTGTAACGCGGCCTGACACGAAGTCCGTTGGCCTACGTAGCAGCAATTGTGCGCGTAGTTAATAAACAAGCGCTTCGGTATTCTCGAGGAATTTGAAAATCCAGCGGAAGAATCGGAGGATGACGGACTCCGCGAGCTCGCGAAAAGGTTGCACGACGCGCGGAGCAAATGTAACCCGCCAATGACGAGCGCGAGAATTGCGAGCAGTTTCACCATCGTCGACTTCGATCGAATCGCCATGGCAGCTTGCGATGCAGCAAGTCTTCGAGAACCCTTACGCTTGTCCGCCATAAACAAAGATGTTGCCGTACGCCACAGAGAGACTCGTAGGGAGCCGGGATCTCGTGCTTTTCTAACAAGAGACTAAATAGTCAGGGAGACGAGTAGATAGAGTCAAGTGAGCGGAAATCCATGATCGTTCTCAATAGTTCCACAAGCCAGATTTTTGCTGGAATAAATAGTTCGTCAATGCACAGCAAACAGGTTACAGAACCAGGATGCAGTGCGAAGATGGGGGAGTGTCGGTTCACGATTCGGAATGCTCTATAACGCACGGAAACTCACAAAACCGTTCCCGGCCGTGTTAAACCTGGAACCGTGCACACCCTCCAAATGTCTGGTCTGGGGAGTTGCTCGCTCACACCAGATCTCAAACTCGAACTCCTCAGAAACTGCAAGTCCGGTAACTACAGTATCTGCGAATTTGAGAAAACTAGGCGACGAGTTCCCACAAAGCATCGCGAGTGCTTGAAAACGAGCATTTGCGAAGGCAATCCCTGGAAGAATCGTTTCGCCGAGGAAGGAACATCGTCAGCGGCAAGCTTCTTGATTTCCTTACATTCTAGATTCTACCTAAAGAATACCGAGAAGTACCGTATTCGCGCGGCGGTACGTCTTGAACGTTGCACAGCAGGCCAAGACCAGCCTAGGCCCAAATCCCGCGGAAAGTTTCTCTTCTGAGAGCAGACAGGTCCACGTTGCAGATCGTTCTCGAGGCAAAGGAGTCACCGACAACGTTCTCTTGGGCTACAAGCTTAGACACCGTGATCGCCGGGTCGTCGAGATCGCCAAGGTTGCCGAGATCTTCGAGATTATATTGTCATGGCAGCAGCGAGTCCCGCAGAGTAAGCGTCGCATCCCTCCGTCGGCGAATGATTTATCCGCTAGGCCTGTCGTTGACGCCTGTCGTTTACTCTTGTCACTAGTCACGGCTCTTTTCAAGCTCGCAGCCTGATTTCTAATATCTCTCTCGCGTGCTGCTAATCCCACGTGTATGACTCCATAGATTGTACAATCCATAAATTACCCCTTACATACGTGTTCAAGTGGTATAGTTAGCTTTCCGAGGCGATTTAAATAACACAATTGGGCTTATTCCCCACCCCCCCCTCTCACACATTCCTCAGGTGGTACAACCCCTTGCCGTCAGTCAGCAACGCGCGGTGCACGGCTCTATCCGCTCTTTGACTCGACTCAAAAAGCGTACAATCAAAATCACCCCCTCCCTTGCATACGACTGCAGGTGGTACAACTCCCTGCCGCCAGTCAGCAAGGCATGGGGAACGGCGCTATTCGCCACCGCATGCGCCATGCAGCTCAAAGTGCTGCCGGTTCAGCTCATCTTCCTCGACTACACCCTCATAGTCCAGAAATTCCAGGTTCTATCCCTCGTTCCTGCCGTTGCTCCGCTCTTTGTTCCTTTGTTCCTGGCGCCTGTTTTTGTGAATTCACATGCACTTTCGCACGCTGTCACTATTTTGTCATACGAAGATTGGTTTGTGTGTTCATAATCCACCATGCATAACAGGAACATTAGCAGCATCATTTTCTGACGCGTCCCTTTGTGAACTGTCTGCATGCATGCTTCATCTATGCATGCTTGTCACGTGCCGTTCAGATATGGCGCCTCGTTACAAACATCTTCTTTGCTGGAGGATTCAGCATGAGATTCGCCTTCACTCTCCTTATGATGTACGAAGACATCTCCTCTTTTCTCTAGCTTATGTCCCTTTACCCCTTTTTCCTTATGTTTGTTTTTGCTTTTCTTCAATCACCTATTATCCTCCGACAATTCCTTATTCTCCCTCACGCTCCTCATCCATGCGCAAGTGCTTTTTCACTCGTTCGGTTCTTAATATGGCTCTTAACCCGTCATCCTCGTTATTGCAGAGCCCGCTACTGTGTACAAATGGAGACGTCAGCTTTCGCCGGAAGAACAGCAGACTTCCTCTACATGCTCATGATCAACACGCTCAGCCTGCTAGTCATTGCCCTCATCATCCCTTTTAAGATCTTCTTCCTTAGTGAGCCGCTGCTCCTCTCAGTCATCTACCTGTGGAGCCGGGAGAATCCCAACGGCGTTGTCAACTTCATGGGTCTTCTATCCATGCCCGTACGTCCTTTTGGGAAATGTGCATTTGATTCCTGTTCGTGTGTCTGCTTCTCTTCTTCGTGCAATTTGTTGCTGTTTCTGTTTCTGCTTCTGCGTCTGGTCCTATTCCCTGTTTCTATTCCTGTTCCTGCATTTGACACCCCTTTACCCATCTTACCTTCCTCTCACCAACGGGCGTTCTATCTGCATGGGCGTATCACTTCGTGGGCCTGCTTTGGAATGAGCATCATCGATGTTCTTGCCTTCCTCTCCTCCCCCCCCCCTCCCACCACGCCAACAGGCCTTCTACCTGCCCTGGGCGTATCTCTTCATGGATCTGCTCTTTGGAATGAGCGTCGTTGATTCGCTGGCCGGCATAGTGGCGGGTCACATTTACTACTTCCTCACTGCTGTATATCCACACACAGGGGGAGCACAGCTCATCCGCACTCCACTCTGGGTGTAAGTCGTTCCTCCTTTTCTCTTCAACCTTTGAGCCCACAGGTCACATTTACTACTTCCTCACTGTTGTATATCTGCACACGGGGGGGCTCAGCTCGTCCGCACTCCCCTCTGGGTGCAAGTCTTTTGTCTCTTCCTCGTCTCTCTGCGCACAGGGGGGGCACGGCTCATTAGCATGCCTCTCTGGGTGGGTGCATGCAACTTCCCACTCACCCTCTCTTCTTTCCACCCTCTCCACGTGCCCCGCCCCGCTTGCCCCCACTTCTAGCCATCAGCTTGCAGTGCACTGGACAACTGTAGCCCCCAACATGGTGCTGCCGCAGGCACTCCTCACATTTCCACTACCCACCCTCTATATCCCTTTGCATTCTCTTCTTCCCCAACCCGCCAGCCACCGGCCTTTAGAGCAGTGGGCGGTGCAGCACCCAGAGTGGTGCAGCCCCAGACAGGCACTATTGCTCGTGTGTGAAGCAACACTTCTCACTCACTCCTTTCCTCCTCGCCCTCTGCACTCCCATCCAATTCATCCCCTTCATCCTCCAGCCATCGGCTTGTAGCGCAATGGGCAGCTGTAGCGCCCAACATGGTGCAGCCCCAGGCACCCCCGCGTCCCACTCCGGCCCGCGGCCCTGCTATGCCAGCAGGAGGAGGAGCGGCAGGAGGGGGAGCAGCAGGGGCAGCAGCGGGGGTGGGTGGTGGTTCGGGTGGTGCGGTTTTCAGGGGGCGAGCGTACCGTTTGGATCGGGATTAGAAAGACATGCAGCAGTATTGCCAACTGTAAAGAAGATTCTTGCATTACAAGAATTATAAATTCAAAATTTGGGAGCTGGAGAGAAAGTCAGTTGAGAGGAAGGCTAAGCAAGGAGTCCCTGGTACAACGCCAGTTGATGTTACAACCCAGTGATGCCCCGGGCTAAAGGCGCATTTGGTAGGCTAGAGTATGTACCATATTGATGTTTGGGGCATCTACCAAACATAATACACCATTTGAATGACAGGTACAGCCAAAATTTTATTATGAATTTGACAAGTTTGGCTGGAAATTCCCACCTTCAGCACCATCTGGTATGGCATCCATATAATCACTCGCTTTTAATTCATCCAAAGCTGAACCTACTTCCTCAGCCTCCCACGAACTGACTGGCACCCTCCTCTTAGTCTGATCCGCTATCATCACCAAAACATTCACCACCTCACTCATGTTATACCTCAGCTCCGAATCCTTGGTCCCATTTCCGAAAACCAGGTAGTATTTCTGGCGAGCGGCCATGGAAAGGTGGTGATAGCAGGGGTTGGGGTAATCCCGAGGTCGGATCTCAAAGACGGAGGAATTGGAGGGCATGAAGATCATGTTGGAGAGACCTGCTCCATGCAGACCCACGTATACCGCTGCTCGATTGAAGAGGAGTTTGGCTGGGTGAGGAAAGAAGTTTGTCAGTACAGAGAGGGAATGGGGAAATGAGGGGGGGATGGTGGGGGGAGGGTGGATTGGAGGGCATGAAGATCATGTTGGAGAGACCTGCTCCATGCAGACCCACCCACGTATACCGCTGCTCGGTTGAAGAGAAGTTTGGCTGGAAAGAGGGTAGGGAAAATGTAGAAGGAAAGGGGAGACGGTGAGGCAGAGAGAGGCACTTGGAAGGCATGAAGAACATGTCGGACAGGTAAACCATCCGGTAGCCCACCCGGTAAACCACCCGGTAAACCACTCACCTTGCAGCAAGGGCAGGTCACCTTCAAACACAAACACCCGCTGCGGCGGGAACACTCGCTTCATCTCCGCCACGAGCGAATCAAACGCCGCCAGGTGGCGCATCGCGCCGCGCCGGTGCGCAATCACGGCGCGCCAGCTGTACGGCAGCCGGGCGGTCTGCGCGTCAGTCCACAGTGGCACGTCCATGTCGCTACTGCCAGCTGGCACAGGAAGCGAGCTGCTGCTGCTGCTGCTGCTGCTGCTGCTGCTGCTGGCGCCATTGATGGAGCCGATTGGTGAATCAGACATGGTTGGAGGAACAAAGGTGGTCGTGGGATCAGCAGCAGGTGAAGGTGGGAAGTAGGTGTGGTTGTGGCGGGGGACAAAGCCTGGGCGGAAGAAGGGCAGGCCGTTGGGGGGCAGCAGGAAGCGGCGGCGCAGCTCCCCCCACATGGCAGGCGCGGAGCGACCACAGGCCTGGTACACTGGCTGGGGGGACGGTATGTGGGGAGGAGAAGAGGTGTGGTTGTGGCGGGGGACAAAGCCTGGGCGGAAGAAGGGCAGGCCGTTGGGGGGCAGCAGGAAGCGGCGGCGCAGCTCCCCCCACATGGCAGGCGCGGAGCGACCACAGGCCTGGTACACTGGCTGGGGGGACGGTATGTGGGGAGGAGAAGAGGGGTGCAGGGGTATCATCAATGGAACATGAACGGGGTGAAGTGAAGCAGTACGCGGCGGCGCAGCTTGCCCCACATGGCGGGGGCAGAGAGGCTGCATGCCTGGTACACTGATATTTGAGTTGACTCAAATATCGACTCATCACACGCCTGGTACTCTGGCTGAGTTTGGGGTTGCGGAGGGCAGGGGGATGGAAGTGGGGCGCAGGGGCATCATGATGTCATGACATTGGGTAATAGGAGATCTGACATGGTACGTGCAGAGGAGAATACACCGGTGATAAGAGATCTGATATGGTAGTACACGGTACAGGGATATGATACCTTGCCTACCTGGTGTAACTGGTATAGCACATCCACGTGAACAAGTAGGTTGAAGTCAGCGCGTTGGTTGGGGATGGGATGGGGTGGTGCTGATGAGAAGGGAAAACGGATTAGAAAATGGTACCTCCTATTGAATACGGTGCCTACCTGGTATAAGACATCCACGTGAACAAGTAGGTTGACGTCAGCGTGTCGGTTGGGGATGACTGCTAGGTTGAGATGGGTGGCTGGGATGCCCAGGAAGGGCACCAGGAGAGAGCTGAACGCCTTCACCTGGCGGCCCGGCGACACTCACTCACATACAACGAAGGAAGGAGGGAGAGAATGTGGGCACATACACACAACGAATCAGGGAATGATATAGAAGAGACTCAATAGCGGTGACGCCAAGGAAGGGCAGCAAGAAATTCGACGGGGATGGTGATGGTAATGGTGATGGTGATGGTGATAGAGAGGGAGGGGATGGGAATGGGGACGGAGATGATGTGGAAGGGGTGGGGTGGGGGATAGAGGTGAGGATGAAGAGGTGAGGCAACGGGGATGGGGAAGGGGATAGGGATGCCATGGGGATGGGGATGGGCAAATAGATACCAACACACCTGATGCGAGGCGATGGCGATGGGGATGGAGGGGTTGTCTCGCAGCAGTGGGGAGAGCACGAAGAGGTGAGGCAATGCGGATGGAGGGTGATGGCAATAGGGATGGGAAGGGGGAAAACTCTCACCAAGTCTTGGATGCCAGTGTTACCTGGTGGGAGGCGATGGCGATGGGGATGGAGGGGTTGTCTCGCAGCAGCGGGGAGAGCACGAAGAGGTGCGGCACGAGATCTATGAGCACGTGGTAGAATGCGATTCCCAGGGGGTACATGAGCGAGACTAGGCGGTCATAGTGGCGGACCTTGGCCTTGCCTGGTTCAAAGGAGAACTGGTGGTGGCAATTGGGATGGGGCAGGGAAGGGAAGGGAGAGGGGAAGGTGATGAGCTTGAGGCACCTCACACGAGCTCTATGAGCACGTGGTAGAAGGGACGCCCAGAGGGTACACGAGCGACACCAGACGGTTGTAGTGTCGGACCTTGGCCTTGCCTGGTTCACAGGAGAACTGGTGACAGGCGAGAGGGAGCAGAGACGGGAAGGAATAGGAGTGAGAGAGGAGGAGGTGATGATCTCAGGTCACCTCGCTCGCACACGCTCCATGAGCACGTGTGATGGAGTGCGATGCCGAGGGGGTACATGAGGGACACCAGTTCTAAAAACACCAAGCCATCCCAACAACACATTCATAGAGCTGAAAAAGACTCAGAAGCGCCCATTCGCTCACATTCCCTTTGTCAGCGCAACTGTACCGCGTTAAACACGAGACCATCCCCATCCCGTCCCGCAGCTCATAATACTGCAGTAGAAACATGTCCAGCCGCAAGCTATCCCCGTCTCAAGAAGTCCCATGTACTCACATTCCCCTTGTCAGCACAACTGTGCCGGTCAAAGAACACTGACTCGTTAAATGCCAGCCCATCCCCATCCAAGTACACATCCCGCAGCTCGTAATACTGCGGCAGAAACATGTCCAGCCGCAAGTCATCCCCCTTATGGGTGCACCTCGTATCCGACACCTCCCGTCCTCCTTCTACACCCATATCCATAACTTTCGGGCAGTTTATAGGCTGGTCCGGGAACAGGTACTCCGCGTCGACCAGGTTCGGCCAGTAGCAGGCGCGCAGGTTCGGGAACTCCAGACCACACGAGCCCAGGTTCGGGCAAGGCTCGCCGGCGCACTGTAGCTTGAGCTCTCCTTCCCGGAAATGATGGTGATACTCTAGAAAAGTCTTGTTGAGGTCTACCCTGCGAATGGTTCGGTTCAGGGATGTGACTGTAAAGGGGGGCTCCATAGGAGGATGAGAGGGGGATGGTGGGTGCAAGGGAGGGGGAGAGGGGGGTGGTGGGTGTGAGGGTGTTGGAGTGGAAGGTAAGTGAGGACTAGTCTCTCTCTCCTGAACCTTGCCCTTTCCTAATCCCTCTCCTCTAGTTTCCCTCTTCCCCTCCTCGTCACTAGCCCCTGCAAGCTGCAGCATCAGCTGTTCCTCTATCGCGGCCACTTTCCCTATAAGCACCTCGTCCGCTCCTGCAGTGTTTCCTGCCTGCACTGCTTCGCCTTGAGAAGGAGGTGGGAGGAGCGGAGCAGGAGGAAGGGGCGGAGGAGGGGGGAAGGGAGGTGAGGGGACAACTGGAGGGGGGACGGGAGGAGGGAAGGGTGGCGACTTCTCTTCAAGCATGGCTCCCTGGGTCCGCTGCAATGCCTGTTCTTGGTAAGTCGACTCAAGCATGGCTCCCTGGGACTGCTGCAGCGCCTGCTCCTCCTGCATCTGACGGCTCAGCTCCGCCGCTATCTCCGCCACTCGCCCCAGAAGCACCTCGTCCGTCGATTGAACTGCCGGCTGGCCGGCTATCTGGACGGCCGTCTGATGTGCTGGCGGAACCGCGGCGGCCTGATTGGCCGATGCTGGATCAGCTGGTTCTGATGCTGCTGGCGTCAATGGTAATGAAACCGCTGGTGCTGCTGGTGCTGGTGGCACTGGTTCGGATTGCGCTTGAGCTGGGGGGAACGGATGGGCGCGAGAGGGGGGGATAAATTGGAAAGAGGGGAGCAGACAAGGATGATGACCAGGATGAGAAGATGAGATAAAAGAGAGTAGACAAATTTATTATTTGGCCGGAGCACCCAGACGACAAAGGGAACTATGACTCGTTGTATCCTTCGCCTTGTACCGCCTCACCTTGAGTCGCGTACGAGACGGAGAGGAGGCACACAACGAGGAGCGCCGCCGTTAGAACGCATGCTCCCCAATCTGCCTTCCAGCGGCCGCAATGTCGAATCGTCTCAGTCATTGTGTTCGAAACGTCTGAATCGCCTCAAATATTTGCCTCTCTGGAGCAGGACCCGATCGGAGGCGGGAATCGACGCCACCGTCCCCTCGCCGCTAAAGGCGCCCAGATATCGGACGAGATTCAGAAGCTGCGTCCCTACTGAGACGATTCTGGATTTCCCGCGAGTGCAATACACCGAGGTCGCACGGCGGCTGACACTGAACCGCCATGGGTTCGCGCGATTCGATCGTCAGCCTCTTGCCATTCTCAGTCTTTGAATATCTGGCCGAGCAATAGCAAAAACAAGGCGATTCCAACGCTGCGCTAGCTGCTATCCCAAAGATATGAAAACGCTGTAAAATGCTACAATACAGAATACAAACGATATAAACATTGATGTTGTGGTTATCAGGATGCTGGTAAGAAACGCTTCACAATACATGGCTATACTTTCCAACAAGACAAACAAGCGCCAGAAAAGCAAAAGCTAACATACAGCGTTGCACTAACATCGAACTTTCCTCCTTGCTCGCACCTCTAATACTTCTCAGCCCCCCCATTTTCCTTTGAAGAGCCCCCAAAACCCATTGGCCTTTTCTCCTCGTTCCCAACCGCAACCTCCGTCTCCTTAGCCTCACTGTCTTTGGATCCCACTGTATCCGCTTCACTCCCAGTCCCACTAACGGGGCTGTCTTTAGGGGAGTCCATACCCAGCGCCAGTTGAAAGGCGTAGAGCGTGAGGCCAAGGGAATTGAGGGCAAAGATGAAGGTGGCGAGCCATACAAGACCTGATACTATGGTCCTGTGGTGGATTAAGGGTGAAAAGGAAGACGGAGACGAAGGGAGAGAATTAAGAAGAAAGGTACAGAGGTTACAGAAGGGACGTGGGAGGATAACAAGGGAGCTATTGCAATGAAAAGAACACCAAGTGGTGTGGGTTGTGTAAGTTGGGAAGCGAAGAACAGAAACAGCAATTATTTCAGAAGGTTAAGCAACTAATGGAATGTACCTGACAGCAATGGAGAGGTTCCGAACCTGTAGAAGAGGGGGTCAACAACGGAGGGGGGGAAGAGGGGGGGAGATGAAGGGGAAAAAGTGGGGAGAGGAGGGGAGGATTTGAGAAGACACATGCATGCATGGGCATTTGCGTGGAATCTGGCAACCAAAAATGAAACACATACACGTTGCAAGCGCATGCTCTGTAAGTCACTGTAACACGAAAACAGGCACTCACAGTGTAAGTGGTTGAGGGTATCTGCCCGGCAAACACATCATCAATGGACGTTGCAAATTTGTACAGCACGATGGCAATCGACCCCGCCACGCCACCAGTGCTATCGCAAGTAGATAAAAGTTACTCACAGTGTAAGTGGTTGAGAGGGTTTGCCCTGCAAACACATCATCAATGGATCTTGCAAACTTGCACAGCACGATGGCAATCAACTCCGCCACCATGCTCTCGCAATGCAAGTAGATAACAGTTACCACACACAGTGTAAGTGGTGGAGAGGCTCTGCCCAGCAAACACATCGTCAACTGAGGTTGCAAACTTGTAGAGCACGATGGCAATCGACCCCGCCACCAGTGCGGCGCCCAGCGTGTTCAGCACCGTGAAGCGTTTCCTTTCCAAGTCGACTCACACATCACCTTGCTTACAGTGTGGTGTGAAGGCTAACAACCACTCACAGTGTAAGTGGTGGACAGAGTCTGCCCCGCAAACACATCATCAATGGATGTCGCAAACTTGTACAGCACGATTGCAATCGACCCCGCAACCAGTGCGCCGCCCAGCGTGTTCAGCACTGTGGGCGGCGGCCGCTTGGCTGCTTCTGCTGCTTCCTCTGCCGCCCGGCGCTTCCTCTCCTCCGTCACTGGATTGGACGACAGCTTCTCAACTGAATCTGACCGGAAACGCTGGGAAGGGGAGAATAAAATCAGAAGAGTGGCTTTTGTGGCCCTTGAGTGTGACAGGCGGGGAGTGAGAGAGCGACGGGATGGCTGTGAGGAGCGCGATAAATGGGGAGCATGTGGAGAGGAGAAGCATCAGCATGCCAATCGTCCCAGTCAACAGTATACTGCAGAGGCAATAACCAACCTCATCGAACCTCTCTGAACCGAACTTGCCACACCCAACGAGGTTGCTCGTCTCTTAATAGGTCGAAACAGCAGCACACAGATCGTCCTTGTGTAGTACATAGAGGATAGTGGATAAGGGAGAAGGGCAGCAAAGGTTACTCCTCTGAACCTCACTTCACCGTACCCAGCACCCACTCACCGATTCTGTGACCTGCACCCACTGCACCCACCGCACTCCACCATCATTAACCCTTGCTTACCGATTCTGTGACCTTGCTTGCTCGTCTCTTGATAGCCCGGAACAGCAGCACACCGATCGTTCCCGTCAGCAGAATACTGGCGAAGGACTGCAACGGAGAGACCTCGGGAATGGCCCAGGGGTCTTCCAGGTACGCGGGCACGCCTGACACAGGGGGCAATTCTATTGGCCCGTCCGATGCCAGCGTGGCAGCTGTGTTGAGTGTGGCGAGCACGAGATGGCTCGTCCAATCCGCAGCTGACACCTGGCAAGAGGGGGGGGGGGTGTGTGAATGGTGGGGGAGGGAAAGGGGAGAGGGAGAGGGAGAGGGAGAGGGAGAGGGAGAGGGAGAGGGAGAGGGAGAGGGAGAGGGAGAGGAATCGGGTTGTTTGAGGAAGGGCGGACGGGCAGAGACGGGAGAGAGGTGAGAACGAGGAGGTAAGAGGAGGGATGTAGGCACATGTGAGTGTTCGGGCGGGCGGGGAAGGAGGGGGTTGAGAGTCGAGACATAGAGGTCGGAGCAAGCATTGAGGAGGGTCGGAGAGAAAGAGAGCGAGCGAGAGGGGGCGCGAGCGTTCGTCTCAGAAGAGACAATGCGATGTTTTCTCACCACCGTTGCAGCTCCGCTCTCCACAATCGCAGTCACGGCTTCAGGCGGAGCGGCCAGCGCAACGACAGCCCCACCCCTCCTCCCCGCGCGGCTACACCCGCCATTGATAAATCCGCCACTGCTACACCCGCGCTTCCCGCTCCCTCCTAACCGTAACGACGTGCCTCTGGCTGCTAGCGAAGCGCGCCGATGCGACGGCGGAAACGCTGGCAGAGCAGCAGCCGCAGTTGCGGAGACGGCGCGCGCGGCAACCGCAGCCATGGGGGCGACGCTGATAACGGTTCCGCGGAAGGCGCGAGAGGCGGAAGCGCCGAGTGCAAACTGCTAAATACGGCGCAAGAGGTAAAAACTGCGGGGCTTGGAAAAATATAAATGCACGAAAATGGCGGACTGTGAAAGTGAGTAAAATATGGGTGGTCGATACGCGATAGACTGGTGCGCTTGAAGGCACAGTTACCTATGATTTTCTCACGGAGAATGTTTTAGAAAGCATTTCTGTGCATTCTTATATCTCATAAAGACTACATCCATGAAATACTAGGTTATTTGTGCATTCTCTACTTACATATAGTATGCATCCACTGCGAAACATATTTATATATTGCGCCTGCTCTGAGCACGCTAAATAACGTTCCTCTTTTTAAGCACCCTCACAACTAGTCATAATCATTTCCACGCAATCACCAGGCCACATCACTCCCATCATAAGCGATAAACCGCCCATTGTCCTTCTCACGCAACCCATCCAGAACACCCAATAGCTGCTCGGCGGCAAAATCCGGCGTGAAGATCTTATCGGCCGGCAAGTGCGCAGTGAACGGGCGGGTAAGATCCGTGTCTACAGTGCCGGGGTGTAGCAGCACGGCCACCACTGGGCTCTTCTGGGCGGCCAACTCCACTGCTGCTGTCTTGGTGACTGGGGGAGGAAGGGAATGAGTGGGGCAAGGGCGGCAAATGAGGGGAGGAGAGGGGACGAGGGCAAGAGAAGGGTGAATGCAACAGGGTAGAGGGACAAAGGACTAACGTGTAGCAGCACGGCCACCACTGAGCTCTTCTGGGCGGCCAACTCCAGAGGGAAGAGTAAGTAGTGAGGGGGAAAGGAGTAAGGGGTTTAGGGGGAAGGAGTGAAGGGCTAAGGAGGAAGGAGTGACAGCAGCTGAGGCTACACTGGTAAGGAGTGACAGCAGCTGAGGCTACACTGGTACATGTTACCCATTATGACACTGCACTGAGCTGGTTGAGAGCAGCTGGATGCTTGATACGAGTACCACCCCCCAATGTGGTAGTCTCTTATGGACCCGCTGAGAGAGCTCATGTTGGCCACAACTGAGGTACACGTATACACTTAGCTCGTTATGAAGCGGTAGTCGACTCACATTGGTTGAGAGCAGCTTTAGACGCGCGGTACGAGTACCAACCCCCAATGTGGTTATCGGAAATGGACCCGGTGCGAGAGCTCATGTTGGCCACTATGGAGAAGGGGCGGTTGGGGTTAGTGTGGCCTCCCGTCACCAGTAATGGCATCATGTGCTGTACAGGGGAAAAGAGGAGGGTGGGAGCGGGGGAAGGTGGAGTTAGTCGACAGTGACACAGCCGCAGCAAGTGCTGCAACTTGGGGGAAGAGATGGAATGAAGCAGTGATGATGGTGCCTTGGTGCTGTAACTTGTGGTTATCAGGAAAGGAATGGCAGAGTCGATAGGGGAACGTCGTTGTGGTTTACCACCGCAATGCTTTCGAAACCATCGATCCAGCTGCATTCTGTCACACCCGTGCCATTCCATCAAAGCCCACACCATACCATCTCGCCCCACCAGCTGTCACCACCATCATGGCGTTGACTCTCGTTGACCGGTGGGACCAGCACGCTATTGACTCAACCAGAGCACACGCATGGACCCATGGCGTAGACTCGCGTTGACTCACCTTGAGCACGAGCATGGGCCCCATGGCGTTGACTCGGTAGGCCAGCAGCATGGCGTCCTGGCACAGCCAGTGCAGACTGCTCTCTGGGTATCGGGGAGTGGGAGGGAGGGAGGGAAAGGGACTGCTCTCTGATTGGTCCCACTGCCAGTTTAAAACCATGGCGTCCAACGGACTGCTGCTCTGTGCACAGCCAATGCAGACTGCTCTGTCGCATGAAACACACGAGTTCGTCCGTCCATCCGGGCTGTACCAGCAAACGGCTGTTGCGTTCAGCTCGTCCCAGGCAGGTTGGCAGTCATACCCGTGACCCGGCTGTAGCAGCACACCCAGCTGTAGCAGATACCGGCCGTAACAGCATACCCTCCAATCTTTGTAGCAGAGCAACGTTTTGGTAGCAGCATACCCGGCCCGGCTGTAGCAGCATACCCGGCTGTAGCAGCATACCCGGCTGTAGCAGCATACCCGGCTGTAGCAGCATACCCGGCTGTAGCAGCATACCCGGCTGTAGCAGCATACCCGGCTGTAGCAGCATACCCGGCTGTAGCAGCACAGCCGGCTGTAGCAGCATACCCGGCTGTAGCAGCATACCCGGCTGTAGCAGCATACCCGGCTGTAGCAGCATACCCGGCTGTAGCAGCACAGCCGGCTGTAGCAGCATACCCGGCTGTAGCAGCATACCCGGCTGTAGCAGCATACCCGGCTGTAGCTCGTTGGGGCGGTGCAGCACACCCGCCACGTTGAGCAGCAGGTCCAGCTTGCCGTACTTCTGCCTCACGGCCGCTGCTACAGCCTGGGAGATGCACAGAAAAGCGGAGAGAAAATGGAGGGCGAGGGGGGGGGGGTGGGGGAGGGGAAGTGGGGTTTGGGACGGCAAGGGATGGGGAAGAAAGAGAGGGGAGGGGCTTTGGATGCCACGCTGAACAGCAGGTCCAGCTTGCCGTACTTGTGACGCACTGCTGCCGCTACAGCCTGGAATGGTGGGGGAGGATGCGATGGGGAGTTGTGGGAAGCAAAGAGGAAGAGGAAGAAGGTGAAGGGAGCTTTGTGCCATCTCAAAGTATCGCGAGTAGAGAGGAGGTGAAGGGTAGCCGAGTTTAGAAGAGCCTCAAAAGAGGCATGTTTCACAACGACAGCACGTCTTACACTCGGGTGTAGATCTTCCAAGAGCGCTCAGTGACCGCAGGTGTACATTTTTCGTTACACTCTTTGGTGTTCCTCCGTGTTTCCCTTTGCGATAATATTGAGACCCTCGTTATAGACATATCCCGAAGCTGACTCTGATCCTTCAGACCCATGCGCGTTCCCTCATCTCAACGTTATCGACTCTCATTCCATCCATTTGCATTAGATGCATCCAGTACTGAATTGACATACCTCGATGGTATCCTCTTTAGTCACATCCAGTTGCATCACATCCAGCCGTCCTCCGCTCTGGTCGTGCAGAGCGTCCAGGTGCTGAGCGCCCATCGGATCTCGACACGTGGCGATGACGCGGCCGGTGGGCTGCCGCTTCAGCAGCTGCTCCACCTGTCCACGTGGCAGTCAGGGAGGAAAGCCGGGGGGAGTGGATAGGGCGTAGAGGGAAACAAAAAGAGAGTGGAAACGCGAAAGGAGGATCGGAAACTTCTAATTGGGAAAGGAAGGGAATCGACCGATTGGAGAAGAACACGACCACAGCGTTGCTGTGATACAATTTTACAAGGAAAGGAACAAAAAAAACAAAACAAAACAAAACAAAAAAAGGCAATGCGAAGCGCGAGAGCTCGATCTCAGTAGCTGACGCCTTAAGGAACGACACTTTTCCTATGAATCAACAATCGGTCCAAAATAAAATCGCTGTTGAAGCAGCTTACAAAGGCGAGTCCAATGCCTTTATCGGAAGCCTGAACGAGCGACACTGTCTCTTCCGCCACGGACGGCCCAGACGACTGCGACAAATCCGCCGCGGGACACGCGGACGAGTGGAAACCCGCCATTGCGTTGCGGAGCCCAACGGCGGCCGCGCCGGTTGCAGCGGCGGCGGCGGCGGCGGCGGCGGCGGAGGAGGAGCAAGAGCTGGTGAGGTGGTGCCTCGCGGCGACGGAGAGTGCGCCTCCGTAAAGACCGGCGAGGATCGGCCTGGCGGCTCGACGGAGCAATGAGACTGACGCGGAAGCCATGGATGTCGGAGAGGCGCAGGGAGCAGGATCTGACGTATGTGTGTTTTCGTGTGTGTTTTTCAGGCGTTAAGAAGTAATCGAGAGAAAAAAACGTCTCGGTTTCCGATGTTACAAAAATGCGTGCTTGTCCGCAAGGCAAATGCGAGAGGATCAGACCTAGGAGCAGTGACGATGCAATGGGGAAATCACAAGAGAGACGACAAGAACCAGTGTCTGCGGTGAAGAAACGGCGGTCAGCAATGGTGTTCAACAATGGCGGTCAGCAGCGGTGGCGACTGACATGTGAAAACAATGCACTGAAAGCATGGCCTAGCAGATGAGTTGTATGCAAGTGACTGATAGGTGGAATTCAAGAAAGCTGAAGTTGGGCAAAAGTGCTGATGTGAAGCACTTTCGTTGTCTACGTTTCCGTTCGGTTGAGATGGTTTTCAGCATGGTCTCGCGGAGCATTTGGCTGCAGAATTCTCGATGTCCCGGCGTTGACACCTAGACCGAGAATCAAGGAGGTTTGGGTATCGCCAGCTCATTATCTGGCCCTCCCACGTCGTTCACGCTGAGCTTTGTTTTCGGCTGTACATTGATTGGTGGATTGGGCAGCTAGATGCTTGCGCCTGCTCACAACTGATTGGCCGGTTAGCCGCCCCCAACAATTCCCCAAGAGTGTAGCAGTGACAGAAGACAGTCGAACGGTAATATATAACGAATCATATCAGCATTCAGCATTGATCACAAAATGAACTCTTACAAGCTGCATATATCCAGCTTTCACTCACCTAAGAGGAGCTGCATTATCGAAGCTCCCTGTACAGCAACATACCAAAAGCAGCCTGCAAAGTACCATACAATCAACCATCCAGCCATGACACATCCATCCAACACATTCAAAAACCACACAGCTCAATCATCATTCAGTCACCGCCCACACCCCATACATGAACCTAACCTGACGAAGCAGCTAATTCCTCCTCGCCCTCTCCTCCGCCCCGCCTCTTCTGCAGAGCAAGTGTCCCACTGAGAGCACAGTAAAACCTGATCCAGGTAAACCTACTAACCATGGCCAGAACCACCACTCCTTCCGCCAACAGCCGCTGAAACGACGGCACACCCGGCCCGCCAGAACCTTCCAAAGGAGCCACAGGGGAAGAAACCGACGGAGAGACTCTGCAGGAGCAGGAGATGGTGGGGGTGGTCTGCGCCCCTGACAGTCGCAGCAGCTCCATAACCGTCAACGGCTGATACTTTGGCGGGTCGCTCATAACAATATTATCCACCTTGTGAGAATAAATCTTCCCCGAGCTGTCGAGTTTATACTCCGATGTGCCGTCGAAGCGGCCGTGGGCCTCCCAGGGGAGGCGGGGGATGCCGCGGACGGACCAGCGGATCTGGATGGTGCGCTCGTTGGGCTGCCACACGCGCAGCACGTCCACACAGAGCGCCTTGAAGAAGATCTTGCCGTGGAAACGCAAAGCCTTGAAGATGAGGCGGTAGTTGTCGATGCCCTTGAATGTGTTCATGGGGTCCTGGAAGGTTATGTCCTCCCTGATGGGCGAGCACAGGCAGCACAGATGGAGGAGACAGGAACTTTATTGAGGTGCGTCAAAGGGGTGGTTGTTAAAGCCCTTGAATGTGTTCATCGAGTCCTGGAAGGTTACGTCCTCCCTATGGGCGAGCATGGGCAGCAGAGTTACATTTGTGAAGTACAGATTGAGGGACCGATGCGATTTTGAGGCACATGAAAGCATTGGTCGCCAATGCCTCTGCATGTGTTCATTGTGCCCAAAAAGGTGAAGCATTTTCAAAGAGGAGAACGTAGAAAGAGTGGTAAAGTGATGGTAAACCAGGAAGAAACACTGACTTGAAGGCAGAGAGCAGAGTGCACCCAACACATGCTCCCCCAAACACACACCTGTAGATGTCATACGTCATGTCCCGGTAAAAAAGAGTAGGGAGCTCCTCCCGTAGCGTTCTAATGGCGTAACCCACGTTCACATAGTAGTCATCCCGCAGCTCACTATCCTTCTTTGGCTGCAGGCGGAACATGCACACAGAGAACAGAGCAGTGGAGGATACAAATGGACGAATAGTTGGACGAGTAGTATGGGAGGACTGGAATCGGCTGAAAGATGAACAAGGGGAAATTACCCCAACATGACAAAGACAAAGTCAGGCTCAATGCATGTCATTGCATGCCTGCTCGGACTTGAATCGAGTGATGGTACCTCTATGTTGGTCTGGAGCTGAGTGCTTCCAGGTGGGTCAGAGGTGGCAACTCCCAGTACATGTTGGTGGGGGAACTGCAGAGATGATAGGAGCCACGTGAACCAGGAGAGAAGGTGGGGAAGGGACGAAGAACGAGAGGGAGAAAGCAAAACGATGAGAGGATGAGCGCAGAAGGCGTGTAAGAAATGACTTATAATTAGAAAGAGCAGGAGAGGGGGCACCCTTCCAAAGATGGATGAATGATGACTGCAGGTAGAAGACGGAAAGAAAAATACAGCACAAAGTACACTGCAGCTTGAGCATGCGAAACACATACCTTTCTGCTGTTAACTTGTTCCGCATTCACCCTTGTCTCTTCTCCCGTCATGGAAACTGCGAAATGTAATGAGACAAGTGAAGTGGTGTGGTATCATAAATATATCGGTTGGACTCCGAGGAGACACACAGGCAATCGGAGTGGGCTTATAACGAGAGATATGGCGGGAAATCTCAACAATGTCTATGATAAACAGAAGAACACAGCGGAACTGGATGCATATGCCTCACACCACTCACCTAGGGGAAGCACGCCGCCATCCCTTAGATGATGAGTGCCCTGCAGACTGGGGGAGGGATCGAACGGAGCGGTAAAGGCGAGTTAATGAGCAGGACGCAGGAAAGCACAAACGGTTCAACACGGAGCAAGGACAGAACTCACCCTTCACCCTTCGCACTGAAATGACCAGGAACCTCCACCGTCTCAAATTGACCTGAAATCCCAGCGTGACCAGATCTAGGGATCTCCACAGCCTCCTCTGCCAACCCGTTGGCGTGAAAAAGCGCGCTGAACACGAGACGCCATCTCGCCATGTCTCCCATCTCGGAAGATTCTTGCTCTGGCATCGAAGCTAGCTGCACGCGTTCCGGACTCTGTTGAACGGATGCTTGGCGATGTGACAGTGGTTTCTGAGGCTGATAGAGCGTCGGTAGAGGGGCCAGATTGGATAAAATTCAGGATTGGGAGAATGTAATCAGGAAGTACAGAACAAAGCTTTTCCTCGTCGGAATGGGAAGCAATGACCGAGCGGGTGCTGGTGAAAGAGCGACGAACTGGTAGGGAGCAGAGACCGAGGGAGTGGTGATGGCGAAAGGAGAGAAAGCTGTTCTTCAGCAGCAAGGCACGTCTACATGATATGGGAGGCCGGACTGATGTGCATCTGAAGTATACTTGAAGGTAATTATCTACCTTAAGAGGTGGTAAGACTGGCGTGGCTACTCGAGCGGAGGAGCCTGAGCGAGACGCAGCCACCACGGCACCGGCTGGTGCGGAAGGTCTCACTGCCATTTCCGCTGCAAGAATGTCGAGGATAATACAGGATGTGGACGAGAAGCAATAATAAGCTTTACGGTGGGCAGCTTTGTGTACTGGATAATAGGGAAAATGTCAGATGCTGAAACTAGATAACTGTGTCTCATTCTAAAACAGCTTGTTACCTGCGAGGTTCATCATCGCAGCTGCCATTGCGATGCGGTCAGAAATTACACACTCTGAGATTGCAGGAATAGATGTAGGAATCTAGACGGAACCCGACGGCTGGATGGGAGCTCGGTCTATATTTCAATACGTGATATCGTTATATTGGATGAGCGCTTAGATTAAAAAAATCCGTTCACGAGCCCCTAATTCACACTACCCAAGGAAACTGATGAACAAATAGTCTTCAAGAAATGGCACCATGTAAGGTCTGTGTACTTCGCGCACAAGCACTTTAAAGATTACTAAGAAACACGCAATGTCCTACGCTTTACTCCTCCCAGCACTCCAAATAAAATATAAACAACTCGCTTCGGTTGGACACCAAGAACTGTTCCCAAAAACACCGTACGAATAGCCCTGTCTAGTATCCTACACCCGCCGATGTCTTCAACGTGTTTCTCAACTAAGGACGGATTCCTGATTCTTGATTTAGCTGAAGCTCCTAAAGTTCCTAGAATTGCTCCTGGAAAGTCTGCAGTTCGTGATCCTCCTCAAGCGTGTTTCTGGCTGCAAGCCCTTCTCCCTAGTTCCTGGAACCATGAGTTCTCGAGGTAGAAACAGTGCTGCGTGCTGATTCCCCACGAGCGGATAATCCCGATGCCTGACAGTCGGAATATCCGAGCTGACGGTGGAACCTCGACTTGACGGCGGGCGTGGAAGGTGACGGGAGGGCGCAACTTTACAGGCTGACGACAAGATGGATAACGAAGATGGCGACTATCGCCAATGGGCTCGCATCTCCGCTCGCTTGAGCGAGGGCTTCTCGAAGGCACACAAGATTGTCTCACAAGCAAGGTCGTTATAAGCACAGTCCTTTTGCCTGCTGGAAGACGTGGCATGATTCGTGACCACGTCACTTTACAATCTCTCCGCTGATGCCTGTGCGGCTTGCCAAGGTGCCACGTGATCTGGGAGACACACAACAGTTAAACGGCATCGATTGCAACAAAAGGCGGAAACGGAAATGTCTACAGTAATAAAGCAACCTAAATCTATAGCTATAGCGCATCTGCAACACAAGACTACACCAACACATGAAAGCTTGCACTTCAGCATTGTGGAGTTAACTAGCCTCTAGTAGACGCTCGCTTAAGCTCCGGCTCGTCGCCATCACTACCACCAGGCTCTTTGGGAGAAGCTTTCGGCAAAGACTCACCATTTCTACCACCACTACTTGCTGGCCTCCTGCCTCCGCTGCTACTTGGCCGCTTCACCACTGGCAAAGGCCTTTCAAATCCAAACGGAATCCTAGTGTCTGTGCTTCCGGTAACGCTACCACCACCAGAAGAATAATTTATGTTGCTGCTTGTAGCACTGAACGTGCTTCCCCCACCCGTGCCTGTAACGCCATAGTTTCCACCTCCGCTACTCTCGCCACCGCCCACACTAATCCTCCCTCCGCTTCGTATACTTCCATCACCAGTAACGCTTTTGTTGCGAAATCCACTTGCAGTTTTACTGCCAGCAGGACCACCAGAACCACCACTAGGGCCAGCAGCAGCAGGAGCAGCAGCAGCACTTACTGCACCACTAGAACTGGCAGCAGTAGGAGCAGCATCAATAGCCCGGCCATCAGTAGCACCACCACCACCACTGCTTACACCACCACCACTACTGCCCTCACCACCACCACTGCCGCCACCACCACCAATCCCCCTTCCGCCACCGCCACCACCACCACCACCACCACCACCGCCGCCATCAAAGCCACTCCCTTGCCCTCCCCTCAAACTCCCCCGCCCACCAAAACTCCCAGCCCCACTCCCACTGCTCATACTCATACTCAAATTGCTCCCCCTCAAGCTGCTATGCCTCCCCCGCTCCTGCTCGCTCATTCCCCGCTGCAGAACCCGCAGCGCCCCTCCAATGCTCCGACTCAGCGAATTCCGCCTCGACCTAGGCGGGGTTGCCCCACCCCCCGCCCCGTCCCTCAAACTCCTCCCATCCCCCTCCCCATCCCCCTCCCTGTCCCGGCCCCCGTCCCACTCCCCATCATCGTCATCATCCCTCTCAATCCACACGTTCCGAAGCCTGTCTCTGCGCAACCCCAGCCCTGTGCGGCACTCACACATGACGGCATCTGATGGGCGGGTAGACATGACAGAGCCAGAGGAGACACTGGAGGAGGCGCCTAGCATGGGAGGCGTGGTGGGGCGAGACGAGGTGCCTAGCAGGAATGGTAGAGAGGTTTTTAAGGGAGGGGTGGTGGGGCGGGAGGAGGGGGTGGTGGGGCGGGAAGAAGGGGTGGTGGGGCGAGAGGAGGAGGAAGGGGCGGTGGAGGGGCGAGGGCTAGATGAGGAGGTGGGTTGGGAAGCAGGAACTGGGGTGGATGGCGAAGCCGAGAGAGGGAGATGTGTAGAAGCAGCGGCAGAAGCAGGAGCGGTCGCGGGACGGGTCTTAGGAGATACAGACGAAGCAGACTGGCTTTCTCGCCCGATAGACCCATCCAACGAGAACGACACTTGAGCCTCCAGCCGTGCAACCGCCTGTGCCTGCGCATCTCCCTCTGCCTCTGCCTCTGCCTCTGCCTCTGCCTCTGCCTCTGCCCGTGCTTTCACAGCCTGTGCTTGTGCTTTCAGGGCCCGAGCTTTCAAGGCATGTGCTTTCACAACCTCTGCCTGCGCTTGCATAGCTTGTGCTTTCAACGCCTGTGCTTTTACGGCCTCTGCCTCTGCCTCGGCCTCTGCCTGTGCTTGCAGCCCCTCAGTGGTGACAAACGGCTCATCCCGCGTCTCCTTCCTTGCGTTGAGCCGCTGCAAGCTCGCCACAGGCGCCGGGGACTTGGGAGTGGAGTCGTAGACCACACACGTGGGCGACAGGAGGGCGGGGGGCACGGGCGCTCGGAACGTGGATGACACTCGGCTGTGAGACGGCGGAGTGATTGTAATGGAGGGCGTGGAGCGATGTGATTGGCTGAGAGGGCTTACAGGGCGGTTGGCATGGCTGCTGTCTGTGGTGTTGCTGGTGGAGGGGGTGCTAGGGCTGAGTCTAGAAAGGCCACGAGGTGATGCTGGGCTAGATGACCCGTCCCTACCTTCCCTGAAAGCACCTGCTAATGCCGCTGCTGTAGGAGCTCCTTCTGCTGCTGTTTCTCCCCTGTCCCAACTGCTGCTGCCATTGCTGCCGCCACTGCTGCTCTCACCACCCAGACCAGCAGGAGCATCAGCAAAGCGCACATAAGCACGGGGGGATCTTGGGGGTCGATCTGCATACCCCGCCCCCGCCCCTCCCCCAGCCCCAGCAGAACCGCCTGATTCCTCAGCTGCAGCCCGAACAAACCCCCTGGGGGACCTCGGGTTGTCACCTCCCCCAGTTAAGTCCACGCTGTTGGCGGCTGAGCCACGGAAAGGGGGGCGCACAGGGGGCTGTGAGGGAGGTCGGGGTTTCAGAGGGCTTTTAGGGGAGTTGGGGGTGTCAGGTGGTGGTGGGGTGTGAGGTGTGGCAGAGAGGGGAGGAGACAGGGAAGGAGTGGATTCGACGAGGGAAGATATCTGGGAAGATGGTAGAGAGGAGGTGGACAGCAGGGACTGAGCGAGGAGAGAGGGAGAGGGCAGAGGTCCGGTTTGGCCTGGGGTGGATGCATCAGGTGCTGCTGGCAGTGCAGGGAGGGGTCGGGGGACTTTCTGAGTCAAGTCAGATGACCTGAAGGGAGCAGCAGAAGAGCCAGCAACAGAGACAGATGCTGACGTGGGAAATCTGGTCCGAGCAGAGACCGAAGAAGCAGCAGCAGCAGATGCAGGAGAAACCGACCTGGGGGCTGAAACCGACCCAGATTTCACCAGAAAACTCGCAGCAGGCTCAGCAGCAGACGCCCCAGTGGGAGACAGCGGCACAGCCGCCCTCGGCGACAGCTCGGGGGCCTTCCCTTTCTCCGTGACCTTCCCCACCTCAGTCGCCGGCTCAAACACCATGGGCAGCGGCGCTCCCTGCACGATTCCTGCAGCAGCGCGCTTGGGCTTGAAGATCCCCGAGATCATGACCGCGCGGGGCTTCTTGGAATCCGCAGAGGCTTTGTCGAGCTTCTTGCGGGCCTCGGCAGCCATGGCTTCCATCTTGCGGGAGTTGAGCTGCGTGAGGTTGGAGGCGTCGGAGGCGACGAGGCGGGATACCCCCTCCAGGGCATCCAGGAGAGAGGCATCGATGACTGCCTTCTGTGCGTGGTAGAGGGTCTGGTGGGGGAGGAGAGGGGGGCAGGGGAACGGGAGAGGGGAGTAGGGGAAAGGGGAGACCGGGTGCGTGGGTAGTGAGTCACTGAACTTCGCCCTTACGGTCACCTCAGAAGCCTTCTTGACGGGGTGCCAGTGCAGCCATGGCTTCCATCTTGCGGGAGTTGAGCTGCGTGAGGTTGGAGGCGTCGGAGGCGACTAGGCGGGATACCCCCTCCAGGGCGTCAAGCAAAGAGGCGTCTATCACTGCCTTCTGGTAGAGGGTCTGGTGGGGAGGGAAGGGGGAGAATGGGGACGGGGGGGTTCAGGGTGGGGAGCGGTAAAGCAGGGTAGTGAGAGAGAAGGTAAGCTTGAAGGAGCCTAAAAATCTGTCTGCTCACATGCACCCTCAGCAAGCATGTCACCTTGCAATGCAATTCACATGCAGCTTTCTATCACTATAATGGCGCCACTCTTCACTTGTCCTTCTCACCTGCACTCTCAGCAGGCGTGTAGCCTTGCGGTTTGACAACGGCTTCACCTTGATGGCATCATTCCAAGCGATTGTGTGCCGCGCGATCGTGTGGCATTATTCACAGAGGCAGCAGACTCTAGTATAAGGCCCTTGAATTGAAAACGTCCCCTCAAGCACTGCTTCCTCACCTGCACCCTTAGCAATCGCGATGCCTTGCGGTTCGACGAGGGCTTCACAGTGATGGCATTGTGTCATGCGACTATGTGCTGCGCCAGCAGAGGCAGCAGGCTGAACCTTACTAACAAGGCGCATTCAAAATCGTCTGTCTTCTCACCTGCACTCTTAGAAGGCGTGTCGCCTTGCGGTTGGAAGATGGCTTCACAGTGATGGCATCGTTCCACGCAATCGTGTGCTGCGCCAGCAAAGGCAGCAGACTCAACGCCTTCCTCATCCGCCTCTCCCACTCCTCCATATCCTCGTCCTCCTCATCCCCCTCCCCTCCCTTCCCCCCTCCTCCTTTCCCGCCTAGACCACGTGGGTCATTCAACGGACTAGGCTTCTTCAACCAAGTAAACCCATCATCGTCATCGTCATCCTCCCCATCCTCCTCATCCTCGTCCCCATCCTTTCCTTTCTCCCCCTTCTTGTCAGCGCCCTTGCTGGTTTCAGTGTCAGCGGTTTTTTCTGTCTTGGTGTCTTTGCTCTTGGAGGAGATCACAGGCCGGGATAGCCGCAGGGCGAGGTCTTTCTTGGTGCTGTAGGTCAGCAGGCCGTACAACTCGTCCCTGGAGGGAGGGAAACAGGTATATGGGGGTGGGATTGGGGAAAAAGGAGAGAAGCTAAAGCTGGGATAGCCGCAGGGCGAGGTCTTTCTTGGTGCTGTAGGTCAGCAGGCCGTACAGCTCGTCTCTGGACGGAGGGAGATACGGAAATTGGAGGGCAGCAGGGGAAAGGGGAGGAGGGGAGGTGGAGGAGAGAACCAAAAGCCTGAACAAACGCACTGCGAGGTACTTTCTTGGTGCTGTAGTTCAGGAGGCCGTACAGCTCGTCTCTGGATGGAGGGAGACAAGAATAAGAATCAGAATATGGCAGCTTGACTTTAGGAGTGGGGGAAGAAGTGGGAGGGGTTAGATGGGAAAAATGATTTCTTATGTATCCCAAGATGCTACACGATCTGGCATCAGCCGTCAACCTGTCGTCTTTTTGAAACACCATCATCTTAACAAAAACTCTCTCCAAATTCAGAAGCAAGAGCTTTGACTTCAAATCTGCGTGTGGGCTGCCACACAAAAGAACGGGGGTTCTGGCCTGATAGTGGCACCTTGAGTAAGCGTCAAATTAAGCGGGGATGTCAGATCTTGTAATAGCTTGGGTACATCCTCGATTAGGATGTGCAGAGAGCTTCACAGTCAAGGTCTGTCTTTGAAAAAAAGAAAACGGGAGTGCAAGTGGCAGGAACAGCTTAGGCGACATTGTTTTGCAGTGCATGCCTTTGTTAGGACCACTTCATACCCACCTTGTGTTCAGTCTACCTGTGTGATCATTCAACCACCACTGAACATATCCCCACCCACCGTGTACTCACAGCAGCCATTAAGGGGTATTTCATGAGCTTCTCCGCCAGGTTGATGACCTTGGCGTAGCGCAGCGCCAACCCAGCCCACTGTGCTTGTTGCAATCACCCAGGCTGTACGCACTCTACCGGTTTACAGTACCAAGCCCATTCGCTCGCACCCACCGTGTACTCCCAGCGGCCATGAAGGGGTATTTCATGAGCTTCTCCGCCAGGTTGATGACCTTGGTTGGCGTAGCGCAGCGCCAGGCCACTGCCAGTGCGCTTGACACAATCAATCAGGCTGTATGTGATCTACCCATGTACTGTACATCACTTACGCTTCTAGCACCCACCGTGTACTCCCAGCAGCCATGAAGGGGTATTTCATGAGCTTCTCCGCCAGGTTGATGACCTTGGCGTAGCGCAGCGCCAGCCCAGCGCGGCCCAGGGATCCCTCGCGAGTCAAGGCGTCGGAGGAGCGCGCGTTGATGGCAAATACTGAGATAATTCGGTCCCTCAGGAGGATGATCGCCAGCACCAGCAGCTGAATGGGAGGGATGGGCGGATGGAGGGATGAGCGAATGGAAGGAGGAGATGCTTGCAGCATACAGCTTTGTACCACAGCAGATTGATGGCCTTGGCGCAGCGCAGTGGTATATCAGCACAATCGCGTTGATGGCAAAGACAGAGATGATTCTGTCCCTCAGGACGATGATCGCCAGCACCAGCAGCTGGTGGGGAGTGATGGGGGCAGATGGAAGGACGGGATGCAGAATCACAGGTTTAATACAATAATAATAGCTTCATCAGTGGCCAATGCAATATTGTCTTGCAGCAGGTTGATAACTCTGGCATAGCACAGCCAGCCCAGAGTGGCCCAGGGAGCCCTCGCGAGTCAAGGCATCAGAGTAGTGCGCGTTGATGGCAAGGGCAGAGATGATTCTGTCCCTCAGGAGGATGTTCGCCAGCATCAGCAGCTGGGAGGGGTGGGATAGGCGGATGGAAGGATGAGGTGCACGGTTTCATTCCACATCAATACGGATTGACTTCCAGAGCGGTTGAAACGGACGAATGGAGAGGAAGGGAGGGGCAGGGATTGTGGGGTTCAAGAAGGGAATGAGGTGCAAAAGCATTTTCCTGGCTGCCTGTGCCGTCACTGCTCACGTGGACTAAGCACCAAATCTCATTTCAGCAGGGACGAATGCCCGCACAGCCTGCATGCATTCCCCCTGACAGCATGGTCCATACTCGTCCCATCGGCTTCATTTTGTTGATTTATCCATAACCACACAGATTGCACTCACCCGCACAACGTGGTCCAATTCAACAGACCACAAACATCGCCTCTGCAGCTCTGATATGGTTGCCGTCTGCACGCAACATCACGTCCAGGCAAGTCGGTAAGCAGAGGGAAAAGGGGTGAAAAGGGGTGGGGGGATGAAGGGAGGATCGGCCACAAGCATTCATTCAGTGCAGGGAAACCAAAGGCGGCATGGAACGCGGCAGATTTGTGATTCATAAAGCTCCCTGGGTAACTGGTAACCGCAACCCGGTAACTACACCAGGCCAGTGACTGCACCAGCCCGGTCTGCGCACCAACCTGGTAACCACGCCAACCTGGTAAGCGCAACCCAGTAACTACACTGATCCAGTAGTATTAGTGCACCAGTTCCGGGACCTCCGTGAACAACTCTTGAGAATTCTAAAAAATATCAGAGCAAGCGCACCAGTTTGAGGATCTCCTCAGCCCCTGGCAGGTCGCAGCGAGGCATCCATGAGGACGAGTCACCCTCCTTCTCTGCGTCCTCCTTGCCCTCGCCATCGGCCAGGGCGTCACTGTTTTGTGGGTTAGATAGGGATGTAAAGATGTGGTGGCAGGTGGTGGGAGGGGGGTTTAATGAGGGGGGCGTGTGGGATGGGGAGCAGGGGGTGGGTGGGAATTTGGCTTCTTTAAAAAACGAGTCGCTTTCCTTCACTGCCTCCTTCTTGCCCTCGCCATCGGCCAGAGCATCACTGTTGTAGATACGGATGGGAAGGTGTGAGGTGTAATGGGAGTAGGGGCTTTGAAATTGGTGGGAGGTTTTCTGACAGCCATGAGGACGAGTCGACCTCCTTCTCTGCCTCCTCCTTGCCCTCGCCATCGGCCAGGGCGTCACTGTTGTAGATACGGATGGAAGGTTAGGTGGTGGGTGGGTGGGTGTGTGGGAGAGGGGGAGGGGGGTAATGTGGGGCCATAAGTGTGGGGGCCCTGGTGGTTGCTTTGAGAAGAGGGTTTTTGAAAGCCAGGAGGGTGACTTGCTCCCTTCTCCTGCTTGCCAAGAGGACAAGTCCGATGTGTTGCAGTGAATGTGGGGTCGGGTGGAAGAATAGCAGTGTAGCAGAGAGGAGCATGCGAAGAGAAGTGACTGGACGGAGGAGGGTGGGAGGGGAGATCACTAGGTGAGTGAGGGACGGGGGGATGCACCTAGTAGCCTACACATAGAGATGCACATGGGACGGTGGGATGCACCAGTAACCTAGTAAATGAGTGAGGGACGGTGGGAGTGCACATAGAGATGCACGTGAGGAACCTACACAGGAACACACTCAATGAACGGGAAGCAAAGGGAGGCATAGGGACGTACGCTGAGGCAGCTTGCAGTTCAGAAAGAAGGCTTGTGGCGGGCGCAGGCTTCTTCTTCCTGAAGGGAAGGCAATGGCGTGGATGGAGTGCATCACACGAGTGAGAGGCATCACACGAGTGAGAGGCATGGCAAGAGTGAGAGGCATGGCGAGAGTGAGAGGCATGGCAAGATGAGAGGCATGGCAAGAGTGAGAGGCATGGCAAGATGAGAGGCATGGCAAGAGTGAGAGGCATGGCAAGGATATTGCATGAAGAGATTGAGGCATGGCAAGGTTAAGATATCAATAATCGAGAATATTTGCAGTGCACAGACACTCAGCTTCCACACCCACCTGAGCAGCGAGCGCAGAGTGTTGAGTCGTTCCATGGAGCTGCGCACCTCCCCCAGCTTCTCCACCTCCTCCTGCATGAAGCTGCACGCACGTTGAAGCAGGGGGGGGGGGGGGAGTGGGGAGGTGGGGATGGGTGCCCAAGGGGGAGTGGGGAAATGGGGATTAGGAGGCAGGAGGGGAGAGGGGAGGTGGGGATGGGGGGGCAGGGGGGGAGGAGGGGGTGGACGAAGTGTTACAATTCAAACATCATGGAGCTGCGCACCTCGCCCAGCTTCTCCACCTCCTCCTGCATGACGCTGTGAGGGTCAAGAAGGCCAGGCGGAGGGCGGGGGGGGGGTAAAGGGGGAAGGGGAGGGGGAAAGGGGAAGGCGCTTCACACATGGCCACACAGATAAACCGTGCAATTAGAAATCTATGTACCTCTGCGCACCTTCAAATGCTCTACATGGCTCACTCACCAGAAGAGTGTCTCCTGCTCCTGGGCGTCCAGGCTGAAGTGAGGGGAAACGATTGTTTCACGCCCTTGAGCATTGAGCAACTCACCAGAAGAGCGTCTCCTGCTCCTGGGCGTCCAGCCTGAAGTGGGAGAAGACGGTTTCGGGGTGCCGCATCTCCCCAAACACGTTCGCCAGCTGGTGCAGCCGCCTCTCGCCACACTTGAGGCCCATGGCCGCAACCCGCTCGCCCATCCTCTCTAAGATTTCCATCAGCTCCAAGCCTGTATGTGGTGTTGAGGCAATGCGGAATGACAAGAATATTTGCACTCAACTCAACTCTCGCCACACTAGAGACCCATGGCCGCCACATGCTCGCCCATCCGCTCCAGAATCTTCATCAGCGACAAGCCTGTTGGGGTGAGGTGAGGGTATTGTGACTATAAGGAGTGACCAGAAAAGCACTCTATTCAAATCTCGCCGCACTTAGAGGCCCATGGCCTCCACGCCTCGATTATCCTCTCCAGAATCTCCCCACCAGCTCCAAGCCTGTTGAGGGCGTTGAGGGGAACTGGGATGGCATTCAGGGGGGCGGGTATGGCATTTAGGAAGAACAGGGGTGGCATTTAATGGCATGTAGGGGGAACTGGGGTGGCATTTAATGGCATGTAGGGGGAACCGGGGTGGCTTTGAATGGCATGTAGGGGGAATAAGGGTGGCAATTAGGGGGGACGGCTGTGGCGTTCGGGGAGAAAGTGATGGCATTCGGGAAAAGCGGGGAAAGAGGGGGGTCAAATTTGGCGGAACAGAAGTTATGATGCAATGTAACTAGATGGACGGACACGCCTGGATTATTCCTGAACCGTACCTGCTAGAGTCCACAGGTGCGCGGGGTCAGGGCAGACATAGGTGAGAACAGCCTTGTCCTCCTGAGGCAGGCGTGAGAGGTATGCACGGGCGTGCGGAATGGGGGAGAGAGGGGGAGAGGGAAGAGAGGAGGGGAGAAAGTGGAGAGGTGGGGGGAGGGGAGACAGGGAGAGGGGGCGGAGTGGGTGCGGAGTGAGGTGGGGTTCAGTGGGGGGAGAGGAGGAGGGAGGGATTTGAGGGGAAGGGAGGAAGATACGGCAAGCCATGGCTCTGGGGTTCGGGGGTTGTGATGCTGCGCTTGGGCGCATTATCACGTTGCGAGCGTGCTGATGAAAAGATTCATACACATGTTGATCCGCTCACAAATGTACGGACGCATGCACGAGTGCATTTGCAATGTGTGAATGAGACCATGGGTGCATCAATGAAGGAATGGGTATCATTTATTGGACTCACGCGAGTGCATTGGCGCGTTATTCCTACACCCATTCAGCGGAAACGACTACCATTAACCATGAATGCGCATTCACCAGTCCACAAGTGCATGACTGAATCCTAGGCCGCTGCAGCTGACGATCAAATGACTTCAGAACGTAGAGTTTTTTTAGTTGAAAATACAAACGCTCTTGACGCGCGCCTTAATGAGCGAAAATGGATGAAAGAAAAATGTCAAAACTTGAATGGCTTCCTTCAGTGAAGCAAGAAAACTGCTACGGTTGCATTCTTGGGTAACTACCTCTGTTGCCTGACACGTGGCTACGCGTCACGGCTTCGCTTACCTGGAGACTCGTCCGCAGCCGTTCGATCTGCTCAGGGCTGATCGTGGACCAGAGCCACAGCAGCTTGCGCATGACGGCAGCAGCCTCGATCGACAGGAACTTGGCTTCTTCCACGCATCGATTGGGTTTCGTCGGGGGAAATCCGAGCTGGTCTTTCTTCGTCTTCTTCCGTCTGCCGATCGTTCCGGTGCCGCTCCGGCCGATGGTTCCGCCGCCGGTCAAGCTAAGCGACGCGGGTATCGTGTTATAGTACACTCTTTTCGCGAGCTCGAGAACTGGTTCGGGTAACCCGCCTGGTTTGTTTTCTTTGTCGTTGACGGCGTTCGTGACCGTTGACGATTTCATCAACGGCATACCGCCAAGGCCGAAGATTAAGCTGTGGTGATACGCCATGGAAGCTGACTTTGCGTCGCGACGGAGTTATTGCACTCCTTTGGTATCGTGATTCAGACTCCTCAGCTGCCGTTAGCTGCAATGTGGATAACCTTACCAGAAAGGCAGCTCCGCTATGAAGCGCGCATCTCTACGGAACATAGAGGTAACCGTAAGCCACAAGAGATTCTGACATTTGAATACCTAATGGCTATGGCTCGGAGAGTCTTTGCAAGAAGCATTGGCGTTCGTCACGCAGAACGTGAGGTTGAAACCACGAATTTCGTACAAGTGCACTGCGCGGAGAAAGCGAATGGCGCGGGATTTGACAAAAGCTGAGGGAAATCTATCCAGACGGAATAAAAACGGTGATTGAATGACAGGAGTGTGAAGCGTTTGGTGATAGACGAGCTTGGAAGTCGATGGAGTCTGGTGTAGGAGGTCTGTCTGTGAGTGTCCTGTGTGTCTGAGCTTCTGGTTTTCTGATGCTAAGGTGAATGGTCCCTCGGTATTTTATCGAACAACACTGCTCTACCTGCACAGATAGATCTCCAGAAAAGCAGCAGGATGTTGGACGGGCGACGGAGACGTTGACGGAACCGAGGAATGGCGGCAGCAAGTGAAGTCTTCGTCTGCCCTGAGAGATGGTTGCGTTGCTCGGGGAAAATTTGAAGGTGAGCAGAAGGACCGGTAAATGGAACGGCCAGGTAAGCGGATTTGACTGTAGCGGAAATCTGTTGTCTGCCCAGTGCGAATTGAAACGATTTGATTGGGGGTTGGGACTTCCGGGCGAGGAAAAAACGCTTGGTTGGTGCAGGCGGAGAGAGTCGAGGTTGGATGAATGGAGGGAGGAGGCGAAGGGGGAGACGCCAACCAGGTTAGGTGCAACCACACCCAGGTTAGGGGCAGCCACACAGCCAAACTGCCAGCAAGGCGAAATCAAAGTCTCTTTGTTACATAAGCTCTCTAGTGTACTGTCTTGCTATTAGTCAATGACAGTTGTTTGTACAACATTGATCACACCGTTTTCTTTTGTTTCGTTTTCCGTCATGAAGCCACAAAATTAATCAAATATGTTCACATGTGATTGAGTCGAATAAATTCGATTTTAAACGTACGACTATGCTACTCTAAATTACCAAATCAAGACTGTAAGCTCTGACTGCGGACCATAGAAGAAGTCTTTCAATAAGACTGCACTAAACATACATTTTAGCTGGTGTTACACTCGAAGGCCTCCCTCGCTCCCTGCACAACAGATCTCCAGAGGTGGGCGGGGAGAGTGGAGCAATGTCATTTCTTTTCGGCTGACGGCTGGCTGTTTCATATTTCACACCAACAGAAGCAGCAGAAGCAGCAGCAGCCATTCACTTGTGAAGCGGTTTTGTTTCCAGAGTGTCACCGACCAGCAATGCTGGGACGGATTGTACATATCTTACCAGATCTCTCGCCTAGTCTTTTCACTAAACTCTGATAACTTGTTTCCGTTTACATCTCCGTTGATGCAGCTGCCATGTCGGAGGATCTGTTTTCGGAAATTGAACAGCTTGCTCCTAAATTTGCCGATGGAAATCTTGAATCCTTAGATCCACTGCAGCGAGTAATCTCTGATCTTCTATTAAAATCCAAGGACCGGACATGGCTGGAGAGTGACGCGGACGTCGCCGGCGGGATCGCCGTTACGCGACTGATTAACCTTCTTCCTGATTTTTCTCGGCATTGTCCCGAGCTGTATGGTCTTCAACGATCCAGTGACGTATCTGGACCGTCGGCTTCGGCTGCTGACGGATGTCACGGATCCGCATCTTCAAGCTTCATCGACCGGCTTTCCACTGATTGGTCTGTTTCCGCAGATCCAGATCTACATGGAGCGTCAGCATCACCATCAACGGCTACTATTGCTGCATCTGAGATTGCAGATGCTCGAGGATCAAGCGGTGTCGCTTCCGCACAACCAGCAATCCGACCGTTGGTGCAAGTCCTTCGAGTTATTCGGAACCTGCTCGCCGGTCTCGCCCCCAATCAAAACGCGTTTCTACAATGCGGTGCGCTAGATGCGGTAGCTACTATCGCGGACCGGCTTATATCGAGTCACATCATCCACCAAACCCCGCTACCAGGCGCCGCTCCTTCCGGCGGAAATCTCGCTGCTGCAGGCAGTACCGCCAGTGTCTCTGCAGCGTCTGCTGCGGATCAACCAAGATCGGGATCCCACTCTTCAGGCAACGGTGAAGACTCGACTCAAGTCGCTTCCCAACTTGCAAAGCTAAAAGTGGGTAGCGGAGCTGCTTCAGGCGCAGCGTCTTCCGGCAGCACCGCCGACGCGCTTTCGTCTTCAAAACCCGCACCTGCTTCCGCTTCTGCCTCCGCCACGGGTTCCTCCGCGCCTTCCGCGCGCATGCTTAACCGTCCCCCCGCTTTAGCGACTTCCGCGGGGGGAGCTTCCGCCAGCGCAGCCCATCGGCGGAAACGGTCCATTAACAGAAAGGGCACCGGAACTCTCTCTCTGCCCCTTCTCTCCCCGTCCGCCGCGTCATTCGGCGCTCTCCCCGGCGCGGCCTCCCCGGCGGGCGGCGCAGCGGCTCTCGCGCAAGGGTCGCCGATGGCGGGCGGAGTATCGGGTCACCCGATGACCCCCATGTCGCCGATGTTTTATTCGTCGCTGCTGCCGCCTGCGTCGCCGTCCGTGCTGCACCTGGCGCTGCAGATCGACCTGCCGCGAGACCACGTGGATGCCTTGAAGGCCGTGCTTCAGGTGAGCGCCTCTGCTCTCCCATGTTGTTTTTCGCTTGCTTTACCGCGTCCCCTCCCTCCCTCCCCCCACATCCCCCTCCCTCCCATTCCTCCCCCGTACCCCACCCTTCCCTTCCCCCCCCGCGCCCCTCTCCCTTCTCGCCCTTTCCCTCCCGTCGTCCCTGCTTTTTTCAGAAGTGATGCATGCATCTGACTAAAGCGGCTGGCTTGTCTCATGCCACGCACGCCTATACGCGGATGCTAAATTGAATATAAGTGGACCCATTGGCACGAACGGGTGCTTTACTTTTCCATGCACCTGACTTCTTTGACTAAGGGGCCTCACATCCACTGTCTTTTGGACCCTTTCTTGCATTCTCATTGACGAGTACGCTTCTATTCTACACATTCCTCCACTCGTATTCGCTACTCGCCTCCATTTCCGTTTATCTCGTCCCTTCCCTCTCCTATGCCCCCTCCTCACCCAACCGACCAAGCCCTCTCCTCCCCCGATACCCTGCCGTCCGCCCCCTACCCGAACCCCATGCCCTATCCTCACCCGACCCGCGTGTGTCCGCATCCGCAGGTAATCGGCAACTTCGCCAACGCGGGAGAGCTCCATCAAACCGCAGTGTGGGACCGCTGCTTCCCCGGCACTTTCTCGCGCCTCGCCACAGTGCGCTCTCCCGCGGTGCAGCGCGCGCTCTGCATGGTGCTCTTCACGTGCTGCCGCGCCGTGCCCAAGCACGTCGACGGGCTGGGCGGGTCCATGGACGGCGTCGCGCTGCTCGCGGGCGCGCTCAGGGCGCAGGGGGAGGCGCTCGTTGCGCGCGCGGAGGGGCGCGACGGCGGCAGCGGCGGGGATGTTTTCTCAGGTATGCCTTCTCGTGTGCTGCTGTAAATCTCTCCCTTCGTTCTCCGCACAACTCTCTAAAGAAACTTACAGAAATCTTTTGTGTCCCCTCGCTCCATCATTTCCGCTGCTTCTCCCTGCTCGTCTGTACACTCGTCTTGTGGCGTTCCTGTTCACACAAATCCTTCGTCCCTCTTGTCTACTCATTACCTCCCTCCTTACTTCCTTCCTGTCCCTGCCACTGTGCGCCCTTCTTTCTCAGCTCTCCCGGATGCTGCCTCTAACGGGATGGACGAGTGGTTGGGTCTGCTGGTGGAGCGGCTCTGCCTGCGCGCGCGCTACTTCGAGCCTGTCTTCAAGAACCTGCCCAACTTCTCGCCACGCCCTGCCCTCGGCCAGGTCCGAGGGCTATTCTGCCCGGAACAAGCCGCCCTGCTGTGGGTCCTGTGGGGCGCTCTTCACGCCACTGCGAAAGCACGGGGGATCCCAGGAATCGACTTGCCTTCTGCTTCTAATGAGGATAATGGAAAGTCCAAGGGTGATGAGACGTCAAAGGAGCCTGCTGCGCCTGGATCGAGATGGCAGGTGCATGGGCTGCCTGACATTGGACCGGGCACTCTCAAGTTCCTTCTCACTGCATGCAGAAACGCTGCGGCGGGTCTGAGCAAGGCGCGGGAGGAGGCTGGCAGCAAGGCCCTCGCCTCCTCCTCCACCTCCTTCACGTGTCTGCAGCTGGTGCTCTGCTTCTCCCTCCGCTGCCTCCGCGTTCTGGCCGCCCAAGAGCCGTCCTCCACCGCCCATCCAGTTCCAGCTTCTCCAGACTCATCATTCACAGTAGCCTCAGACGCCCCCCCCGCAGAAGCCTCAGCAGCAGCAGGAGCAGGACAAGCTGCAGACTCAAATTCAACGGCGGAGGATGCGTTTGTTGTGATCGGAGGTTCAGAAATCATCCCGCTGCTGCTGGATATCCTCCAGGGGCTGACTGTCAGTGTGCCTGGAGGTTCAAGTGGCCAGGGCAAGGAGGAAGCATATCCCGGATATCGATCTGACTTGGTGGCAGTGCTTGCAAACGCGTGTCACTGCCGGCCTGTGTATCAAGATGCTGTCAGAATGTATAAATGTACAGGGGGGGGAATATCTGGCCTTGTGCTGGTTCTGCAACAGATCATGGCAGAGTCTGATGGGGGTAGTGGTGGTACTAAGGAATGGGCGGGTTATGCTATGAGGTGTCTGGTGGAAGGGAATGAGAGCAACAGGAAGGAGCTAGCAGCAGCAGTACAGTCAGGGACAGTTTCTCAAGAGATGTTGGAAGCAGCTGGTATGAAGTGCTAGTGTTGGATGTGACCTGCCAGTCTAATCAACCATAATTGTCTACATGTCGTTCAGTCATTCCCTTCAGGAAAGCTGAAATTATGCTATCAACTGGATAACATGAAGCCTGCAGGATATAGGGCATGATTAACGAATAATTGACCATTCTATAGGGGGTACTGATCAGACAAATCAAGCCCCCCCAAATCGCGTCTTGCGGTGTTCGATTCGGCTCAGCAGCAGCATGTTAGTAGAAAATAGGACCCATAGTCGCCCCTCCCTCCTGCGCTTATCGGTCAACTAGAAAATAGGACTGGTACCTATCGGATAGGACGTCTCCCGTCCTTCACAATCCCCTCCGTCCTCTCCCAGTGGGGCTTGGGAACCTTTCGCCTGCCTCCCACCTCTCACCATGCCGTACGTTCCTCCTCATCGCCGAGCCGCCGCGAGCAGTTCCGCTGCCGAACCTGCTGCTCCGTCGGCGGCAGCGCCAAACCTAGGTTATCGAAGCTCCGGAGCAGGTTCGGAAAACAGGTTCGGAGGAAGAGGCCGAGGCAGAGATCGCATGTATCAGGCAGGAGGCCGAGGCATTGAACCCGTTATAAAGAAAATCTCGATAAAGAACTCTCCTGATGCTGTTTGCTACACCCTAGTTGACGATTTCGCCGAGCGAAGTTCATCTATAACGGGAGGCCCGTGCAGCGGCGAATGTGCTTGTAACGGGGGGCGAGCTCGCTGTAACCGAATGGTTCTCAGATTCCAAAGGTTTCACGATAGTTCTCAACAGCGCGACTGGGATCAAAATCTTGCTATTCTAGCAAGGGTTCCAGAAACAGAGCGTGACAATATCGAGTCAGCTGCAGACTCTGCTGCATCTTACTCCGTATCAAATCCCGCTTCTGATCCGCCCTCTGATACGTCATCTGATTCCCGGGTCTCTAATCCCTTTGCCTGCTCCTCCTCGCCACTCTCCACCGCTCCTCCAACCTCCTTATCCGACAACCTAGTCGGCCTTCTAGCCAGAGCACTAGAGGCCGCTCACAGAGACATACAGCTCGTGCCAGAGATTGGGAGGAGAGGGACGAGAATGGTGGAGCGGTGCAAGCTCATGGTGAAGCTGGGGAAGCTGCTGCTATCCCCGTCTTGGAAGTCCTCAGTACCCGTGTAAGCCCTTGGTTTATCTTCATCCCCTAAGGTATCTCAATTGATGGGAGAAGGACGAGAGTGGTGGAGCGGTGCAAGCTGATGGTGAAGCTGGGGAAGCTGCTCTTATCCCCGTCTTGGAAGTCCTCAGTACCCGTGTGAGTTCTTGGATTATTCTTCCTCCCTTTAGGCGTCTTGATTGCTGGGAGAGGGGCGAGCGTGGTGGAACGGTGCAAGCTGATGGTGAAGCTGCTGCTGTCCCCGTCTTGGAAGTCCTCAGTACCCGTGTGAGTCTGTAGGTGTGAAAAGCAACAAAAGGCTTTCTTTCCAGATTAAGCTGCTCCATTTGCACCCACATTTCACTGGCCCCTGCTGCAAGGATAACTCCATTTGCGCCATTTCCATCCCGCATCTCCCTTCATCATCTACCACCCCATTCTCCATTCCACTCGTCCTCCTCTCATCCCCCCCCCTTTTTTCGTCCCCCCACCCTTTTTTCGTCCCCCCACCCTTGTTTCGTCCCCCCACCCTTGTTTCGTCCCCCCACCCTTGTTTCGTCCCCCCACCTCGCTCCCCCTTGATCAGCTCCCTCCCCAGCCTCCCTCCCTTCACAGCAGGTGCGTTTGAGTCACATGTCAACAGGCGCGCAATTCGCCTTTCCGTGCCTGTTTTCCGATCCTACGACACAGGCCTGCCAGAGAACCTCTTTGCTGCAGTGGAAGATATGGCAATTGAGTGCGGCGTTATGAACATGCGATACAAGGCCCGATCGCGCTATCACATCTGGGTAATGACTTGGTAGAGTGGAACTTTATAGGCAACTAAAAAGTCACATAGGAACCTCCTTCCCAATCCTCATCTTCTTCTCGCTTTTTTTCTTTCCGTTTGGTTGTTGCAAAGCCTTTAGGTCCCCTGAATCTTGCCCTTTCTGCAGCATCCTCTATTGCTTGACAGTTTTCTCCTCCAATATGAGTAACAGGTGACTGACACCACCAGTCACTGAGATGAAAACCGAGCGTACATCGAATTCTCATTCTGGCTACCGTTTTGTGTGAAACAGATAGCAGATACCGAGTTGGAAATCGAGTACAAGCTTATCTGTGTGCCTGACCCTGACAACTCCGGAATCATCCTCACCAAGGTGAGCTTCACTACTGTCCTTAACTACAGGTCATTTCTATGTCGTAGCTCTGAATCTGTCCCTCACTTGTACCACCCAAGCTTAGTTGTTTTCTAACTGAGTTTAGGGACGAGTGCCCCTCATCTTAACCACCCATATGGCCAAGCCTTTTTTTATTATGATTTACGGTTCTCCATTTAATCTCTTACTGTGAGCTGATTTTTTTTCCTTTTGCCCATGGTGTTGTGTGCAACTCCCCACCAGGTGAAGCACAACTCGGTGCGCTATGCAGTCATTGACATTGCTCGCCCTTCCAGAGCCATTGACTTCCGCCTGCTGCTGTACAAAGAGTCCAGGCTCTGCTCTCTCGACGTGCGTATGCCTGGCGAAGCATGTCCATTGATTGTGCAGGTGGTGACTTTTGAGGCAACTTAAAAGTCGCCTGCTGCTGTACCAAGAGTCCAGGCTCTGCTCTCTCGATGTGCATATGCCTGCCCATGCATTACCTCCCTTGCTTTCCTGGCATCCCTTTCTCTCCTCACATCCCTCCTCTTCACTTCCCTTGCTTTCAGATCCCTCCTCTTTGCAATCCTCCTCTCTCCTCCTCTAACGCTTCCTTCTCACAACCCTCCTCCTCGTGTCTCTCCTCCTCCCATTCCCCTCTCCCCTTCCTTTCTCCCTCCCCCTCTTTTCAATCAGGATGCCACTCGGTCCACAGAAAGGGGGCCTGCTTTGGCCAGCCAGACACCACCACTGGCTTATTCTTGCCCTCCCCCTCCCACGTCTTCCTTTCCCCCTCCCCCCTTCCCCCTTCCTCAGGACGCCACCCGGTCTGCCTGTGAGCTCCGGCATCCGCAGCTGACATCAACAGGACTGCAAGAGGGGGCTTGGTCTGGTCTGGCCACCCACCACCATTGCCGTCAATCCCACCCTCCCTGTCCCACTGCTTCCCTGCCCCCTTCCCTCCTTCCTCAGGACTCCACCCGATTTGCCTGTGAGAGCATAGCTTCAACTGCAGTCATCGACAGGAGTGCAAGAGGGGGACTAGTCTGGCCAGGCACCACCACTGCCTTCGCTTTCACCCTTCTCTCCACTTCCTCCTCGTCAGCATCACCATCATCATCATCACCAGCAGCAGCGGCAACACCCACTACCCCGCCCCATCCTTCCTCACAATCTGTCCAACCGTCGCCATCCCGTCGCTTCAGAGTCATGGGCTGTTGGCACCTGGAAAAATCCCGGGCGGAGTCGGGCGGACGTTTGTGGAAGCTGGCGAGGATAAACGGGCTGGGGGCGGGGCAGGTTGGGAGCAGCCTGAAGCACCAGATTGACCTGTGCCCCTTGGCGTGGCGAGAGACAACCAAGGTGGGATGGTTGAACGGTTATGCATGGTGCACGTGTCTGGTTTTGAGGTGTAATGCGGTGCAGCGTGGTGGAAGCTGGCTCGCACCAGTAGGTTGGGAGCAGCCTGAAGCACCAGATTGACCTTTGTTTTTTGGATGGCGGGAAACAACCAAGGTGAGAGAGTATGGACGAGGGTAAAAGTAGACGGCACATTCCTATCATTGCTTCCTGGTTGAGCGGTTCTGCGTGGTGCACATGTCTGGTGTCGAGGTTTAATGCAGTGCAGTGCGGTGGAGGTTGAGACGGATAAACGGGCTGGTGGCGGGGCAGGTTGGGAGCAGCCTGAAGCACCAGATTGACCTGTGCCCCTTGGCATGGCGAGAGACAACCAAGGTGGGATGTGGGGGAGAGAGTAAACAGTACAGTCCTATCATTGTGTCCTGGCTGAGCAGTTCTGCGTGGTGCACGTGTCTGGTGTCAAGGTTTAATGCGGTGCAGCGTGGTGGAAGCTGGCTCGGATCAACGGCTAGGTTGGGAGCAGCCTGAAGCACCAGATTGGCATGGCGAGAAACAACCAAGGTGGAATGGTTGATTCAAACTCTTAGCTGCAAGTAGGGGTGAGCAAGGACACGAACGCCAGTTCGGTTCGCCGGAACATGTTCGCCGTTCGCACGGCCCGGCCGGCCGAGTCGCGTCGAACACGAAACACCTAAGTGTTCGTCGACAAATTTGGCCGCGACAAAATTGAGTTTGAGTTCATTTTATGAGCTCAAACTCATATCTTCCTAAGCGCCAGCCCCTGGTCTCCCATAAGCGCCTTAGCCTTAGCGTTTAAAGGGTTTCAACATATCATCTTAGGGTTATTACACAGACCTTTCATACTATTAGAACGGATATGCCATAAATTCCTGCTTGTTACCTACCGCTTAAGCATTTGAGCATTCCATCCTCAAGGTGGACGATCCGCCATGAACACGCCCCCTGGGCGAACACGAACGTGTTTGCCACGAACACGTTCGTGTTCGCCCGTGGCAGCTAGGTGTTCGCCTCCACAGGCGAACATCGAACACTATTTGTGTTCGGTTCGGCGAACAGTGATGTTCGTCCTGGGGCGAGCACGAACATGTTCGTGTTCGCCCCTTGCTCACCCCTAGCTGCAAGGCCCTTCATTCTCTTGAGCTGGTACCTGCTATGAGTCCTTTGCTGCAAATGAGTTTCCTGGTTCTTTTCCCCCCCTCTCGTCGTTGGCTTGTGTTGTTTGAATGCAGGGCCATGAAGGCCCGAGCAACAGCACGAACACTTTACCCGTAGCCTACTCCACTGCGTCTTGCTTTGACTCGAGCTTGCAGCAGGCAGCACCACAGTGGACTCCAAACAGCATTCTTGCCGATTGCCCCGCCATCATCAGCTGGCTGCAGCAACACCTGCCTTAAAATTTGGTGGATGTGAGTCTATGGTAGTGTGCTGATGTGCTAGTGCAGACTCCAAACAGCATCCTTGCTGATTGCCCCGCATTGCATTCATGCACTGGCTACAGGAGCACTTGCCGTAGGGAAGAACAGTGGCTGCATCAACACTTGCCTTGATATTTGCTGGATGTGAGTTTGTGCTAATGCAATGTGGTACTGTAAACGCTACGGGGGCGTAGGATGGGGCAAGTGTGCTTCAGTGCATTAATATCGAGACCCATTGCAATTCACATGTATTGATCTATTTCTTATTTGTCCATTGGGTGAACTGCTGGGGGCGTCATTACAGCATGTGAACGGTCTTGACATTGATGGTGCATGTTCCACGTTCCCCCATTCCCCTAGGTTGGAAGAAACATGTCTAGCGTATACGGTTGATGCTCCATCCGTATACGGTTGATGCTCCATCCGTATACGGTTGATGCTCCATCCGTATACGGTTGATGCTCCATCCGTATACGGTTGATGCTCCATCCGTATACGGTTGATGCTCCATCCGTATTCCCACATTCCCTCACCCCCTCATTCCCTCATTCAGACATCACCGCATTCCCTTTTTCAGGCACCACCGCAATCCCTCATTCAGGCATTCCCACATTCCCTCATTCAGGCATTCCACATTCCCTCATTCAGGCAGTACATTCCTTCATTCAGGCAGTACATTCCTTCATTCAGGCAGTACATTCCCTCATTCAGGCATTCCACATCCCCTCATTCAGGCATCATCGCGTTCCCTTTTCAGGCGTCACTGCATTCCCTCAGTCATCAGGCATCATGCAATCCCATTGTTCAGGCATATCCATCACGCAATCCCTTTCTTCAGGCATATCCATCATGCAATCCCATTGTTCAGGCATATCCATCACGCAATTCCTTGTTCAGGCATATCCATCATGCAATTCCATTGTTCAGGCATATCCATCACGCAATCCCTTTGTTCAGGCATATCCATCACGCAATCTCTTTGTTCAGGCATATCCATCATGCAATCTCTTTGTTCAGGCATATCCATCATGCAATCCCTTTGTTCAGGCATATCCATCAAGCAATCTCTTTGTTCAGGCATATCCATCATGCAATCCCTTTGTTCAGGCATATCCATCATGCAATCTCTTTGTTCAGGCATATCCATCATGCAATCCCTTTGTTCAGGCACATCCATCACGCAATCCCTTGTTCAGAAATATCCATCAAGCAATTTCTTTGTTCAGGCATATCCATCATGCAATCCCTTTGTTCAGGCATATCCATCATGCAATCCCTTTGTTCAGCCATCTCCATCATGCAATCTCTTTGTTCAGCCATATCCATCATGTGTTCAGGCATATCCATCATGCAATCCCTTTGTTCAGGCATATCCATCATGCAATCCCTTTGTTCAGGCATATCCATCATGCAATCTCTTTGTTCAGGCATATCCATCATGCAATCCGTTTGTTCAGGCATATCCATCATGCAATCTCTTTGTTCAGACAAATCCATCACGCAATCCCTTGTTCAGGCATACCCATCATGCAATCTCTTTGTTCAGGCACATCCATCACGCAATCCCTTGTTCAGGCATACCCATCAAGCAATTCCTTTGTTCAGGCATATCCATCATGCAATCCCTTTGTTCAGGCATATCCATCAAGCAATTCCTTTGTTCAGGCATATCCATCATGCAATCCCTTTGTTCAGGCATATCCATCATGCAATCCCTTTGTTCAGGCATATCCATCACGCAATCCCTTGTTCAGGCATATCCATCATGCAATCCATTGTTCTGGCATATCCATCATGCAATCCCTTTGTTCAGGCATATCCATCACGCAATCCATTGTTCAGGCATATCCATCACGCAATCCCTTTCTTCAGGCATATCCATCATGCAATCCCATTGTTCAGGCATATCCATCACGCAATTCCTTGTTCAGGCATATCCATCATGCAATTCCATTGTTCAGGCATATCCATCACGCAATCCCTTTGTTCAGGCATATCCATCACGCAATCTCTTTGTTCAGGCATATCCATCATGCAATCTCTTTGTTCAGGCATATCCATCATGCAATCCCTTTGTTCAGGCATATCCATCAAGCAATCTCTTTGTTCAGGCATAACCATCATGCAATCCCTTTGTTCAGGCATATCCATCATGCAATCTCTTTGTTCAGGCATATCCATCATGCAATCCCTTTGTTCAGGCACATCCATCACGCAATCCCTTGTTCAGGCATATCCATCAAGCAATTTCTTTGTTCAGGCATATCCATCATGCAATCCCTTTGTTCAGGCATATCCATCATGCAATCCCTTTGTTCAGCCATATCCATCATGCAATCTCTTTGTTCAGCCATATCCATCATGTGTTCAGGCATATCCATCATGCAATCCCTTTGTTCAGGCATATCCATCATGCAATCCCTTTGTTCAGGCATATCCATCATGCAATCTCTTTGTTCAGGCATATCCATCATGCAATCCCTTTGTTCAGGCATATCCATCATGCAATCTCTTTGTTCAGGCACATCCATCACGCAATCCCTTGTTCAGGCATACCCATCATGCAATCTCTTTGTTCAGGCACATCCATCATGCAATCCCTTGTTCAGGCATACCCATCAAGCAATTCCTTTGTTCAGGCATATCCATCATGCAATCCCTTTGTTCAGGCATATCCATCAAGCAATTCCTTTGTTCAGGCATATCCATCATGCAATCCCTTTGTTCAGGCATATCCATCATGCAATCCCTTTGTTCAGGCATATCCATCACGCAATCCCTTGTTCAGGCATATCCATCATGCAATCCATTGTTCTGGCATATCCATCATGCAATCCCTTTGTTCAGGCATATCCATCACGCAATCCATTGTTCAGGCATATCCATCACGCAATCCCATTGTTCAGGCATTTCCATCACGCAATCCCTTTGTTCAGGTATATCCATCAGGCAATCCCATTGTTCAGGCATATCCATCATGCAATCCCTTTGTTCAGGCATATCCATCACACAATCCCATTGTTCAGGCATATCCATCAGCCAATCCATTGTTCAGGCGTATCCATCATGTAATCCCATTGTTCAGGCATATCCATCACGCAATCCCTTGTTCAGGCATATCCATCATGCAATCCCTTTGTTCAGGCATATCCATCATGCAATCCCTTTGTTCAGGAATATCCATCATGCAATCCCATTGTTCAGGCATATCCATCATGCAATCCCTTGTTCAGGCATATCCATCATGCAATCCCTTGTTCTGGCATATCCATCATGCAATTCCTTTGTTCAGGCATATCCATCATGCAATCCCTTTGTTCAGGCATATCCATCATGCAATCCCATTGTTCAGGCATATCCATCATGCAATCCCTTTCTTCAGGCATATTCATCATGCAATCCCATTGTTCAGGCATATCCATCACGCAATTCCTTGTTCAGGCATATCCATCATGCAATCCATTGTTCAGGCATATCCATCATGCAATCCATTGTTCTGGCATATCCATTATGAAATCCCTTTGTTCAGGCATATCCATCATGCAATCCCTTTGTTCAGGCATATCCATCATGCAATCCCTTTGTTCAGCCATATCCATCATGCAATCTCTTTGTTCAGGCATATCCATCATGCAATCCCTTTGTTCAGGCATATCCATCATGCAATCCCTTTGTTCAGGCATATCCATCATGCAATCCCATTGTTCAGGCATATCCATCACGCAATTCCTTGTTCAGGCATATCCATCATGCAATTCCATTGTTCAGGCATATCCATCACGCAATCCCTTTGTTCAGGCATATCCATCACGCAATTCCTTGTTCAGGCATATCCATCATGCAATCCATTGTTCAGGCATATCCATCATGCAATCCCTTTGTTCAGGCATATCCATTATGCAGTCCCAGTGTTAAGGCATATCCATCATGCAATCCCATTGTTCAGGCATATCCATCATGCAATCCCTTTGTTCAGGCATATCAGTCATGCAATCCCTTTGTTCAGGCATATCCATCATGCAATCCCTCGTTCAGGCATATCCATCATGCAATCATACCAATAACCCAATCTAAGCTCTTAATTATAAACCAAGAACCAGGAACGGCAACCAAGAACCAGGAACGGCGTGTTGGCATGAGTTAAAGCATGCATGTTGGCATGAGTTACAGCATGCATGTTGGCATGAGTTAAAGCATGCACATTGGCATGAGTTGCAGCATGCATGTTGGCATGAGTTGCAGCATGCATGTTGGCATGAGTTGCAGCATGCATGTTGGCATGAGTTGCAGCATGCATGTTGGCATGAGTTGCAGCATGCATGTTGGCATGAGTTACAGCATGCATGTTGGCATGAGTTGCAGCATGCATGTTGGCATGGGTTGCAGCATGCATGTTGGCATGGGTTGCAGCATGCATGTTGGCATGGGTTGCAGCATGCACGTTGGCATGAGTTGCAGCATGCACGTTGGCATGAGTTTCAGCATCCACGTTGGCATGCGTTGCAGCATGCACGTTGGCATGAGTTGCAGCATGCACGTTGGCATGAGTTGCAGCATGCACGTTGGCATGAGTTGCAGCATTCATGTTGGCATGAGTTGCAGCATGCATGTTGGCATGAGTTGCAGCATGCATGTTGGCATGAGTTGCAGCATGCATGTTGGCATGAGTTGCAGCATGCATGTTGGCATGAGTTGCAGCATGCATGTTGGCATGAGTTGCAGCATGCATGTTGGCATGAGTTGCAGCATGCAAGTTGGCATGAGTTGCAGCATGCACGTTGGCATGAGTTGCAGCATGCACGTTGGCATGAGTCAGAGCATGCACGTTGGCATGATTTACAGCATGTTCTCATCGCCGCATTCGCTCACTCCCCCGCCTCTTTCCTGTCACATGGCAGGCCGAGCAAGAAGGCAACGGAGGTGTAGGCAGCAAAAAAGGCATCTAAGATGAAAAGAAGGTGGAGGCAGCAAAAGAACCGGTGCATCAGTTTCTGGCATTTCACAGGCTGTTCTGAAGGATGAGAAGAGAGAGCTGCCCACTGTGGGACAGAGGGCTGAGGTGGTAGCACATGCGCAGGGAGCAGCGGGGGAAGACGGGCAAGTCTGGTGCCAGCAGCCGCGGTGCACAGAGCAGCAGGGAAAGATGGGCGTGAACTAGAAGTAGCAGCTGCCACAAGCTGTTGTTTTGCTCTACTGGGTACATTATTCCCGGAATGATTGCAAACTCGTGCCTAGTATGATTGAACTCCTTGCAAGGCTTGAGGTGGTAGTTTGGCCGCGAGAAATCATCACTGGAAGAAATGCACTCATAGTACCCTAGAAGAAGTGCACACATGAGAAAGTATTGCTGCAGATGGGGACCCCTAGAAGAAAGTTCACTGCTGCAGATGAGGACCCCTAGAAGAATGTTCACTGCTGCACACGGGGTTAGGACCCCTAGAACAAAGTTCAGTGCTGCAGATGGGGACCCCTAGAAGAAAGTTCACTGCTGCACATGGGGTGGGGACCCCTAGAACGAAGCTCACTGCTGCACATGGGGACCCCTAGAACAAAGCTCACTGCTGCACATGGGAACCCCTAGAAGAAAGTTCACTACTGCACATTGGGACCCCTAGAAGAAGTTAGCTGCTGCACATGGGGACCCCTAGAAGTTCATTACACAATTTACATGTATGGTCACCTTGAACCCCTAGAACAAGTTAACAGCACCATTGCTTCTCTAGAACTAGTCCCCTAGAGTCTTCACCCCTAGAACTTTTCCCCTAGAAGTGCACATGAGTATTGAATTGCATTCATGGTCCCTGGAAGTTCACAGCTCAGTTGCTTCTCTAGATACAGCCCCCTAGAACTAGGCCCCTAGAAGTCTTCACCCCTAGAACTTTTCCCCTAGAAGTCTTCCCCCCTAGAACTTCTGCCCTAGAAGAGGTTCACAGCTGCACTGCGTCTCTGCTTCATTTTCCCATTGCCCCAACCACCATCCAACTAGGTAACAATTCTCCATCATCCAGCTCTCCATGGCCACCCCACCATGGAAAGACTCCTCTTCTCCATCCAACCAGCCACCTTTCACCATCTTTTCTCTCTTCACTTCTCCGTCCAGCCAGCCACCTTTCACCATCTTCCTCCCTTCACTTCTCCATTCAGCCAGCCGCCTTTCACCATCCTTCCCATCCAATTCCCATCACTTCTCCATCATCCAGCCCTCCATGGCCACCCCACCATGGAAAGACTCCTCTTCTCCATCCAACCAGCCACCTTTCACCATCTTTTCTCTCTTCACTTCTCCATCCAGCCAGCCACCTTTCACCATCTTCCTCCCTTCACCTCTCCATTCAGCCAGCCGCCTTTCTCCATCCTTCCCATCCAATTCCCACCACTTCTCCATCATCCAGCCCTCCATGGCCACCCCACCATGGAATGACTCCAGCTCTCCCTTCTGTTTTTTTTTTTTTTTTGGCCTCACCATCAGAGCCAGGGATAAAAATCCGTCCCATCAGCATCTCCTGGCGCGATGCTTACGGGCTGAGACCCGGAGGCGTTATGTCACGGGTACTGCCGTGTAACTCGGCTAAAAATCCCTCCGACGTAGAGCAACATTGCGCTTGCTCTAGCCACACCCACCTCAGTGTGGTCTTTCCCTTTGTAGAGCAAACCATTCCAGCAGGGCTGAAACGGGCTTGCTCTAGCCGCACCCACCTCAGTGCGGTCTTCCCCTTAGTTGCTGAGGTCTAGCCACACCTCGGTGTGGACTAGCCTAGGGAACCGAGAACCCCCCACACCCACCCCGGTGTGAGAAAGCCTTTCAAGTGACCGAGACAGAGCCCCCCACACCCACCCCAGTGTGGGAAAACCCTTGTGCGGAAAGAGGAGATTTCTCCACACCCACGCCGGTGTGGACTACTCTCTCTCTCTTAAGTGGCTGAGAGCCTCACACCCACCCCAGTGTGATCAGGCCTCATGAGAGCTCAAGCCCCTCACACCCGCCCCGGTGTGATGCTGACTTGAAGAGAACGTCACCCACTCCAGCAGTGATGCTACCTGGCCATCCGGGTGCCCAGAACGCTTTCAGAGGCCTGAACCTCCCTCCAATGTGCAGAAGCCGGCCGGCCGACTGCACACCGTCAGAGCTCCAAAAGCGTCCCGGCCCGGTTGCACATCACATCACCACTGGAGCAGCCTCCGCCCTCTGCCCCCCACACCCTCCCCAGTGTGGGAAAGCACCCTCGCATGCTGTCCCATGCTTGCCACTCCAAGGCCCCATCAAGCCTTGGCCACGTCTCAGCCACAGCTCAGCCCCCTCCTGGTCGAGGCACCCAGGCAGCCCCCGTGCGCGGCGGAATCCTGCACAGGACAAACACAACAAGTCAGTATACTGAAAAGGACATGGCTGGAAAACCAAGGTTTGAGACAGCATAAAAGGAGACAGCTTGCAAAAAGACAGATTGCAAGGAAACAACGTACTTGAAAGTTGCAGCTTGAAAGTTGCAGCGCCGTGCAGCTCCTCCCAGCAGCTCCTCCACTCATGCCATGCCATGCCATGCCATGCCATTCCATGCCATGCCATGCCATGCCATGCCATCCCATGCCATGCCATGACATTCCATGCCATTTCATGCCATGCCATGCCATGCCATGCCATGCCATGCCATGCCATACCATGCCATGCCATGCCATACCATACCATACCATACCATGCCAAACCATGCCAAGCCATGCCATGCCATGGCACATCATCCATGCCATGCCATCCCATGCCATGCCATGCCAACTCCTCCGAGCAGCTCCCTGCACAGGACGAAAACACCAAGTCAGTATTGTGGAACAGACATGGCTGGGACAACGAGAATTGCAGCAAGCTCGAGACAGCATGAGGAGAATGCTTACAAGGAGACAGCTTACTTCATAAGGCAGATTCTCCCAGCAGCTCCTCTCAGCAGCTCCTCTCAGCAGCAGCTCCCTTCAACTCCTTCCAGAAGCTCCCTTCAACTCCTTCCAGCAGCAGCAGCTCCCTTCAACTCCTTTCAGCAGCAGTGGACGACTCCTTTTCAGCAGCAGCAGCAGCAGCAGCAGCTACCTTCAACTCCTTCCAGGAGCAGCAGCTCCCTTTAACTCCTTTCAGCAGCTGCAGCTCCCTTAAACTCCTTTCAGCAGCAGCAGCAACAGCTCCCTTCAACTCCTTCCAGCAGCAGCGGACAACTCCTTTCAGCAGCAGCAGCAGCAGCAGAAGCTCCCTTCAACTCCTTCCAGCAGCAGCAGCTCCCTTCCAACTCCTTTCAGCAGCAGTGGACGACTCCTTTTCAGCAGCAGCAGCAGCAGCAGCAGCTCCCTTCAACTCCTTCCAGAAGCAGCAGCTCCCTTCAACTCCTTCCAGCAGCAGCAGCAACAGCTCCCTTCAACTCCTTTCAGCAGCTCGTCCTCGTCAGCAAGCACCACGTGACAACTCCTACTCGACTTCAGGCATACGCTCAGCTCCAGCTGCACCAACGCCCGACTCCAGAGGTGGCGACTCGGTTTCCTGCAAAGAGAACACCAAACTGAGTTAGAAACAAGCTATACCGTAGAGACAAGGCAAAATTAAGCACCAAAGCGAGTGTGGAAATGAAGTAATGGAAGAAAGCAGCAAAGAACTGAATTCTGGCGCAAACAAACATACCTTTAGACTTGGTTTGGAGAGCCAGTGAATGGCGGATGGCGGATGGACGGCAAAGTCCCAAGGAGTGCCTTCTCTTCGACTTTAGCAGCACCACGCACGCGGCTTCTCTTAAACTTCAGCAGAAACAATGGAATTCATGTCGGCTTCAGAGGTAGCGGGTTGGTTTTCTGCAACAAGACCACCAAAGTGAGTTAGAAATCAGAGGTATATCGTGAAGGCAAGGAGAAAGCAAGCACAGAGGCGAGAAAGGAGATAAAGCAGTAGGAAAAGCTGACAAGGAACTACCTCTGGTGCAAACGAACATACCTTGGGAACTGAGTAGGAGATCCGGTGAAAGGCGGGGTGGATGATGGCGGATGGATGGAGGAAACCCAAGGATGCCTTCGTTTAGACTTCAGCAGCACCACGTGACTCCTCTTCGACTTCAGCAGCTCCACGCACGCGACTTCTCTTCGACTTCAGCAGCACCAGTTGAGGTCCGTTCGACTCCAGGAGGGCATACGTGCAACTCCAGAGGTAGCGAGTTGGTTTCCTGCAACAAGGCCACCAAGCTGAGTTAGAAATCAGAGTTATATCGTAAAGGCAGGACGATAACAAGCATGGAAGCAACTAAGGAGATCAAGCAATAGCAAAAAGTGACAAGCAAATGAACTCTGGTGCAAACAAACATACCTTAAGTTTGAGTTGGAGATCCGGTGAAAGGCGAGGTGGTGGATGGCGGTTGGAAGGCAGAAACCCAAGGATGCATTAGTTTAGAATTCAGCAGCACCACGAGACTCCTTTTCAACTTCAGCAGCTCCACGCACGCGACTTCTCTTCGACTTCAGCAGCACCAGTTGAGTTCATTTTGACTCCAGGAGGGCATACATGCAACCCCAGAAGTAGCGGGTTGGTTTCCTGCAACAAGGCCACCAAACTGAGTTAGAAATCAGAGTTATATCGCAAAGGCAGGTAGAAAGCAAGCACATAAGCAAATAAGGGGATAAAGCAATAGCAAAAACGGACAAGGAACTAACTCTGGTGCAAACGAGCATACCTTGGGATTTCGAGTTGGAGATCCGGGGGAAGGCGGGGAGGCGGATGGCGGATGGATGGCAGAAACCCAAGGATACATTCGTTTAGACTTCAGCAGCACCACGTGACTCCTCTTCGACTTCAGCAGCAACACGCACGTCACTTCTCTCTGACTTCAGCAGCAACAATGGAGTTCATGTCAACTCCAGGAGGGCAACTCGGATTCCTGCACAACACCACCAAACTAAGTTAGGAATCACCAAGGCATATCGTGAATACAATAAGAAAGCAAGCACGAAAACGAGTGCGGAGTTGAAGCAATAGCAAAAGTGACAACGAAATGAGATTTAGCGCAACATAACCTACCTTGGGATGTACGTTGGAGAGCCGGTGAATGGCGGGGAGGTGGATGACGATGGCGGATGGGTGGCGGAATCCCAAATAATGTCTTCCATTCGACGTGAGCAGCTTCAGTTTTCTTCAATTCCAGCAGTTCCTTCCCTGCACGAGGCAATAAAACAAGGTCAGATCTTGCCAGAATGTAAAATCTCATAAACATGCGCTCACCATTCAAGGAAATGCAACGGAATTAAGATTAGACATGCGGCAGTAGCAAGACCCAAAGAAGAATCTTACCTTGAAAGTAGAGAGGAGGACAAGGCGGATGGCGAGTGGAGTGGGCTCCTCCCTTCAACTCCAGCAACTCGTTCGCCTTCTCTTCAACTTCAGCACCACGCATGCGACTTGTCTTCGACTTCAGCAGCAACAATGGAGTTCATTTCAACTCCAGCAAGGCATTCGTTTCAACTCCATAGGTGGCGACTTGGGATCCTGCACAACACCACCAAACTAAGTTAGAAATCACCAAGGTATATCGTAAAGACAACAAGAAAGCAAGCACGAAAACGAGTGCGGAGTTGAAGCAATAGCAAAAGTGACAACAAAATGAATTTTAGTGCAAAATAACTTACCTTGGGATGTATGTTGGAGAGCCGGTGAATGGCGGGGAGGTGGATGGCGATGGCGGATGGCGGATGGGTGGCGGAATCCCAAATAATGTCTTCCATTCAACGTGAGCAGCTTCAGTTTTCTTCAATTCCAGCAGTTCCTTCCCTGCACGAGGCAATAAAACAAGGTCAGATCTTGCCAGAATGTAAAATCTCATAAACATGCGCTCACCATTCAAGGAAATGCAACGGAATTGAGATTAGACATGCGGCAGTAGCAAGACCCAAAGAAGAATCTTACCTTGAAAGTAGAGAGGAGGACAAGGCGGATGGCGAGTGGAGTGGGCTCCTCCCTTCAACTCCAGCAACTCGTTCGCCTTCTTTTCAACTTCAGCACCACGCATGCGACTTGTCTTCGACTTCAGCAGCAACAATGGAGTTCATTTCAACTCCAGCAAGGCATTCGTTCAACTCCATAGGTGGCGACTTGGGATCCTGCACAACACCACCAAACTAAGTTAGAAATCACCAAGGTATATCGTAAAGACAATAAGAAAGCAAGCACGAAAACGAGTGCGGAGTTGAAGCAATAGCAAACGTGACAACGAAATGAATTTTAGCGCAAAATAACTTACCTTGGGATGTACGTTCGAGGGCCGGTGAATGGCGGGGAGGTGGATGGCGATGGCGGATGGCGGATGGGTGGCGGAATCCCAAATAATGTCTTCAATTCGACATGAACAGCTTCAGTTTTCTTCAATTCCAGCAGTTCCTTCCCTGCACGAGGCAATACAACAAGGTCAGATCTTGCCAGAATGTAAAATCTCATAAAAATGCGCTCACTTTTCAAGGAAATGCAACGGAATTGAGATTAGACATGCGGCAGTAGCAAGACCCAAAGAAGAATCTTACCTTGAAAGTAGAGAGGAGGACAAGGCGGATGGCGAGTGGAGGGGGCTCCTCCCTTCAACTCCAGCAACTCGTTCGCCTTCTCTTCAACTTCAGCACCACGCATGCGACTTGTCTTCGACTTCAGCAGCAACAACGGAGTTCATTTCAACTCCAGCAAAGCATAATTTCAACTCAAGAGGTGGCGACTCAGTTTCCTGCAACAAGACCACCAGAATGAGTTAAAAAAGTTCTGATGTAAAGACAAAGCGAAAGCAAGCAACACAGCGAGTGTGGAGATGAAGCATAAGACAAATACTTACTCTGAAATGACTTAGCAACACCTCCTTCCAGCAGCTCGTCCCAGCAGATCCATTGATCTCCTTTGCGGATCCATTGATCTTCTTAGCAGATCTGTTAATCTTCTTTGAAAATCCGTTGATCTAATTCGCAGATCCGTTGATCTCCTTTGCTTGCAGGTCCGTTGATCTCGTTTGCAGCTCCGCTCAAGCTTCGTTCCAGCAGCAGCAGCTCACTTTCATGCAAAAGGCAACAACACTAAGTTAATGCTTGCCAAGGAGCTTCTTGAACAGAATATTATACAAAGAAACGCCAGAACTGAATTGAGATTCGACATGCAGCAGTAGCAAAACGAAAAACGGGATCTTACCTTGAAGTGAAGTGAAGGTCAAGGCACGTGGCGGATCGAGGATGGCAACTTGATCATTCTTGGCCACCATTGAACTTGCCACGCCTCAGCCTCCTTGTTGAGGCAGCCCATTGCGCAGGGGATTTGTTGTTCCCTGCACAGGACGAATACATAATGTAAGTATAATGAAATAGGTAACAAACAAACATACATGAGTAGCAAACGTGGAATCGAAAGCAAAAATACAGCAGTAGCAAGATCAAAACGGTAACATACTTTTAATGTACACCAGCAGCATCTCCTTCTAGCAACTCCTCCAAGCACCTCCTCCCAGCAGCGGGTTGAGGTCGTTTCAGCTTCATCAGCCGCGTCATCTCTTAGTATGCGTGTTCTTCTTCACTGCGGAATGGGCGAAAACGCAAAGCAAAATAAGTTAGAGGCCAATAAATACAGTTGCGAGGAAAAAAAAAAACAAGAGAAACCCGAAAAACGAAACGATTGCAAGAAAACGACAATGAAGTGAATGAGAAATGGAAGCATCCATGATTCTCCGAGTGGCCACAGCTCGCAGAGGGAGGATCTAACTGCTACCCAAACCCAAACCCAAACCGCGGAGGATCATCTGCTCGCTGTGACCATCATCGAATCAGAGGGACGGTGCACAATGAAATATGAATGATGTGTGGATGTGAGACAACAAAAAATAACATTAAGCGGAAAAAAAAAGAACGTTAAGAAGAGAATGACACTTCCCAGTTGCGGTCGGTGGTGGAATCGAGAGGAGATCCGCTCATCACGACCGCCATCGCACTCTCCCGATTGACGATGTTGATGTTGGTTAGCGCCGTCCAGAAGAAGCAGCAGTTGAAGGGTTGCCCGAAGTGGTGGAAGAGGAAACGCCGAGTTGGTCAAGTGCTAACGTCACAATGAGAAAATCTGCTAACGTCAAGTGCTAAGCGTGGTTCAGTTGGCTCTTCTTCCATCACAAGGAGGAAGAATGATCATGTTTCAAGAGGGGTCGAGGTTTGGGGAAAGTGGTTGTGGTTCGGATCATATTTTTGCCGCGCATTTCTCAAATGAAGACGAACGGGATTGGATGAAATCTACCAGCGATTCGGTGAAGCCGTCAGCAGGAGCCGCTAATCTGCCATGAGAGCCGCTAAAATTCGCGGGTTGCTTGTGAGGAGTCTGCTTGAGCAAACCCTAGGGAAAAGAGGAGGGTGGAGCAGACGAGAAAACAGTGTCAGAACCTTCCCAGTTCAAGGGAAGTGATTTCAGTTGGATCAAATTTTGGCGTGCCCCTACTTTTGAACCTTGGACAAATTTTCAAAAGAAAGGGATCTGAACACAATGCGTGTCAAGTACCCACTTATTTTTCCGCGTTCTGGCTGTTCTTACTCTCAAACCTAGCAGCGACAATTGAAGGCGAGCACCCAGATATTCATTGCAGCATTTTTAGTTCTGCCCGCCAGCATGTGTTCTTCCATCAAAGGAATCTCAAGAAGCCATCAAACCAGCTTCAATGGTGGTCCCCACTGTGGTCCCCACTGTGGTCCCACCCCACGAATCCGACTTTGCAGTAAGGCGAGTTTCAGTTGTGTTGCGGTGTTTTAGCCTCCCAAGGCGCGTGGATGTTACCCCAGACTGGCGAAGTGGATTTTTTTGAAGAGATAATGTTGGCGCGGGAGAGTCCTTTCGTCATGATTGCTGTGCTGTGCTGTAACCTGTAACAGAGGCTCAAAGAATCGCGACTCGACAGACACCTGACTTGACGGCAAACACAGAAATACGGCTTTCTGACTAGGTTGGAACCATAGTCCAGAAGCGCGGATTTAGCCGTGCTTGAGGTGTGGCTGCGCAGCAACTTGAGTCTCGGCTTTGATGCTATAACGAAGATATCGAAATATCGCGAACAGCAACCAAGCCACTTACATTGTTCAACACGTACAAACTCACGATTTACACTCAACAATCTGATCTGATTACATGATCACATTCCTCTTCCCTCAATCTCAACAAAACATTCAGATTTATGTACACAATAAATGCACATGCATAGATTTTTGTGCCAATCCGACCCAAGTTTCTGAACTCCTTCCCACATCCCCTAATCATATCAGCTGCGACTTGAATATATTCTCGCACCAAATGCCCTCGCAACGCAACTCCATTCCAAATTTTTTTTTACCAATTTGTCAAAATACGTCAACCTATTTTCTATGTCTATATTATTTATCTGGTAATTCTTCCAACACCTTAGAGCTGGTATATGTATACATAATTGATCAAGTCATCCTTTCTGGCACTCCCCGACCAACCTGTTGCCACACCTACAACTGTGGCAGGGGCTTGAGCTCAATCTTTTAGTCCGGTCCCGAACCAAATACTGGCAAGTCACCTGGGTCCACATTCGGCACACTGCTGGCACCGAAGTTGCCTGCCGAGCCTGCAGCAGAGCGTCAAGTATCATCTGAAGGATACTTGGAGGACTGGAAAGCGTCAAGAATCATCTGAAGGAACAACGCGGTGCCTGTTGAAGCACACATGGGGAAAGGTAGATGGCACGAACACAGGGGATGGGTCATACATGGGAAAGGAATCATATGGAGGAACAAGCGGTGCCTGTTAAAGTACGCATGGGAGCAGGCGGATGGCAAAACAGAGTGCTGTATTCAAACGGGGGATGGGTAACGGTGTGTGCAGAGAGGAATGGGTGCAGATGGGTATCAAAGTGCAGGTGAGAAAAAGTGGCTGAGAGGGAGGAGATGGGCGTGAAGAGGCTGGTCACGAATAGGAAGGGCTTTGGAACAGAAGAGATATAAGCATCTGCCTCTCACCATCTGAGGTGGGCTGTGAGCTCTCACCATCTGAGGTCGCCTGTGAGCTCTCACCATCTGAGGTCGCCTGTGAGCTCTCACCATCTGAGGTCGCCTGTGAGCTCTCACCATCTGAGGTCGCCTGTGAGCTCTGGGTGGAATGCTGTGGCCAACAACCTGCCCTGCCGCACCGCCACTGCCACTCGGTCCAACTGGCAGACAAGTGAATAGAGGAGAGAAAAGGAGACATAAGACAAGCCAACAGAGTTCACCACACACAAGGGGGAAAAAAAGATTGGAATGGGAGGAAAGAAAATCGTCGGCATAGGTCGAAGAGAAGTGCAAGAATATGGAACAATCTATCCCCCAATCGGCATAGGAAGCAGCACGCGGTACATTCAAACACTGCAGTTCCAACTCAAAATTCACCTTCCCCAAAATGTCAGCTTCGGAAAGCTCCTGGCCGCTCTGGACAGGCACGGCCGAAGCAGCGTCTGCACGCTCGCCCGAACCAGTGTCTGCAGGTGCGGCTGGGGCAGCAGGTGTGGCGACAGCAGAGGCACGGTTGAGAAGGGGGTATTCCGTCAGCACCTCAACAGCACGGTTGGGAAGTGGATGATGGCAGGGGCTCGGATGAACACAGGTCGAAATGGGGAGGTGGGACAGGCGGGAGAGGCGTCAGGAAGGGGTGCGGGAGGGATGGGTGTAACTGGGGAGGTGTGGGTGACGCTGCTGGTGATGCTGCTGCTGCTGATGGTGCTGATGGTGCTGATGGTGCTGATGGTTCTGATGGTAGTGCTGCTGTGGAGGTGGGGTGAAGGAAGAGAGCTGTTGATCTGCATGGGGAGAGGGGGGGGGGGGGGGGGGGAGGGGGTGAGGGATAGAAAAGCAAACAGACATGGGCACATGCAGACATATGCAGACTCGCATGCAGACATATGCAGATTCGCATGCATACATATGCAGACTCTCATGCATACATATGCAGACTCGCATGCATACATATGCAGACTCGCATGCATACACACACACATGGACATATAGCCATACGCACGTGGGTGTGCATACATGGAAACAACGCGAAGCACGGTGCAGTCCAGGCCCCCCAGCAGCAGCACCTGACAATTTCCCACCCCCCATCGCCCGCTGACAAGCCCACAACGGGACCCACCTGACTGCCAGAGACATTCTAGTGCACGGTGCCACCCGCAGCAGCGCCACCCATCCCATCCCCTCTTCCCATCCCTTCTCCATCACCCATCTCCCCCACCTCCCCACCAATTCTCCCCCTCCCATTTTCTCTCCCCTCACGCATCTAGCGCCTTGTTGGCCAGGAATATGAGTCCGGCGCACGTCCCCCACACCGGCCGCCCAGAGGCTGCGAACTCCTGCAGCGCGCCGAGCTGAGGGAAGGGACGAGGATGAGGGGAAGGGGGTAGGGGGAGCGGGGGAGACGGAGGAAAAGGAGGGGTGCGGGAGAATGTGAGTTGACTTGAAAAAGAGGCTGCGAATTCCTGCAGCGCGCCGAGCTGGGAGAAGGGGCAGGAGTGATGAGCCGGGAATGAGCACAAGGGCTGCGAACTCCTGCAGCACGCCGAGCTGGAAGGGAGAAGGGGGAAGGGGGAGCGAGGGGGATGGAGGGGAAGGAGGGGTGCGGGAGAATGTGAGTTGACTTTAAAAAGAGGCTGCGAATTCCTGCAGCACGCTGAGCTGGGTGAAGGAACGGGAAGGAGGGAGCGAGTGGGAGGAGGAAGGGAGGGACGCACGGGAATGATGAGCGCTTAAATCAGCCGCAGATTCCCGTCCGTGCGGACGTCCGCGGCGCTGCGGGATGGGGGGAGGGAGGGAGCGAGAGGGAGGGACGCACGGGAATGATGAGCGCTTGTGAGGCGCCTCAAAAGTTGAACCAGGCGCAGCTCCGCGCTCGTGCGGACATTGCAGAGGAATGAGCAACGAACAACAACGTCATTCACAAAGTTTCCAAAGCCATTTACAATGATTTATCGCTGTTCACAACAACACTCTCTGTACGAACGAGAGTTGCAGCGCCAGTAATGAGTAACAGACATGAATGCCGTTCACCACAAGTGATCGCGAGCTGGCACTGACCTGCAATTTGCTCACGAACGAGCCTTGAGCAGCAATGAGTTGCAGCGCCAGCAATGAGTAACAGACAGGAATGCCGTTCACCACAAGTGATCGCTGGCACTGACCTGCAATGTGCTCGCGAACGGAGCCTTGCAGCGCCAGCACTCCCATTCGAATCAAAAGTCCTGACGCCGACCGGGAATCCGCTGCCATGGCAGCCGAATAAGAGCAGCGGAATTGTGCGATCGAAAATGGAGCAGCGGACCGTTCACGGATCAGCGCTGACTCACGAATCCACTTGAAATTGCCGATCCGTTGAGAGGTCCGCTTAGGCCACGATCAGCATGAAGTCATGGATCAGCTTTAAAATACGGCGATCGGACAGCTTTCTTCAAATCACGGATAAGCCTTAAGTTATGGCTTAGAGTCACGGATCAGCTTAGAGCTACGGCAGTCGGATCAACTTTGTTCAAATCACTGGCCAGCTCCAAGGATCGACTGAACGAATCGCGGATCGGCGACAACAGTGCGCATTCGCGACAGCTCGATCGTTATCCAGCGAGCAGAGAGACTCGCACAACGTTACTAAGCCGGCACCTGTTAGGCGACTTTTCATGGCAATGCCTTTGCGTCACATAGATAAGGCTTTCCTCTACTCATTTTGCTAGTTTTTGTTGTTTGAACGTAGAGCTATGAAGGCCCAAGCAACAGCACGAGTAGCTCAGGGATATCTTGCCGCGACTCGAGCTTGCAGCAGGCAGCATCATGGAGGACTGTGATTGCCCCAAAGGCTCCAAGGGACATGGTGCATGGAAAGGCAGCAGTTGTTATTTCTTCAACAGAAACAAAATTACAAGCCCCGTACAACATCGAATCCCTTCCAAGTGAATCGGCGCGATGACTTCATGGTGACTCTTTCTCTAATCCAATCAGAAGCCTTGCCGCCAAACAAGTCCTTTTCCATGCTCTGGGAGACTTCGACCCTTTCACCATCCCATCCCACGCCTTCGCCACGCCCTGTCAGCCTATCGCTTGGGCTTGTCCAGTACTGGATAGTTGTCCTGTGATCTGTGTCTCCCACTTTCCTGTGGAATTTACTCTGGATATTTGTCAAGCACCGACGTTGTCACTCCGACACTTCTCTTCCTCTCCATCAGTCTCCCACTGCTGACTGCCAACCAGAAACAATCAGAGCTCCACTTAGGAGATTGGAATTCACTAGGTTGCTCTCTAGAATCTCACTTTCCTTTCGAATTCACTAGAAATGCCGTACGTTCCGCCCCATATGCGAGCCGGAGCAACGATTTCTGCTTCCGAACCTCCTCCGGGAAGGTCGCCAGCAGCTTCGGGTCGAGGCCATGGTAGCCGTGGTCAGGCGGGTGGCAGAGGCAAAATTCGGTCCATAAAGAATGCTGGCAATGTTGTGCGAGTTACGTTAATCGACGATTATGCTGAGAGAGAATCATCCGTTATTGGAGCATCTTGCAGCAGCAACTGTGCTTGTAACGGGGGGAAAGGTCACTGCAACCGAATGATGCTCGGATTTCAACCGTTCAAAGGGGAGAGCTACGTCCACCTTCAGAAACAGAACCTCTCTCTTCTGACCAAAGTTCCAGATTCCGACATCAAGCATATCGACCCACCTGATTTAGAAACCACACAGCCGCCTGAAGATTCCCCGTCTTCTGAATTCTGTGCAACCTCTTCTATGGTTTCTCATTCAGATGCCGCCTCTGCAGATTCTCCTTCCTCCTCCTCTCCTTCCCCGATCGTGACCCCAACCTCCTTATCCGACGCCATAGTTGGGCCGCTTCGCACGGGGCTGGAACGGGTGCACAGGAAGATGGAGTCTGCCGTCCAGTCGCAGCTAGGGCGGTGCGTTTTGGACCGATGCAAGCTCGTGGTGCGCCTCGGGAAATTGCTCTTCGCGCGTCCGTCTGGATCGCGGGGGTGAGTCGAGGGGAGAGTCAAAGTGGGGGAGACAGGGGGGGGAAGACAGGAGGAGGAGACATGGGAATGATCATTGTGCAAGGGATGCATTATGCAAGCTCGTGGTGCTCTTGGAAAAGCATATTCGCCTCCGTGTCTCTCCCTTCCACATCCCCTCCTGTCGCATATCTCCCTTGATGGTGTCCGCACCTCTTTGCACGTCTCTGCACCTCTCTGCACCGCTCCGCACCTCTCTGCACATCCCTTCACCAGGGATTTCCTGCCCAGCCTCCCGCCCTTCACAGCGGGCGCATTGGAGTCGAGCCTCAATAGTCTGCCAGGCTGCTCCCAGCACGTGCAGCACTTGCCCAAAAAGGCCCAGCGGTCGCTGGAAACAGGCATGCCAGAGTCGTTATTCCAGGCCATGGAAAGCATTGTCATGTGGAGGGTTGGCGCGAGCGCATGCATGAGAGAGACCTACCATATACGGGTACGAGTCATGCGCCATGTGAGGGGAGTTGCAACGTGAGCAGCTAGATACAGTTGGAAAGGGACCAACATATCATAAAGAGGATTGCAGATAGGCTTAGTGAGAATAGGTATCTGTGAATAGGTATCATCACCACACCAGGTATCATCACCACACCCTTGTCTCTGCCGTCGTCATTGTCTTTGGCACTTTTCTTCTGCACCCTTCGTTCCCCATATTGCTGATCTGTAACAGGTTATGGACACAGAACCGAAGGAGTCAGAGTATAGGCTGATATGCAAGCCTAATCCGGATGGCTCAGGGGTTATTCTCGTTAAGGTATGCTTCTTTCTTGGTGTGCTTCATGCTCATAAGCATCTTCTGTGTGCATGCTTATTAGTTTCTCACATTACCTCATAAGCATGGTATCCATCATGTGTGCTTATATGCTTATTACTACCTCCTTATAAGCCTCTTCTGTACGAATGGTCAATACTTCCTCTCATTACCTCCTTGTATGTTTCGTTCCAATCACTTTCTCGTTCTCCTAAGTGCTTTCATGTACCACTGAACAGGGACCTTGTATCTATTGGATGCCATTGAAATGGACGGATTACAAGTGCTTGGTTTTTATTAGGTTTGCACTCTTTCATTTTTTTTTATGTTTTTTCCCCTCTTACTCTCGGTCTCTAATGCGTTGCTTTTTTATTTCAACCAAACTTGAGCATTCCTCCTCTCCGCCCATCTGCCCCACTTCTGCACTGCCTTGCATTGCAACCCTCTCCAGGTGAAGCGCAATCCTGTGCGCCATGCAGTCATTGACGTGGCTCGCCCCTCCAAGGAAATTGACTTCCGCCTCATGCTCTCTACTGAGATCCGTCTTGGCTCACTTGATGTGCGTCTGCAGCATATGGACGTGCTTGAGACACATTCGCTTGTGCTGACACATGCTCTTGTGCTGACAAATAGTTTTGTGACCGTGCTTCTGACGCATATGCTTGTGTTGTGCTTGTGGCACATGTGCTTGTGACTCATACCTCCGTTTTCTCTTCTCCTTGTACACGGCATTGCAGTCTTTCAATTCGCACAGTTTTCTTCATTTTACGTTCTCTCGTTCCCTATCCAGCTTTTTATAAACCCTTGCCCTTTTCTGGAAGCGCCTCCTAGCTTTTCTAACTCTCTCATTGCCTGTTCCTTCACCCACCCCTTTCCGCGTCCTCTTCCTTTCTTTCCCAGGAGGCCATTCAATCCGCGTTTGAGTGCATAGCATCGACAGCAATCATCGAAGAGAACTCAAAGGGCGGATTGCACTGGCCTATCACCCAAGACTTCCACGTCGGCATGACGGATGCGCTGTCGCACCGGTTCAGAGTGACAAGCGTGCGGCATCAGAGGCGGCTGCGCGTGCAGTCAGGCGGGCAGGTGTGGAAGCTGTCGCGAGTGAATGGGGTGGATTATGACTGTGGGGGAGGGCGCCTCACCAACGAAGCAGAGTTCTGCCTGGCAGCGTGGCGGGACGTCATGAAGGTGGGACTTTGTTTGCCTGGCAATATGACTGAGTGCTTAGAGGGCGCCTCACCAACAAAGTGGGGTTCTGCCTGCTGCTGTGGGAGTATAGGAAAGGCTCTGCTGGTTATGTTGTGCCACGTACTCTCCGTTTGTGCTTCTCTCGTTCGTTGCTGTTCCTGCTCCTACTTTGCAGCCAAAACAGGAGGCTACTGACAGCACAGCCCCGTCTCCTCCTTCGTCCCTACCCAGCAAGCCACCACCTACAAGCTACTCAGCAGCATCTTGTTTTGACTCGAGCTTGCAGCAGGCAGCACCACAGTGGACTCCAGACAGCATTCTTCTAGATTTTCCTTCTCTCATAGACTGGCTCCAGCAACACTTGCTTTAGGACTGGCATTGAGATGTGGTAGGTGTTTTGCGTTCTAGTTCTTTCCCACTTCTTGAAGTACTGGGCGCGTAAATAGGGACTTGCCTTATGGCTGGCAATGAGATGTGGTACCATAGATGTTTTGAGTTGTTCAGCACTAGTGGGTGTGTAAATATAGTTGTATGGAAATCCTACTAGGAACATTTTTTTTATTGTACGAACGGTATGATGCTATAGTACCGAATCTAGTTCAAGCAAGAGATATCGTGTGATGACTTCAAGGTGACTCTTTCTCTGCTCCAATCAGAAGTCTTGCCGCCAAAGACCTATCCCATGCATTCATCCCCTCCATGCCATTCACCTCCCCGATTTCCGCTCCTCCACCTCTCATTCCATCAACACATCCACTCTGTCAGCTCCCGCTACTGTGTGTCTCAACGGACGAACATCCGTCGCATCCATGCTGTGTGTTCCATGCTGTTGTGCTACTGAAGTACCGCCACCTTTTTCTTGCATATCAATTCATTTCAGTTGACACCAGCATGGATCCTCTCACCTGTCACCTTCTGCGTAGCAGCTAAGTCATTAGGTAGCACTCAAGAATCTCAGTTTTCTTTTCGGGAGATTGATATTTTCTTTTGAGTTTGAATAGGCAGGACGAGCCATGCCGTACGTTCCTCCTCACATGCGAGCTGGTGCATCGATTTCCGGCTCCGAACCTCCTCCCCGGACGACGCCAGCAGGTCGAGGTCATGCAGGCTCGGAAAGTAGGTCTGGGAGAGGCCGAGGCAGAGGCCGTGGTCAGGCGGGTGGCCGAGGCAAGAATCTCGCGGCGACGAAGATTGCGATAAAGAATTCTCGTGATGTCGTGCTGGCTACAGTAATCGACGATTATGCGGAGCGAGAATCGTCCGTTATTGGAACATCTTGCAACAGCAACTGTGTTTGTAACGGAGGAAAAGGTCGCTGCAACCGGATGCTCCTCAGATTCCAACCGTTCAAAGGGAGGAGCTACCTGCATCTACAGGATCAGAATCTCTCCCTTCTAACGAGAGTTTCAGAAGCTGAGTACGACCATGTCGAATCACCCGATATCGAGAGCAACCAGACGAGTGGATATTCTCCTTCCGCCTCCTCTCAATCCTCTGCAGCCGTACCCCCGTCTGTGGATTCGCGTTCAGATGCCTCACCTGATGCATCCGCCTCTCAGTCAGATCCCTCCGTGTCCTCTCCTTCCCCCATCGCGACCCCGACCTCCTTGTTTGACGCCATATCTGAGCCGCTTCGCGCGGGGTTGGAGGCGGTATACAGGGAGATGGAGTTTGCCGCCCGGTCACAGCTAAGGCGGTCCACTGTGGACCGATGCAAGCTCGTCGTGCGCCTCGGGAAGCTGCTGTTCGCCCCGCCATTCGGATCGCCAGAGTGAGTTGTGGGAGGGAGGGGGAGGTGGGGGTGTGGGATGGATAGGAGGGTGCACCAGTCGCTGCACCGGTGTGAGAGCCTCTCTTCCCCATCTCCACCATTTCCCTCCGCCTCTCTGCACCGCTCGTCACCCCCTCCCAGGTCGCCAACCAGGGTACACCGATCTTCCCCATCTCTTCCTCCCCTGCTCCTGACATCCCCTCATTTGAACCTCTCTGCACCTCTTCTCACCCCTCTTAGGTCGCTCCTCCCCAGCCTGTCGCCCTTCACAGCGGGCGAGTTGGAGTCGACTCTAAACAGGCGCGTGCAGCGCCTGCCAACCAGGGTGCACCGGTCGCTGGAGACAGGCATGCCAGAGCCGCTCTTTCAAGCTGTGGAGAATATTGTGATGGCGGGGGACGGGGTCAGCGCATGCACGAGAGAGACGTACCACATACGGGTATGTATGTGCTATGTGCCAGTGCTGCTGCCCCGTCGGTATGCTGTGCTGGGTTGAAGACTGGCATGCCAGAGCCGCTCTTCCAGGCTGTGGAGGGCATTGTGATGGCGGGGAACGGGGTCAATGCATGCACGATAGAGACGTACCACATTTGGGTATGTATGTGCCATGTGCCAGCCTTAGCACGTAGGTACTCTGAATTGGGATGGGGCAGTCATGCCTGAGCCGTTCTCAACCCCTTACTTACTCAGCCTTGTGCCGGCCTTCCCAAGGGGAGACTGCGTGAAGCTGGTAGCCTGGGGGGAGTGTGGTTGGCAGGCAAAGACGGGCATGTTATAATCGGTGATGCAAAGAGATGTAGCGAGAATGGGTTTGCTGGAAACTTGGTGTGCATTCGTCTCTGTCATCGTCATGCTTTGAGATTTTTCTTCTGCACATTTTTGTCCCCCATGTTGCCGATCTGTTACAGGTACAAGACACAGAGCAGGTTGACACGGAGTACAAGCTGATTTGCAAGCCTGATCCGGATGGCTCAGGGGTTATCCTTGTTAAGGTGTGCTTCCTTCATTGTTGTTGTGCCTCCTGCTTATGAAGGACTAGTTATGCCTTCACACACGCACCTATTACTGATTAGCCTTTGCTGTAGCTATTTTTCTCTCCACCCATCAATCCCATTTCTCCACTGGCTTGCATCCTCTTCAGGTGAAGCACAACCCGCTGCGCTATGCAGTCATCGACGTCTCTCGCCCCTCCAGAGCCATTGACTTCCGCCTCATGCTCTCCACCGATACCCGCCTCTGTGCCCTTGATGTACGTGTAAGAGAAGGCATGCGCAGTGCTTCTATCACATGCGCTGCACGCGCCGAAGGTACATGAACTGCACGCGCGACGGTACATGAACTGCACGCACGACGGTACATGCGCTGTGCATGAATGCCATGAGCTAGTACCCGTTAACTTCGGCCTCATACTCTCCACTGATACCCGCCTCATGTTTCCCCGGGTATCGCATCAACAACACCCAGGATGCCTCCCGGTCTGCATGTGAGCGCATAGCATCGACATCAATCATTGAGGAGAGCACCAAGGGTGGGCTACACTGGCCCATCACCTTCGACTGTTGAGTCGACTCAACAGCCGCATTGCCCCAATCTTTCTCCCGTTATCCCAGGATGCCACCCGGTCTGCATGTGAGCGCATAGCATCGACAGCAATTATCGAGGGCAGCGCCAAGGGCGGCCTACACTGGCCTATCACGCTCGACTTTGATGTTTGCATGATGGACCCGCGTTCACCATCCCATACACCATCCGCATCATCAGCAGCAGCTACAGCGCCATCACACCGCTTCAGAGTGAAGAGCGTGCGGCATCAGAAGCGGCTCAAGGTGTTTGGGGGCGGGCAGGTGTGGAAGCTGTCGCGAGTGAACGGGGTGGAGTATGACCATGGGGGAGGGCGGCTTACTAATGAAGCAGAGTTCTGCCTGCTGGCCTGGCGAGATTGCGTCATGAAGGTTAGTGAGACGACTGGGGTGATGCCGAGTGTGTGTGCGCACGTATGCATGTAGATATGCGTCCGTGTGCTCATGGCGCCTCATGAACGAAGCAGAGTTCTGCCTGCTGGCCTGGCGAGACATCATGAAGGTGAGGGCGTCGCTGGTGTGATTTCGAGTGTGCAGGTATGTGTGTGCTTGCGTGCGTGCATGTGTGCATGTGTGTGGTTTAGAGGGTGCGGTCAGGAGGGCAGGTGCGGAAGCTGTCTCGAGTGAACGGGGTGGAGTAGGACCATGGGGGAGGGCGGCTCTCCATTGAAGTCGAGTTCTGTCTGCTGGTCTGGCAAGACATCATGAAGGTGCGTCACTGGTGTGAATTGGTGTGTGTTGGCATGCGTGTGTGCATCTGTGTGTGCATGCGTGCGTGCGACTGTGTGTGTGTGTGCGACTGTCTGCGTGTGTGCATGGGTGCGTGTGTGCTTAGCAGAATAGGCGTCGTCAACAATGTGTGATTCTGCCTGTTGCTGTGGGAGACTTGTGGGTTTGTTGTGCAACGGGATTAGATACAGTTCTTTTTATTGTTTTCCTTCCCACCCGTACATGTCAATTCATGCAGGCAAAACAGGGGGGAAATGACGGCACAGCTGTTGCTTCTTCTCCTTCCCCCCTACCTAACGAGCCTTCATCTAAAGCCTACTCTGCGGAATCTTGCTTTGACTCGAGCTTGCAGCAGGCAGCACCACATTGGACTCCAGACAGCGTTCTTGCTGATTGCCCCTCCCTCATCAACTGGCTGCAGGAGCACTTGCCATAGGGAACAACAGCTCGAGCAGTACTTAGATAAGACCCAATAATAGGCATATGTTACTTACTGTATGCCTGTGAATGGTACCCTTCCTCGATGAGCACTTCAAGCGAGCAGTGCAAGCTGTAACTCGTTTTTTGTTTTTTTTCAAACTCTTCCACATCGTCCTTTCAAGTTCCTGGCACGGTATTTGCTCACTGCTTGTATCGGGTCAGAATGTACGAGGGGCGCAAGCTTCATTCAACGCCCTTCAGCCCACCTCGAGATTTCCGACAGCCCACCACCACTAAGAAGTATTCAGCAGCTTATCGTGTGAGCAATTCCAAGCCTCGTTAGTTCCAAGGGATGGCTGCATCAGGAAGCCGTGGCTGTACGCTCGTGTCCGCGAACCTTTGTAGCTAATCGGCGGATCGCTTTAGCTTCATGGACCTTTTTTTTTTCAGCTGAGCCTCCGAAACGCGTGCCGCGTTACTCCACAAGGCTGAGACATCTGTCAGGGGTTAAACAATATCCGATGTTCTTTGAATTTCTGGGCGGAATAATTTCAATATCATGGCATTGTATGAGTCATATAGGCAGAGATTTAAGCTATCCGCGAGAGGAGGCGGCCCGCTCACGCATTCTCCTGACGCGAGAATTTTAACACTCGTGGATGATTACGACGACAGGCAGTCCGATAGCGCGAACCTCGCTCCAGATGGGCGAATCTCCCTTTCTTCGAACAATTTGGTTGCGAAAGTTACCCGTATCTTCGCAAACGTCGCCTCGCGATGCTGTCCAAGGCACCAATTCGAGGCACCCTGCAAGACTGGCTTGCTAACAGCGATAGGTTCGCGGGTAAATGGGACAACGACCCGAAAAATGACGTGATAAGGATGTTTCATGGCGATATCAATGAGGAACGTGATGGGGTTGCTACGAGAGCGGCACATAACGAGGGCAACGGCGAGGTTCTCTTGCGATCGAATGACACAGACGTTGGGGATTGCCAGGATAGCAGGGAAATCACGGAAAGCTCGGAGACTTCACGAGAGGCAAGATTGCTGAATGCGATCCAACAGCCTCTGACAGAAGCTTTAGATGTGGTCCGTGAGAAATTGCAGCGCCATGCTGTGACAGCAGAGGGTGCTGCTGTGAATGGATTCAGGAGGGTCAAGCTCCTGGTCCGGCTGGGCAAGCTGCTTTTCTCGGCGCATGGAAACAGGTACTTTTTTTTTTTTTTTATGTTGCAGGTGTACTGAAGGTGTGTTCTGAAGGTGTACCAAATGTGTGCGGAAGTGTGGTGAGTGTGGAGGGATAAAAAGGATAGTTACCACGGGTTGAATGAATGTGTCTTGAGGTTGTGCAAAGGTTCACCTGATTCGCTTTTCCGTCTCAGTTTTTCCACCACTGGCTCTCAAAACCGAATCCTGCTTATTTCCCGCCAGAAATCTTCTGATCAAGGTTCCGCCCTTCTCTGCGCAACGACTGGAGGACTACATGAGTGGGAGTGAGCAGCAGTTGAAGCTGCCGATTCACAGGGTGTTTGAGACGCACGTCCCTGATAGCGTGGGTGGCGCTTTGGAGGAGATTATCTTGAGAGATTCAGGTCTGGCTTGCAAGAGCAGTGAGAAATACGATATTCAGGTGAAATTTGATGTTTGTTTTTGCTTTACTTTTTGTAATGCTGTTGTTAAGATTTTGAACTGGCATATCCGTTTTCCATCCCATACGATCAGTCTGTGCATGAATGTCTTATGTGTGGAAATATCAAGTGCATCCCTCTTGTGCCAAGCGCTAATGTTACCTGTAAATTTCAGGTGCTTGATACCTGGTCGCGAGTTATCTACAGAGCAAGCTGCATATATGATGCTGAGAAGCAACGCCTTTTCATAAAGGTGGTCAGATCACCTGACACGGAAAGAGTGCCTTTGAGGGCAGAGTGTCGATGTTTTTTGTCTCATGTACTTGAGATGCTTCTATGTGTTGTATATAACATGCGGACTATGATCCTTGTATCTTTTGACTCCAGGTGAAGAAGTTTCCGGTTCGCTATGGAGTCTTTGAAATCGCACGGCCAGGCAAGGCCCTGGATGTTCGTTTGATCCTGGCCGTTGAGACACATTTGCCAACTCTAGATGTGAGTGACCCATGCATTCATGTATACATGGGAACTTTAAGAACTTTTTTTTTTACCATGCAGCTTTTATCTCTGCGCTTATGATTTGGTGTGCAGTTTCAGTGTGCCTTGTCATCTGATCAAAAAACAAAAAACAAAACAAAAAACCTGTTCTGCATCCCACACAGGAGACGCTGGGTGCTGCGTTTGACACAGTCCTGGAAGCAGCGCAGATTGACCCCCAGAGCCCAGGAGGGGTGCGCATTCCAGAGTACATGATTGAAGGCCAGAAGGGCTTTGACGTTGCCAGCATGGATTTTGACTCTAGCAGCAGTGCCTCTGAAGATAGCAGCAGAATTTCTAGTTCTCACAATGTCAACGGAGTAGGTTCTGATGTCAGCAGCAGATTTTCAGCCAATGGCACTGTAAATTCCAGTGGTGGGAGCAGCAGCAGTGAAGAGAGCAGCAGATTTCAAGTGAGAGCGGTCCGGCATATAACTGTGAGGAAAGTGCAGGCAGAGGGGAGGCTGTGGAAGTTCTCCCATGTGGATGGGATCGAGTACAAACAGGGAGGCGGGCGGAAAACGAACATAGTGGAGGTGTGCCCGACACTGTGGCGGCAGCAGCTCAAGGTAAGCAGAGAGCGGCAGATTCCAAGTGAGAGCGGTCAGGCATCTAACTGTGAGGCGAGTGGTGGCAGAGCGGAGGCTGTGGAAGTTCTCCCATGTGGATGGGATCGAGTACAAACAGGGAGACGGGCGGAAAACGAACATAGTGGAGGTGTGCCCGACACTGTGGCGGCAGCAGCTCAAGGTAAGCAGAGAGCGGCAGATTCCAAGTGAGAGCGGTCAGGCATCTAACTGTGAGGCGAGTGGTGGCAGAGCGGAGGCTGTGGAAGTTGTCTCGTGTGGATGGGATTGAGTACAAGCAGGGAGGCAGGCGGAAAGCAAATATTGTGGAGGTTTACCCTGCAGCATGGCGGCAGCAGCTCAAGGTAATGAACACAGGCACAAATCCCAGGGCATGTCTGTCGTTGCCCCCCCTCCCCCCCCTCCCCCCTCCCCCTCCCTCGATATGCAACATCTGCTGAGCATACAGAACATGTCATGAGGGTTTGCTCCATCATTTTTCACCCTTGCTATGTCACATTTGGCACGTGATTTATGCAACATAGCTCACATGTGACATCATGTGCCGTTCCATCTTCTCTAGGCTGTTCACCCATCCCTTAACCAGGTGGGCAGTCGGATGGGAAGCCTGGCTTCTCCAGGGAGCTGTATGAACCCTTCACGTGGACCTCTCATTCCCCACATGGAATGCCCTGCATTTCTCGCATTTTCTCTTGCCTGGTCCCCCATCCCCTAACCAGGGAGACACTCGGGAGCCTGCATGCTCCAGGGAGCAACAGCAGCACCCCACAAGGACCTCAGAGCACATCATTGCGGAGTGCCCTGCGCTGCTTACATGGCTAGCTCGGAATTTGCCGTGAACAATGCACCCAGTAGTACAGTACATCTGCACACTTTCTTTAGAAAAGCTACTAACACTATACAGCTACACTTCCTTGACATATGTACATTGAAGAACTACTAATCCTAAACAGCTACACTTCCTTGCCACATGTACATCCAAGAACAAGCTGGAGCAGCAGTTGCATCATCTCAGGACCAATCAGAGAAGGCCCAAATCCCTGAGCTGCAACTCGTGTTCCGGCGGCAGCGGCGGTGGCGACCAATCAGGAGGAAGAGACATTCCAGACAAATCTTCTACGATATACTCCTGGAGTGGAGCGGTATGGCATGGACGGAGAGAAGGGAGGAGGGGGACACGGAGGACAAGGAAAAAATACAGGTGGTGAGCAACAGACAAATCATCCATGATATGCTCCTGGAGGGATATGGATGGGGAGAAGGGAGGAGGACGAGGAGGACGGGGAACAGGCGTAGAGGTAGCAGTGGTGACATCGTAAATAGACGCATCCCAAAAGGCAGCGCCATAGGCAGCAGGAGCAACGGTATGATGGCATCGTGAAGAAGCAGGTCCCCGGAAAGAAATAAGAATCTATTATTCGAACTACGGTACAAACACGTGTGAGAGCAGAACTATAACGGTGAACGAAATGGAGAAAACAAAACCTATCACGGTGAACTAGAGAAGGCATCAACGGCTAGACAAAACCTATTGCAAGGTTTTAGTGAAAGGATATACCATACCGCCAGCCTGACCTGACCAGCTAATGGCAAGTACATGCGATTGCCAGAACGTGCAGTACGGAAGTGAGAAGTACCTTAGTGAGGATCCTCTTAACGAGGATGTGATAGTGGCGCTGACAAATCCGCTGCACCACCAGAATCGAGACCAACAAGCAGTAAAACACCCCCACGAAAGCCAGCACGACCAGTAGGATTGGCAGGAGGACAAGCCAACCGTCCCCAGTGCATGCACCAGCACAGCAGTCGCTACAGCTAGTGCAGGGGTGGGCGCAGCATGAGCAGTGTGGGCAAAGACAGTCGGGAAAAAGGTAGCAGTTTCGACAGCCACCGCACACACTGGGAGGGGGAGAGGTCGGGAGGAGGGCGGGAGAGGAGAGATGGGCAGAGTGAAAAAAGGAGTGAAAAAGGGAGGAGTAAGAAAAGGAGGAATGAGAGAGGAAGGGATGTTGTACATGATACAAGGGAGATGAAAGAATGGTGTGTGAAATCGAATGAACGCAAGGGGATCACAGCAAGCCCATCAAAACTCAAGAAGCCAACCCCAGAGGCCCGGAACAGTCCCATCAACAGCACTCAGAGAGGCATGCACCACGGGTCGCAGCAGCAGGCGCCCAGGTCCCTGCAGGGAGCAGGCAGATCGCTGCAGGGAGATGGAGTGTCTATCCTTAAGGAATAAGGCCCCTTTGAGGCATGAGGCACGTTCCACGGGTTGCAACAGCAGGCGCCCAGGTCTCTGCAGGGAGCAGGCAGATCGCTGCAGGGAGATGGCACATCAATATTTGAGGCACGAGGCCCCTCGAAGGCACTATCTTGGAGGCATGAGGCACATACCGAGGGTCACAGCACCAGGCTTCCAGGTCCCTGCAGGGAGCAGACAGATCACTGCGAATCCGGCGGTCAACACACGTCATGGTGGCACCGAGGAGACCAGCACACACAAGGAAGAGCAGCACACCTGGTTGGGGGAAGAGAGAAGCAAGACGAGGTTTAACACGGGAGGTGGGATGTGGGTCAACACACGTCATGATGGCACCGAGGAGACCGGCACACACAAGGAAGAGCAGCACGCGTGGTTGAGAAAAGGCAAGGGGGGGATGGACGGACAAGGCGAGATGGTTAAGGGAGATTTGAGAAGGGGGGTGCTTTGTGGGTCAACACCCGTTATGACGGAGCGATGGTGAGGAAGGAAGAGCGATGGCACATGAGCAATGGCACATGAGCGATGGCACATGAGCAATGGCACATGAGCAATGGCACATGAGCGATGGCACATGAGCGATGGCACATGAGCGATGGCACATGAGCAATGGCACTGAGCGATGGCACATGAGCAATGGCACATGAGCAATGGCACATGAGCGATGGAGTCAACACCCGCAGAGACACGAAAGAGATGGTCATGAGCAGCACACTTGGTTAAGAAAGGCCACTGGCCAGATGGGTAAGGGGTGGGACTAAGGGTAGTGCGGTAAAGGAAGATGTCACAAATGGGGATAGGATGACTTTTGAGAAAAAATAAAGTGACTCAAAAGGGGGTGGGATGTGGGTGGACTCAAGGAATGACTGAATAGGAGCGGATCAGCAGAGACAACAACGCGCCACTCTCTCACTGCATATGCCTGCCTGGCCAAAAATTAATGCCTCTCTCGCTCCCTCCCTCACTCCGTCTCTCACCACAAATGTAGTAGAACGTTGCTGTGCTTTGCACGCCCCATGATTTCTGCAAACCCATGTCAAAATAGTGATCCGCCACGTATGCAGTGCAGCCAAAGCAGATAATCAGCTGGTAGAGGAGAAGGTGGGAGTGAAAGGGGAGATGGGGGAAGGGAATTTTGAGTCGACTCAAAAGTCACCTTGAAAGGGGAGATGGGGGAAGGAAGGTAATAGGAGAAAGGGAAGAGGCAACCAACGGAAGGGAGAGTGAGGGAGTGAGTGAGAGAGCGAGTGAGGAAGAGTGGAAGCCTTTTCACCAGAGAAAAAAATAATGAGAGAGTGTGCTGGGGTGTACGTGTGTACATGAGAGAGAGATTCAGTGGAGGTGTGTGTGAGAGTGTGAGAGAGCGAGAAAACAAAGACAGGAAACTTACCATCTGCGCCAGCAGCGACTTTTGAGGCGCGACAAAAGTCGTCACCAGGGTAAGAGGTAACTTACCAGCTGCACCAGCAGCATCACGAACACAATATCCCTATCTGAGGCGTCTTTTTGAGGCTTCTCAAAGCACAGACAACTAAAAAACTAGCAACTTACCAGCTGCACCAGCAGCATCACGAACACAATATCCCTATCTGAGGCGTCTTTTTGAGGCTTCTCAAAGCACAGACAACTAAAAAACTAGAAACTTACCAGCTGCACCAGCAGCATCACGAACACAATATCCCTATCTGAGGCATCTTTTTGAGGCTTCTCAAAGCACAGACAACTAAAAAACTAGCAACTTACCAGCTGCACCAGCAGCATCACGAACACAATATCCCTATCTGAGGCGTCTTTTTGAGGCTTCTCAAAGCACAGACAACTAAAAAACTAGCAACTTACCAGCTGCACCAGCAGCATCACGAACACAATATCCCTATCTGAGGCGTCTTTTTGAGGCTTCTCAAAGCACAGACAACTAAAAAACTAGAAACTTACCAGCTGCACCAGCAGCATCACGAACACAATATCCCTATCTGAGGCATCTTTTTGAGGCTTCTCAAAGCACAGACAACTAAAAAACTAGCAACTTACCAGCTGCACCAGCAGCATCACGAACACAATATCCCTATCTGAGGCGTCTTTTTGAGGCTTCTCAAAGCACAGACAACTAAAAAACTAGCAACTTACCAGCTGCACCAGCAGCATCACGAACACAATATCCCTATCTGAGGCGTCTTTTTGAGGCTTCTCAAAGCACAGACAACTAAAAAACTAGCAACTTACCAGCTGCACCAGCAGCATCACGAACACAATATCCCTATCTGAGGCGTCTTTTTGAGGCTTCTCAAAGCACAGACAACTAAAAAACTAGAAACTTACCAGCTGCACCAGCAGCATCACGAACACAATATCCCTATCTGAGGCGTCTTTTTGAGGCTTCTCAAAGCACAGACAACTAAAAAACAAGAAACTTACCAGCTGCACCAGCAGCATCACGAACACAATATCCCTATCTGAGGCGTCTTTTTTAGGCTTCTCAAAGCACAGACAACTAAAAAACTAGAAACTTACCAGCTGCACCAGCAGCATCACGAACACAATATCCCTATCTGAGGCGTCTTCTCAAAGCACAGACAACTAAAAAACTAGAAACTTACCAGCTCCACCAGCAGCGTTACGAACACAATATCCATTGCAGCAAAGAATCTGAACTTGAGATGGCGGAATGACTTTGAGTCGACTCGAGAGTGAGAAAACAACAACAGGAAACTCACCAGCTGCACCAGCAGCGTCACGAACACAATATCCCTCGCGACAAATAATCTGAACTTGAGATGGCGGAATCGGGGGTCGGGCGGCGGGCACACGCGCAGGTGGAAGCGTGTCTTGCACGTGGAGCAGTGGCAGAAGGCGAAGCCCTCCTTGGTGGCCCGCCATTGGTCCAGACAGCTCCGATGCACAAAACGCGCCGAGCCCTTGCATTTGCAAGGAGCAATAAGGTCGTCACCTGGTGGGTGGGGGGTGAGAAAGTTACATGCAGATTCTATCAGAAAATCCCATGCATGCGTCAAACACATACATGACAATTTCCATTGTGCTACATCATTAAAAAAATGTATTAATTAATAGAAAAAAAAAGCCTTGACTCATTTTTTAAGTGCCTAGAAAACTGTCTCATCGCACAAAAGAGTGTGACGGACGGCGGATGAAAGAAAAAGGCCATGGAACAGTAAGGGATGGAAACTCGGTCCATTACCAGAAACGACTTTTCTGGTGTTGAACCGAGTTTACACCCCTTAGTAGCGACATGTACCATCACTTTGGTATACCGTCAAGCGCGGACCTATGGCAGAAACGAATAGAAACGATATTGCCACGAACCGTCGCACTCCAGGCAGATTCTGCACTGCGGTTGCTCCTCGTCCTCCGCCTCCTCTTCATCCCCGATCGATAAGGCGCCTGTAAAGAGACCGCAACAAATCGCTGATACCCACCGTCGCACTCCAGGCAGATTCGGCACTGCGGTTGGTCTTCGTCCTCCGCCTCCTCTTCGTCCCCGATCCCCGCTTTCCCAGGACGAGATGGATTCCCTCCGAATCTACTGGAGTCAAATCCCATCGCATCCCCGCTATTGGGTGGTGCGAGCAACGGAGTTTCCTCGTCGATATCAACAACCGTTTCCTTTTCCCGCACCTCCTTATCCTTTTCCCTCTCCCTCGTCCTCGCATGTTTGTCTGTGCGCTCTCTCAAGTCGACCGCTTGAGACCGTTTCCCTTCCATTTCCCTGGCATGTGACGAAACAACCAGAATGCTAGATATTCTAAAGCAAACCTACTACCGATACGAGTCGTGCTCGCTAAATATTACTCTAGGACCAGCCTGCACAAGAAGACATGAAATGTAGAACACACGAGAAGAAATTGCTTTGTCATGCACGTGCATGACGCGCTGTTGCGCACTCACTCACCTTCCCCTTAATCCCCTCTACTCAACCGTTACAAAGATTTATTGGACCGCTCTGGATCGTGCAGCATCTCAACACAAATGGTTCGAATTCTCCATGACCACGTGACACGTGAATTCTCTTCACTTCATCGGGGCTCCACGTGACAGGTCTCACTGATACCGCTATATACCGCGCTGAAACACGCGGAACTTGGAAAGAACCGCAACGAGGCCGAAAACAAAAACCACTCTCCAGCCAAGGGCGACGTTTAGTCGTACATTTCTCGCACATGTTCAAGTCTTGTATCGTTGTTCAAAACGGTTTCACACGGTAAGAAGCGGTTCTGAAGGTTGACCGCTTTACACCGTGACGAAACGAAGTCGAGCAACAACCTTACGTCGTCCTAAGAAGTTGCCATGACTCGGTAGTACACACCGAGTAGTACAGTGCGTTGTTCTGAACCAGCGTTATTGTTAGGCCCGCTGGCCTAAATCCGCTAAAGAATTAGCGGGGTCGACTAAGTCGAGGATGAAGCGCGGCGGAAGACTTTGGCGAAAGAACTACTAGCGAAATAGGCGAAGGAGTTACTGAGTAATTGAAGAAGAGTTGAATGAGAATTGGTTGATAATGCCAAGTACAAGCAAGGTTTATATAGCATGCAAGAAACAAGGTTGGAAAGTGGATTGTGGGACCAAGAATTGTAGTGCAAGAAAAGTAGAGTGCCACGTGGCACTAGAGAATCTGAGAAGATAAGGATAAGGGTGACTTGGAAAGTACTGTTCGGAATGAACAGTAAATCCCCCCTTAACACTACCCCCCTCCCAAGGAGGCGACGTCCGCGGCGCCTGCAGACTGAAGGTACGCTCGGAGGCAAGCGTTGTCGGGAGACAGCGAGGACGAAGGAACCCAGCTGTCGTCGGCTGCATCGTAACCACGCCAACGAACCAAGAAGTCGATGAAAGAGACACCTCCCTGCAGACGGCGACGGTGCCTGAGGATGCGCTGGATCTGGTAGTCGGGCTCGTCGGTGTCAACAGCTACCGGCAGTGGAGTGCGATCACGGCCCGAGAAGGTGGCGTTGGGATCGGTGTAAGGACGAAGGAGAGACACGTGGAATGATGGGTGCATGCGGAAATGAGCGGGAAGGCGAAGGCGGTATGCGACTGGACCAAGTGCGCGCTCAATGACGAATGGACCAATGAAACGTGGGCGAAGCTTGCTGTCCTGTGGCAGTCGGAGGTTGCGGCTATCGAGAAGGACACGGTCCCCAACAGAAAACGACACCTCACGACGACTGCGGTTGGTGGTGCGTGCCATGCGTGCATTTGCGAGCTCAAGGTGCTTCCTCACGTGGTCGTGAATGAAGGTGAGGTGCTGGTGGAAGTTGTCCGCACGAGGGACAGTGGGTGTGAGATCGACACGAGTGGGGACATTGGGGTGTTGACCGTACAATGCGAAGAAAGGTGACATGCCTGTGGCGGAGTGATGGGTGTTGTTGTAGGCGAACTCTGCCATGCTCAGCTTCTTGTCCCATGCTGCTGCGTCGTGCATCGTGATGCTGCGAAGGATCTGCTCCAAAGTCTGGTTCACACGCTCAGTCTGTCCGTCTGTCTCTGGGTGGTATGCAGACGACATGGCTAAACGTGTCCCAAACAGTGCGAAAAGCTGCTTCCAGAACTTTGAGGTGAATCGAGGGTCGCGGTCGGAAATGATCGAATCTGGAACCCCGTGCAGTCGGACTACGTTATCTACGAACAGCGTCGCGGCTTCCTCTGCTGTGACCTGACCGTGCGTGGGGATGAAATGCGCTGCTCGAGAAAACTTATCCACTACCACGAAGATGGCGTCGTGACCCCTAACTGTGCGCGGTAAAGCCATGATAAAGTCCATGGTGACTACCTGCCAAGGGCGGTCGGGTGGTGGAATCGGCTGCAAAAGTCCTGCCTTGCGCTGTCGCGAGGACTTCGTACGCTGACACGTGTCACACGAGCGAATGTAATCCTCTACGTCTGCTGCAAGCCCTGGCCAGTAGTACGTGCGACTAAGCGTCTTAGCCGTCTTGTCTGCTCCGAAGTGACCTGCACTAACTACGTCGTGCGCCTCTGAGAGAAGGAGCTGTCGAAGAGGGCGGTAGGCTGGAACCCAAATCCGTGTGGTGCCCTTCCGTATGTAAACACTACCCTGCACCTCTGCTCCTGCGGGCGGCTGCGGTGTGAAGTCGGGATCTACTGTGTAACCGTGCTCGAAGAGTGCTGTGAGAAGTCGCACACGAACAGCATTGATGATCGCTGTGGATGATGTGGCCCCATCGCTCCACTGTGGCAGCTCCCGGAACTCGCCATCTACCTTGACGCTGCAGCTTCCCTGAGCCCAATCGAACTGAGTACTAACCGTCCGTAACCAATCCCTCCCGAAGATGAAATCGTAACCGTCCAGCGTCGCAGAGTCGAAGTCACGCCTAACTGTGATCGGTCCTAGCACTACGCGCAACTTGTGAATGACTGGTCCTATGTGAAGTGGTGTCCCGTCTACCATGCGAGCGTCTTTGAAGTTGACTGAAGTGTCCGCTTCAAGATGAAGACGACTAACTAATGAAGACGAAACGAACGAGTGGCTAGCTCCGCTATCTACGAGAATCTTAACAGGAACTCCGCGAAGCTTCCCTAGAAGCACGACTGGTCGGTCAACAGTGTCTACCTCGTTCTCCGTAGATGACTGCTGCGAGGCCGTCTCCTCTACGTTGGTAAACTCGGCGGGTACGGAAGCCTCCACACCAGCTAGCGACCCGCTATCTACTGGCGGTTTCCGTTTCCCTGCTGCCGCTCCTTGAACTGTGGGCAGTCCCGCTTCATGTGTCCCGGCTTTTTGCAGTAGTGACAGTTCCCCCTAAATCCGTTGCGCTGTGAGCCGTCACTGTTAACTGCACCAATCTCCATGGGCGACGGTCCGTCCCTCGATCGAGCGTCGTTGATCGGTCTGTTGTATCCCCTATCGCGATCGTCACGACCCCGTCGGCTTCGTACTGCGTCGACGCGTTCTGCTGCTGCGACTACTGACTCGAAGGTGGACAACCCGTGAATCGCAATAATCTCCGCTATGTCCGGCTTCAACCCTTCGAGGTAGCGATCGCGCATCTCTGCTTCCGTGATGTCGTCTATCTCGTTGCAGATGCTCAAGAACCGTCGTGTGTACTCCTGGACGTTTCCTATCTGTCGGAAATGACGCAGACGCTTCCTAGCAGCTTCGGAGGCATTCACCAAATCGAACCTACTTTTCAGCGCCGCTTCAAATCCTTCCCATGTCGTCGGAACCGTGGTAACACCCAAAGCTAAACTCCCTAAGCTCGAAGTTGCAGCTGCATGCCCCACGCCCTGTTGATGCCCGTCTAACTGAGCCCTCCGTACAGCAGTCTGCGTAAGTTGGCGCCACCACTCCAAGGCCGGGCCCCTCAGCAGCGTTACGGCGTACTCGATCCGCTGCTGCGCGTCCGCCTCTTGCACCCCGCTCGCGGCGAAGTAATTGTTGAGCATGAAGAGCCACGTCCGCACGTTCGCGTCGCGTTGACTTGGGTCGAACGACTCGGGCTTCTGCGGCTTGAGCGCGCTTCGACGTTCCGGCAGCGCTTCCGCGCCAGTCGACGTGGTGGGTGCAGGAGTTGGTGCGGCAAGGCCATGGGGGTTAGAAGCCAAATTGCGAAGTTGTTGCATTTCGGCTCGTACCTGACGATTTTCGAACGTCAATTCTTCGAGTTGACGCATGAGCTCGGCAAGCGTGTTGCCCATGTCGTGGGGGAAAGCGTTCATGGATTCGTCCATGTTCGCTCGACGACTCCAAGTCTGCAAGTCGGCACCGCGGGACGATGACGTCGTAGTCTCGTCGTCGACGGCCGCTCGTTGGAAGTCGCTCCCCACAAAGGCTCTTGATACCAAGTGTTAGGCCCGCTGGCCTAAATCCGCTAAAGAATTAGCGGGGTCGACTAAGTCGAGGATGAAGCGCGGCGGAAGACTTTGGCGAAAGAACTACTAGCGAAATAGGCGAAGGAGTTACTGAGTAATTGAAGAAGAGTTGAATGAGAATTGGTTGATAATGCCAAGTACAAGCAAGGTTTATATAGCATGCAAGAAACAAGGTTGGAAAGTGGATTGTGGGACCAAGAATTGTAGTGCAAGAAAAGTAGAGTGCCACGTGGCACTAGAGAATCTGAGAAGATAAGGATAAGGGTGACTTGGAAAGTACTGTTCGGAATGAACAGTAAATCCCCCCTTAACAGTTATTCTCTCCCTTTTTCTCTTGTATAATATGTCTCAGGTGCTTGTTTTTGTCTCCCCTATCTACCGTACCTCCCTGACTGCTTCATTGGGACACCTTCCTTTATGAAGCATTATATACAGAGAGTTACACTACACAGGAACACACGCTTGGCATATCTACAACCAAGCGTTCACCAGGGCATCAATAGCAGACGCTAATGAACAATTAGAACCTTCTCCCACGTTCATGTACCAGCTGGCCAGTACACAAGTGCCTCTCCAGGAACTCACAGCTGGCTCATCATCGTGTTTTATCAGCGGAACCCCAGGTCCCTGAGCTGCCTCTCGTGCTCTGCCAGCAGCGGCATTGGTGACCAATCGGGGTGGAGAGATATTCCAGACAAGTGTCTCCCCTGTAACGCGCGTAGCAGCTATCTCATCATCGTGTATCATCAGGGAGCCGCAGATCCCTGAGCTGCCTCTCGTGCTCTGGCAGCAACGGCGGTGGCGACCAATGAGGCAGGAGAGACGTTATCAGCTGGCCCATGAACGATCAGAAATGCCCCTCCCCAGTAACGCGTGTTGCAGCTAGCTCATCATCATGTACACAATCACAGAAGCCGCAAATCCCTGAGCTGCCTCTCGTGTTCCAGCAGCAGCAGTGGTGGCGACCAATCAGGAGGGAGGGACATTCCAGCCAAATCCTCCACGATATATTCCTTGGGAGGGGAGGGTATGAATGGAAAGAAGAGAGGAGGGGGGCAAGGAGGACGAGGAAGAACCACAGGCGGTGAACCACAGGCGGTGAACCACAGGCGGTGAACCACAGGCGGTGAACCACAGGCGGTGAACCACAGGCGGTGAACCACAGGCGGTGAACCACAGGCGGTGAACCACAGGCGGTGAACCACAGGCGGTGAACCACAGGCGGTGAACCACAGGCGGTGAACCACAGTCGGTGAACCACAGGCGGTTGCTAATATTTGTAGTATGGAAGTGAGCAAGTACCCGAGTAAGGATACTCTTAACGAGGACGTGATAGTGCTGTCGCTGACACATTTTGAGGCGCCTCAAAAGTTGGCAATACGGAAGTGGAAAGTTACCTGAGTTAGGATCCTCTTAGCAATGATGTGGTAGTGCCGCTGGCAAAGCCGCTGCACACCCAGAATTGAGACCAACAAGCAGTAAAACACCCCCACCAAAGCCAGCACGACCAATAGGATCGCGCCAGTTGTCACCAGGCAAACGAGCACTCCCTGACCAGTGCACATGCCAGGGTGGCAACAGCTGGTGCAGGAGCAGCAGCAGGGCTCCGGATGGCAGTCACAGCCACACACACTTGGAGGGGGGAACATGGGGGGGGGAAGGGCAGGAGAGACTTTTGAGTCGGCTCTAATGTCATCTCGTTACAATGTTGCAAAGCAGTTGCTACAGCGGGTGCGGGAGGAGGAGGAGGGGGAGCAGCAGGGTCCCGTGAAATATTCACAGCCACACACAATGAGCGGCGGGAAAATGGGGGAGAGGGCGGGAGAGAGGAGAGATGGAAGGCACGAGGAAGGGACAAAGTCACACGTTGCTGCGGTGGCAGCATTCGCCCAGGTCCCTACACGGAGATGGGAGGTCGCTGCAGGGAGATAGCAGGTCTATTTGTGAGGCATGCGGTCCCTCAAACGAACACTCACATGTTGCTGCGGTGGCAGCATTCGCCCAGGTCCCTGCATGGCGCTGCGAGGTTGCTGCGAAAGCGGCGGTCAACACACGTCATGATGGCACCAAAAAGGCCAGCGATGACAAGGACGAGCAACACGCCTGTTGGGGGGGAGAGATGAACAATAGGAGATGGTTCAGGGCGATTGAACAAGGAAGGGCGGGATGTGGGTGTGGGTGGAATCAACTGATAACTACAAGCTTCGGGCATCTACAGCAATCCCTCACTGCACAGGCATGTGCAGCACTCAGTGAACATGCCCGGCAGCACACACCACCACGTCACCGCACATTCCTGCCCGGCAGCACACACCACTGCGTCACCGCACATGCCTGCCTGGCAGCACAGAACACTCCCTCTCTCACCATAAACGTAAAACACCGTTGGTGCGTCTTGGCCCCATGCTTTTTGAATCCCCATGTCGAAAAAACAGTAATCCGCTAAGTATACAGCGCAGGCCAAACAGATAATCAGCTGGTGGATTGGCGGAAATTGAGGAGGGAAGAAGGGGGGTAATGGGAGAAGGGCGGGAGCAGTTCCCGGCGGGGAGAGTGAGGGAGTGAGTGAGAGAGCGAGTGAGAGAGGAGAGGAAGCCTTTTCTCCAGAGAGAGTGCATAAGCGAGCGTGCTGGGGTGTACGTGTGTACATGAGAGAGAGATTGAGTGAAAGTGTGTGTGAGAATGTAATAGTGTGTGAGAGCGAGAAAACAAAAACAGGAAACTTACCATCTGCTGCATCAGCAACGGTACGAGCACAATATCCCTTTTTGAAGTGCCTTCTGAGAAGTCTTTTGAGAATTCTTGTGAGAATTCTAGTGAGACGTCTCAAAGCACGTCTCAAAACAGGAGACTCAAACTCACCAGCTGCACCAGCAGCGTCACGAGCACAATATCCCTCGCGACAAAGAATCTGAACTTGAGATGGCGGAATCGCGGGTCGGGTGGCGGGCAAACGCGCAGGTGGAAGCGCGTCTTGCACGTGGAGCAGTGGCAGAAGGCGAAGCCCTCCTTGGTGGCCCGCCATTGGTCCAGACACGAACGGTGCACAAAACGCGCCGAGCCCTTGCATTTGCAGGGCGCGATGAGGTCGTCACCTGTTTGTGGGGGGAGGTGCGGGGGGGAGGTCGGGGGGAGGTGCGGGGGATGTGCGGGGGATGTGCGGGGGAGGCTACATATGCTGATTTCCTGAGTTGTACGGAGGCGGAAGGAACCTCAAATTCAGCCACCTGAGGCAGATTCGGCACTGCGGCTGGTCCCGCCCTGCCCCTCCTCTTCATCCCCGATCGTCACTTTCCCAGGAGGAGTCAGGCTTCTCCGCATAGCGGCATTGCTTGAGAACGGAGGTGCTATGGCAGCAACAAATCGCTTGTACGCACCGTCACTTTCAAGGCAGATGCGGCACTGCGGTTGGTCCTCGTCCCCCGCCTCCTCTTCATCCCCCATCGCCACCTTCCCAGGAGGAGTCAGGCTCCGCACAGCGGCATTGATTTCCAGAGGTATGGTCGAGACGTATGATCCTGCTGCATCCCCGCTTTTAATTAGCGGAGTTAATTCGTCAAAATCAACAACCGAATGTTCGTTTTCCGTCCCTAGTATGCTTCTTCTCATGTCGGCATCTTCAGACGGTTCCCCTTTCATCTCTCTCGAGTCGCCACGCAATGTATCGGACGGTTCAAGCAGAAGCCGCTAACGAATGGACGGCGGAGATCTATCGACGGTTCTATACACGGCCTCCCGTGTTTCCCGCTGCTGCGGCGAGCTCACGATTTCCCACGCCGCGAACTGACGGAAAGGCGTAGCTATTGCGAGTCGCGACGCTACTAGATCTCGTTACAGGAGCACTAGATCATCTAGGTCTCGTTACAGGACCATGCAGCAGCTCGGTATTGACTTGTTTTAAAAAGACGACGGCCGCGAGTTGACTCCTCCGTTCGTAGAGCCATGGGATGGGAGCCAGAAAGAGCAGTCAGGACTCGCGATTCGGGAACGAGTGCGGTCGGTCGGAAGGTGGGAGTGACTGCCCGAGGAGCGAAGTCAAGTAAGTCACTCCTGCCAGTCCCACCCGTCGGAAGGAAGGTGGGAATGGATGTGGGTCTGGCTGGCTGCTTCCATCCATGGCTGGGTGGGAGGTGACTCTTGCCCGAGCTGAGTTGGAAGGACGAGTGCTGTGCTGTCCATTCACAGTCCTAACTTCTATTCAGACCGAACCCGTTCTTGATCGCGATTCACCTCAATGCAAGTAAATGTAGCGCTTCTGACAGTCACCAAGCAGCTAACTTCGCTCACGAGTCGCGACACCAACGATGTCGGCGGCACAAGAGGAATTTCCCAGTCAGAACCAATGGCCGAACGCTGATCCGCCAGGCAGGTGTGGCGAAAGCGGGAACATGATTCCTGAAATTTGAGGAAAGCGATTGATTGTAACACAGCCCACAAGGAAAATGCTGCACTGATATTCATTCAAATCATATTCAGTGTTGGTTATCTAAACCAAGACATACATGTTTGACTTTTTCTCCCTCGCACCCTCTTTCTCTTGCTGAATAAATCCAGATGTACTACATCATGTTACTGGTGTTTCTAATACCGGCATTTGCACACCCACGCATTCCTAAGGGAAATGAAGCTAGAATGGTGAGATACAGCAGAATGTCCAGTGTTTTCCATATGGCCAACACTCCCCATCGGAACCTTTCTCCAACCCATCTATCCTCTCACTATCTACACAACCTTCCTCAACCCATCTAGTCTTTCACTATTTACATGGGCATATATGGTAACTACCGGTACATGCATGATGATTCGGTGCTCCACACGGGGAGCTGCGGCTCCCTGGGACAGCCAGACCCCACAGTACCACCTACGCTTTACCACATACAGGTAGTATAATACTCCGCAGTTTTCTATGTTTACTGTTCTGGCTCATCCAAACCAACATCTCAGGGCACTCCTCCATGATGACCCCAGTGCCTTGCCTCGAACACTGCCGCTCCCGGGGCTGTCAAACCCCCAGCATCACCTTAGCTCTACAAGCATAGAATTATATTCCACCATGTGCGTTGCATCTATGGCAGGCTCTGGCTCATCCAATCCAAAAGCCCAGGGCACTCCGCCATGATGTCCACAGTGCTCCACGAGGGGGGCTGCTGCTCCCTGCCGCTCCCAGGCACTCCCGTGGCACACTGAGCCAGGGAAACAAATGTACCAGCAGGTGGGATCGCAACAACGAAACGAACACATCAGCAGGTGCATTGGCAAAGAGAATGGGCATCTGATGTTGTCTGAAAGGGCAGTCAGGTTTGTCAGTGCTACATTAAGCCAAGAAGATGAACAGAGTAGTAGCTGGGGTGGCACGGGTGAGTAAATGACTTGGCAATGCTTGATGCACGCAGACTGTGGAACAAAGAAGGCGAGGCTTCTCAGCTAGGGGACCATTACAGTGAGAGTTGATGTTTTGGTGGAATTCTGCTTGACATCTGACCACGCAAGCAGTGAATGTGACACTGAAACGTCGTAGGGTGATAGTGACGGTGACGGTGACGACGTTCCAATGTCACATTCACACTGCTTGACATCAGACCACGAAAGCAGCCCTTGACATGGGCTGGTACATTTCACGAGACACGTACGTGATGGTGTGTGATGGTCAGAGTGAGTGACTGCTAACAATTATGCATGCATGCTGTCCTATGGCATGCTATCACATGATAACACGGACATTACCACAACAACCGCTGCCCGCACAGTTCAAGAACCAAGTTCCCACTTCATACCTTGAGCTCGTGCTGCCATGCAACCGGGCAAAACTCAATCTCATTCGTCCGCCGCCCGCCTCCCTGCTTGTACTCGATCCCATCCACTCGTGCAAACTTCCACACTCTCCCACCCACCACTGCCTTCCGTATAGTCACATGCCGAACCGCACACACTTGGAACCTTCTGCTTCGGTCGCTCTGCCCGCTGATCTCTCCAAACCCCCTACTGACGCCATCACACCCGCTGCCACTATAAGCAAGGGATGAAGAATCATAGCCTTCAGTCATGTGAGCTGGAATGTGCAGTCCTCCTGGTGTCCATGAATCAATTTGTGAAAAATCCGGAATCCTCTTTATTGCAGCGTCTAGCTCATCCTGTATGGGGGCCCAAGACAGTGCGTCAGATTGTTAGGAGAACAGTAAACGCCGACATTGCGAATCAAGTTTGAGTCCGAGCATGCGCATTCGTTGTAGAATCTCTCTGGAGCTGAACGTAAATGCTTACAGTTACCTTCACAACAATGTTTCGCTGTTTGCATGCATGCATATGCTACTTACATCATGCATATGCCACTGAGGCACACATGCATGCATAAGCCATTTACATGCATGCACATGCCACTCACAACCATCCACACACATGCTCACATCCATGTGTGCCCCACTGAAAGATGCGTGCATCCGCCACTCACATGCATGCAAATACCACTCGCTTGCATGCATATGCGACTCACGTCCAGCGTATTCAAGTGTGTTTCTGTGAACAGAATCAGGCGAGCATCCACGTCCTTCTCAGGCCGTGCTATGTCAATTACTGCGTAACGCAGAGGTAGCTTCTTCACCTGAATCCACAGAAACAGTCAACAACCACTACAATCATATTCAAGACATTGCATTTAGTGATAGGCCAGAATTTTAGGCAGAATTTTAAACTGGGAAAGTAACGCACCCACTCTCTCAGCTAGTCCCACCTTTTTCACATGAAATTGTCGCTCCTCTGCAAGATATCTACACACCACCTTATAACGAATGCGTGCCTCGGAATCAATCACCTGAACACGCATAAAGAGCACAAATCAATCATACATGCCACCCCCTTCTAGACATGCACTCAAGCGACAGCCAGCATGAGTACCTGAATGTTGTACTTCTTACTAGATGTGTTCAGAGCAGCCGTCTGGCATGCCTCACCAGCATCCTTTATGAGCATATCTTCCAGTTTGCTGTAGATGCTGTCAGGAACGTGCGTCTCAAAGGTCCGGTGAATTGGGACCTTGAACCGTGCTCGCTTGTTCATGTGGTTTTCCAGCGTTTGAGCAGAGAAGGATGGAAGCCTGGACAGCGACTCCCTGGAAAGCGGAATAAAGAAACAAACATACACAGAAAAACAGAGACTGTTCTTGAGGCTCCTCACACATTGAGCAGAGAACGGGCTAGATATCTATTATAAAGAATGAATTGAAGGACCTCAATTCAGCAACTAAAGAAAGCATTCCCGTCTCCAAAATCTATCGTTACTGATGTTCACGGGATCAAGGTGGAAAACAGCAAGGACCGAAGAAGAAAAAGCATTAGTGGTGCAAAATGCACGAGAAATAACAGGACATGTTTTCATCAAGGACGTCCAACAGGTCACACTAACCCGGGCCTGTGCTGAACTGAGAATAGCAATTTGCCGAGCCGAACCAGGAGCTTCACCTTCTCGATCTCGCCACAATCACCAGCACCTCCCACCTCCAGAGCACGCTGCTCAATTCTCTCTCGAACCAGATTCAAAGAACCAGTCAGAGGATTGCGAATCTCATTGATAAGTGGGGCCTCTTCTGGACTCTCCTCGTTCCCCCTGCTATTCTCGCAGGTCTCCCCATTCAAACCTGCAAGATTTCCGCTCTCCTCGCTGTCAACATCCTCACCGCAATCATGATCATATCTAGCTAGATTGCTATTCCTTTTAGACAGCCAATTTTCAACATTTCCCTGGAATGGGGCCTTGGCAAGCACAGCAAGAAGAGTATATCCCAAATGGGGGTAACACTGGTTGCGAAATTCTCTAAAAAGAAGGGAAACCCTCTGGTCCGGCGTGAGAATAAGATCGCCGGCCTTCTTATCTTCGTAATCGTCCACGAGTGCTAGTAACCGGACGTCGCTGGAATGGTAAATGGGACGTTTGGATCTGAGCATTAGTGGAATCGGCCTTCGACAGTCTCGGTCAGTCATGATAGAAAAAAGGCGCGACAAATCTCTTGCGAGGACTACTCCTCCGTCCCGATGCGTAAAAGAAAGGAGACGAGCTTCGTGAAGCTAAGCTGTTATGTGTTGGGCAGAAGAGGGTTCTACTGTCAACATCGTTTTCCTGAATTGCTTCATGTAAAAAACTACCACGGATGCAATGAGGAAACCCAAGAGCGTCTATTCCGAGTCCCTCTCGCCATACTGGATCTCGGAAACGCACAGCATACGCGCTTTGCTGTCTGTTCGCAGTTCTCAATGCGTGTCGACGTGATCATCAGGCCTCACCTCGAAATGTTCTTGCTTCGTGCATATCGTGCCGCCATGCTTATTGTACGAGACAGCTGTTCAGGATTGGGAGGGAGTAGTAAAAATTCAGTGCACCAGCATAGGAAGAGATGGTCGTTCTGTAGTGTAATCAAGGCATTTTGCCTTGCAGTGTAATCTTGCCTTGTAGGAATCCAGGATTCCGTAAGGGCGGGGGCAGCGCGTTCATTTTCTTGGCTTAGCCCGAAACAGTTACCAGATTCAGCGGTTTGTAACCCTGATTTAGAGTAACGAGTGGACACGACGGAGTATACAGTGGATGAACGGTGGCTGTTTTCCGTGCCGTCAACCAGCCGCGAACAACACGCGCATCATTCGAGAATGCCTGTGTGCAGGTCAGCGAAACCGCACCACGAGTTCGTCAAGCGCGTACGACCCTCGCAAATTCATGGGTTCACAAATACAGCTTCGTACTGCGCCCCGTCACCAGATCCACTAGCACAGGGTTACCTCATTGGGTGGGCGGTTGGGCAAAAGTGTGGCGGGACCTGTGCCTAATTCTGGACGCGCGTGTCCCACCTGGGACACAAACTAAGCGCGGTGCAAAAATGCTACAGTATTTTCCTGATTCGACGGGCGTCAAAATTTTGGAAAAGTGGAGAAAATGAACGCGCTGCCCACGCCCTAAGCAAGAATCTGTCACCTAGGGTCGCGGTCGTCCCAATCGCTTTCTCAACCCATCCAACCTCCCTGCACCGAACCGTAGCTTACCGTATCACACCCAATTGTGCTCAAGTCCTGAAGTGTTGGGCCTTGTTTGGCATGACATGCCCCACGCTTCAGGTGTGACGGTGACGATTGCCAAGCGGTGGGAATAAACAGATTTCGCTATAAGCGGAAAGCGTGCTGGTTCAGCAGCAAAGGATGCTAGGAAACAAAAATGCCACAGGAAACTAATGTTTTCTAGAAAAACTCCAATCATACCAACAAGCCCGCTTTTAACACACTCGAGCGACCGAGATCACATTGCTGTTGACATCCAATCCCTGCCCTGCTAAACTCTTTCACCCATGGGTGCAGGTAGCGTACCAAGCAAGGGACATTGCTCCCCTATCACGTCCCCCATCTATACTGCTTGCTGAATCTATGGAAGGTACTTGCTCAGCCACGACAACAACCCAGGGCACTCCGCCATGATCTCCTCTGTGGTCCACGCAGGGGGCTGCTGCCCCCTGGGACTGCCATGCCCATCGTGGCCACCCTAAGGTCGGGGGAATAAGTGCATCAGCAGGTGGGATAGAAAGCGGGAATGAGGATGTGATGTGACAATGAACTGCTGCTGATATACATGTCACCGTGTACCATGTCTGCAGCCATGCATGCATCTTCTGGTGAACCAAGGACACCAGAAACAGAGAATCTATGATGGATATTAGTCCCCCCTTCAGCAGGATGCATGCTCCTGCTGCCATGCAACCGGGCAGAGCTCAATCTCATGCGTATGCCGCCCGACTCCCTCCTTGAACTCAACCCCATCCACACAACACAGCCTCCACACCCGCCCTCTCCCCACTGCCTTCCGCACGGTCACATGCCAAACCAGCTTCGTACCTTGAGCTGCTGCTGCCATGCAACCGGGCAGAGCTCAATCTCATTGGTCCGCCGCCCGCCTCCCTCCTTGAACTCAACCCCATCCACACGAGCCAGCTTCCACACCCGTCCTCTCCCCTCTGCCCGCCTCGTTGTCGCGTGCCGCACCGCTCGCACTACGAACCTGCTGCTCCCACCCCCAACACCACCACCACCATAGCCCCTAGTACTGGCATAGCCCATGCCAGCACCACCACCATAGCCCCTGCTTCCATGGGATTCAGTCATGTGAGCTGGAATGCGCAGCCCTCCAGGACTGTGATGGTCAATTTCGGTGGCGTCGAGAATCCTGTCAAGTGCCACTTGCAGCTCATCCTAGAAGGAACGGAAGGGGAGGAGGGGGGGGGGAGGAATGGGGGAATGTGGACAGTTAGGTCAAACAGGGATGTAGGAAAAGAGTGAGTCGTGTTTTCTTGTGTAAGCTGGTATGCGCCGCGCTGCTCTGGGTTGCTTGGGGTAGCTTTCGAAATTTCTCAAAAGTCGCTGCCCTGGTTCACGTTGGAATCAACGGTCGAATCTGCATGTGGTTTTTTAGACTTCTCAAAAACCAGCTGCAATCATGCTGGGGGGGACTGGGGATTGTTGGGTGGAGGGAGAAGGGGTTGGTGCCTTGGTGGTACTTACGTCCATTCTTGTCAGATGTGTCTCGGTGATGAGGATCAAGCGAGCATCCACAACCCTGTCTGGGCGTGCAATGTCAAACAATGCGTGCCGAACAGGCGGTGCTTACATCTAGCGTTGACAGATGCGTCTCGGTGATAAGGATCAAGCGAGCATCCACAACCTTGTCAGGGCGTGCAATGTCAAACAATGCGTGCCGAACAGGCGGTGCTTACATCTAGCATTGACAGATGCGTCTCGGTGATGAGGATCAAGCGAGCATCCACAACCCTGTCAGGGCGTGCAATGTCAAACAATGCGTGCCGAACAGGCGGTGCTTACATCTAGCGTTGACAGATGCGTCTCGGTGATGAGGATCAAGCGAGCATCCACAACCCTGTCAGGGCGTGCAATGTCAAACAATGCGTGCCGAACAGGCGGTGCTTACATCTAGCGTTGACAGATGCGTCTCGGTGATGAGGATCAAGCGAGCATCCACAACCCTGTCAGGGCGTGCAATGTCAAACAATGCGTGCCGAACAGGCGGTGCTTACATCTAGCGTTGACAGATGCGTCTCGGTGATGAGGATCAAGCGAGCATCCACAACCTTGTCAGGGCGTGCAATGTCAAACAATGCGTGGCGAACAGGCGGTGCTTACATCTAGCGTTGACAGATGCGTCTCGGTGATGAGGATCAAGCGAGCATCCACAACCCTGTCAGGGCGTGCAATGTCAAACAATGCGTGGCGAACAGGCGGTGCTTACATCTAGCGTTGACAGATGCGTCTCGGTGATGAGGATCAAGCGAGCATCCACAACCTTGTCAGGGCGTGCAATGTCAAACAATGCGTGGCGAACAGGCGGTGCTTACATCTAGTGTTGACAGATGCGTCTCGGTGATGAGGATCAAGCGAGCATCCACAACCCTGTCAGGGCGTGCAATGTCAAACAATGCGTGCCGAACAGGCGGTGCTTACATCTAGCGTTGACAGATGCGTCTCGGTGATGAGGATCAAGCGAGCATCCACAACCCTGTCAGGGCGTGCAATGTCAAACAATGCGTGCCGAACAGGCGGTGCTTACATCTAGCGTTGACAGATGCGTCTCGGTGATGAGGATCAAGCGAGCATCCACAACCCTGTCAGGGCGTGCAATGTCAAACAATGCGTGGCGAACAGGCGGTGCTTACATCTAGCGTTGACAGATGCGTCTCGGTGATGAGGATCAAGCGAGCATCCACAACCTTGTCAGGGCGTGCAATGTCAAACAATGCGTGGCGAACAGGCGGTGCTTACATCTAGTGTTGACAGATGCGTCTCGGTGATGAGGATCAAGCGAGCATCCACAACCCTGTCAGGGCGTGCAATGTCAAACAATGCGTGGCGAACAGGCGGTGCTTACATCTAGCGTTGACAGATGCGTCTCGGTGATGAGGATCAAGCGAGCATCCACAACCCTGTCTGGGCGTGCAATGTCAAACAATGCGTGGCGAACAGGCGGTGCTTACATCTAGCGTTGACAGATGCGTCTCGGTGATGAGGATCAAGCGAGCATTCACAACCCTGTCAGGGCGTGCAATGTCAAACAATGCGTGCCGAACAGGCGGTGCTTACATCTAGTGTTGACAGATGCGTCTCGGTGATGAGGATCAAGCGAGCATCCACAACCCTGTCAGGGCGTGCAATGTCAAACAATGCGTGCCGAACAGGCGGTGCTTACATCTAGCGTTGACAGATGCGTCTCGGTGATGAGGATCAAGCGAGCATCCACAACCCTGTCTGGGCGTGCAATGTCAAACAATGCGTGCCGAACAGGTGGTGCTTACATCTAGCGTTGACAGATGCGTCTTGGTGATGAGGATCAAGCGAGCATCCACAACCCTGTCAGGGCGTGCAATGTCAAACAATGCGTGGCGAACAGGCGGTGCTTACATCTAGCGTTGACAGATGCGTCTCGGTGATGAGGATCAAGCGAGCATCCACAACCCTGTCAGGGCGTGCAATGTCAAACAATGCGTGGCGAACAGGCGGTGCTTACATCTAGCGTTGACAGATGCGTCTCGGTGATGAGGATCAAGCGAGCATCCACAACCCTGTCTGGGCGTGCAATGTCAAACAATGCGTGGCGAACAGGCGGTGCTTACATCTAGCGTTGACAGATGCGTCTCGGTGATGAGGATCAAGCGAGCATCCACAACCCTGTCAGGGCGTGCAATGTCAAACAATGCGTGGCGAACAGGCGGTGCTTACATCTAGCGTTGACAGATGCGTCTCGGTGATGAGGATCAAGCGAGCATCCACAACCCTGTCAGGGCGTGCAATGTCAAACAATGCGTGCCGAACAGGCGGTGCTTACATCTAGCGTTGACAGATGCGTCTCGGTGATGAGGATCAAGCGAGCATCCACAACCCTGTCTGGGCGTGCAATGTCAAACAATGCGTGCCGAACAGGCGGTGCTTACATCTAGCGTTGACAGATGCGTCTTGGTGATGAGGATCAAGCGAGCATCCACAACCCTGTCAGGGCGTGCAATGTCAAACAATGCGTGGCGAACAGGCGGTGCTTACATCTAGCGTTGACAGATGCGTCTCGGTGATGAGGATCAAGCGAGCATCCACAACCCTGTCTGGGCGTGCAATGTCAAACAATGCGTGGCGAACAGGCGGTGCTTACATCTAGCGTTGACAGATGCGTCTCGGTGATGAGGATCAAGCGAGCATCCACAACCCTGTCAGGGCGTGCAATGTCAAACAATGCGTGGCGAACAGGCGGTGCTTACATCTAGCGTTGACAGATGCGTCTCGGTGATGAGGATCAAGCGAGCATCCACAACCCTGTCAGGGCGTGCAATGTCAAACAATGCGTGCCGAACAGGCGTTGCTTACATCTAGCGTTGACAGATGCGTCTCGGTGATGAGGATCAAGCGAGCATCCACAACCCTGTCTGGGCGTGCAATGTCGAATAGCGCATGGCGAACAGGCGGCTTCTTCACCTGCACTCACAACCACGAGAGCATCACAGACATGAACCTCCCTTTTGAGCATCATGTGAGGTTGCATTGCAGAGAATCAACACGGGCACCATGGAGAAGAAGGGAATTACTGAACAGTAGTGAGCACATTGAGAATGGTTCCAATTCCAACAACAGGAGTGAAGAGTGCTGCGAAAACGTTCTACATGGTCATGAACCATCCATCGTCCCCCTGTTGCGTGTGTGCTACCTATGCGTACACCAGCCACTTCACCTTTTTCACGATCAAGCGCTGCTCATGAGCGCTGTGCTTGCAGACTGCCTTGTAAACGATATGCTCCCTCGTGTCCACCACCTGAAAATTGATATGCAATCAGTGATTGGCACAGCCAGAACAGAACAACCAGCGTTCAGGCTGCCTGGGGGTAAACTCGTCTTGCTCAAGTCTGATAAGAGCCTCATAACGAGTCTCCAGTCTGACTCCATGCTGCTGCTGCAGTGCACGAATGCACCTCCACATTTGGGAATCAAATCTATTTAAGGCGCCTCAAAAGCCTGTCTTTCAGCGCTGCCGTGCTAGCAGGAACAATCAGAGCCAAGACTCAAAAGTGACTCACCCGCTTTCAACCAACCTGCACTGACGTAAATGACGTATTTCTCCCCCAGTGAGTGCGCCACCTGCCCATCCCCCAGCAGCATATCCTCCATTTGCTGGTATGCACTCTCCTCGAGGTGGCTCATATGTCCAGAATCACCTAAAAAAAATAAACCTCAACCGCTCTCAACCACTCTGAAACGAACTCCACCACTGTCAACCGTTCTCAACCGCTCTCAACCGACCTGAATGTTGTACTTCTCCCCCAGCGAGTGCGCCACCTGCCCATCCTCCAGCAGCATGTCCTCCACCTGCTGGTATGCAGTCTCCGGCAGGTGGCTCTCATAGGTTCGGCACACTGGCTTTGCGAACGGCGCACGCTCGTTCATGTGGTCTTCAAACTTCTTGGCTGAGAACGGAGGGATGTTGGCCAGAGTAGCGCTGGGACTGGGGAAGTGGGGAGGGGGGGAAGAGGGGAGGGGAAGGAGGAGAAAGGAAGGGGAGAGGGAGCGGGAGGAGAAGGGAAGTGGGGAGGGGAGGAAGGGGGAAGGGGGAACGGGGAAGGGGGAAAAATGGAGCCTTGAATAAAAGATTCAGCCGAGCTTGAAGGCAAGATGCACAAGGATCCTGGGTCTATATGCATCACTATGAGCAGTAGGGGCGAAACACCTTTCAAGGACGAGCTGGCCATGACGAAACAGCTTGAAAGAACGAGGAATCTCAGCAGAGAACGGACAAAGTGCAGCACTGCAAGCACTGCACTCACTGACCTGCTGCACTGCAAGCACTGCACTGCACTGCACTGCACTGCACTGCACCGCACAGCACTCACTCCGGCCTGCCTTGCACGGAAAAAAGAAGCTTCCCCAGCCGCACCAGCAGCTTCACCCGCTCCATCCCGCCCTGCGCACGCCCTCCCCCTCCGCCGAGAATTAGCGCGCGACGCTCGAGCTTCTCGCGAACCGCGTCGAGCACTTCACTGAGGGGATGCCGAATCGCGTCGTACAGCTCCGGCTCGCGCGGCCGCCTGGCGCCGCCTCGCCCCGGCGACTCCCCACCGCTGCCCTCGCTATCGCCGTACTCGTTATAAGCTTCTTCGGTCTCGGGATCGTACTCTTCCCAATCGTCCTCGCTATAGCTCCAAGAGACAACACTCCCGACGTTCCCGAGGCCGGCGCCGTGAATCGCGGCCTTGGAGAGGACCGCCATGCGCCTATTGCGGAGATGTAGATAGGTCTGGCTATCGAACGGCTTGAACTCAAGCGAAAGGCGCTGATCGCGCGTCAATCCGACGGCTCCAGTCTTGCGATCCTCGTAGTCGTCCACGAGGGTGACCACCTTCGCGTCGCGAGCGTGCGCGACGCGCCCGCCGCTACCGCCGCCGCCGCTGCCGGCTGCTGGCGTCGATCGCGGCCTTCGCGCTCCCCACTGCGACATGCTGGTGATGAAGAGACCCTTGAGTCTTTTTTGTCGACTCAGAAGGAATGACTTGAGCAATGACAGGAACCCGACAACGGAAGCTGAGGTGATGATGGTGCTGGTGCTGAAGATGAAGAGAACGGAGGAAGGCCCCTCAACGAGCTCAAGATGATGTTGCTAAAGAAAGAGAGACTTATCGAGCGGGACTCAGGTCGGCCAAAGCACGGGACGAAGCGCAGGGGTTGCCAAAACAAATTGGTACGTCGACGTTCTGGCGCGGCTCGATCGGGATTCCTGGCCAGAGCGCCATGGCCAGCCGAACCGCCATGAGCGACAGGCATGTCGTTTCGGGCCCCGGGGGCTTCACAATGCAACTGCGACTCGTCGTTCTGGTGCTCTATGAATTGAGGTCGACGAATTGCAGTCGACGATTTTCAGTCGCAGTTGCTGAGAGGACTCGCGGAAAACTGCACCGCATGCGCGGTGCGGTACATGATTGTCGCTCTTGCTGTCCAGGACGAGTTCTTACCGAGCCGTAAGACGTAAGGCGGGAGGTATGCGTGGTAAGACTCTGTCTAGCGCGTGAGCGTTGTTGTAAGAATGTGGGACGGATATGGGCACGGTGCGTCAGGATCATTGCACAAAGAGGAGTATTCCATTCTGCACTGTTTGCTGTGAAGCATGGTGGGACTGGCAGCCTTGCATAGTCGCTTGGTCGTAGACGCGTCGCGTGTCCTCCTGCGGAATCGCGCATGGTGGGACAATAAGGCGAGAGCAATGCGTGGTTTGGGAGCAGCCCTCGGACTACTCTCCAGATAAGGTGATCCGTTACGTCCACCAAGCATTAACGACAGATAAGTTGGAGAATCAAAGTATGACCGTCCAACGTTCTCTAGATTGTTGTATATGTTACTAGGAATGAGACTAGAAGTGCACCTTACCCAGTTTTAGATTATCATTAGATCCATTATGACTTCTAAACGAACAAAATGCATGATTGTTTACGTCATACCTGAATGCTTTTGTGTCTTCATATATTCTTTTGTTCTGTTGGATTTTAATCACTAAAGAAATGCACCGCAATTGCAGTCGTGACGTGACTGATTCCTTCTTCTATCGAGGAATCGCGTCTGGAATGGAAATCTCAGGTGTTGCCCGTATCCTGTCAAGCCGCCTTGGAGCCCCCACACGAGGCGCGAGGGCGCAAACGAACAAATCTCTTGTCGCCACGTGCTCAGCGCCTCGATAAGCAACGCCGCCTTCGCGGGTCGTCACTAGCCCTTGCACCAGAAATTCGTCAGCGTACGAAGTCGTCGCCACCAATGAGAGACAACGTAGATGGTTATTTCGACACAAACACACGTTCCACAAACACATCTCGACCGTCTGTTATTTCGCCAATAAGAATCTTCTTTCGCACAAATCTGCGGCTTGCTCTCCCAGCTTTCAACTGCAAATCCCCCCACCTAGCGCTCACTCGCAGAATGCCGCCACACGCGCCAACTGCATTCCATGTGCTCCCGCAATTCGCCCCCCTTTTCATGCCCTCGCGCCGTAGTCTCCTCCGCCCCGTCCTTATCCCCTCCCCTTCCCACCCCTCGTTCCCTACTATCGCCGTCTGCTGACGCATGGCGGATGGTTGCACTCCTCCCAGATCTAGGCTGCTGCAGATTTGACCTCCCTCCCAGCACATTTGCTAACGTCGGGCTACTCGCCTTGCTTCCTGTGTTCCCCCATGCGAGGCTTGGAGTGGACGATGCGACATCAACCACCAAGTCTTCATGCGTCATTACCAATAGGCATTCAATTCCTCTACGTGCTGATTTACCGTAGCTTTGCCCATTGTGAATGCGCCCCCTTCCGAAGCTGTGAGCCGTCTAGCTGTTTCTGGCAATGGGATTCAGCCCTGGCAGATACACTCACAACCTGCGGTCCCAGTACTCGAATTGGAAAAGAAAATAAAAAACCGACCAAAAATGGTGGATTGAGACGTGAAATTCCGAAATTCCGAAAATCTTAGGCGCCTTTGAACTCAAAAGCTGCTTCACTTGCGCGCCTCATCGACCTACCAGGGGCACGGGAGGATTTCCTAGCGTTAGCGTCATTTCTGTAGCCCCTTTTTTAATTCGCCGGTTATAAGAAACAGAGAGCGACCCGCTGAAATAGTAGGCTGTAGCTAGGAAAGAGGAAGCGGCGGCCAGCATGGCCGACAGGAAAGAGGGACACGCGGGCGGTCTGGATTGCAGCAGTCGAGCGAGAAGAGGCGACGAGAGCAGCAGCAGCGACAGCAGCAGTAGCTATGGAAGCAGCCATGGCAGTCTCGCCGTTGCAGACGCCGCTGTCGCCGCCGCCGCCGCCGATGCCGAATCCGCAGCCGCCGAATTCGCCGCCACAGTCATCACCAGCGCCGCTGGTTCTGAAACCGACGCGCTTCTGTCTTTCGGCGCGTCATCCAGCGATCCGTCAACTCCTCGCGACGATTTTTCATCAACTCCAGGCGAATCACCCTCTCCGTCCCCGCCCTCGCCGCAGTTCGCGGTGAGCGACGCGGCGCAGCCGTGGTCTAGGACAGGTGGCGCAATGGCATTGGACGCCGCGAGGCTGATTCAGCAGGTCGGGATGCAGCAGCTCATGCGCCGCCGGCAGTCGCCTCGTCGAGCCTCAGCTCCGGAACAGGTCCGGCCCGAACCTATCCCTGCACCGCTCATTTCTGCTTTTGTTCGTTCATTTCCACAAACCAGCTTCATATTTTACACACATTTTTATCATTGACACTATCGTTTGTTTGTTTCCCCATTTTCAGCTGCCCGATCCGCAACCTAGCACGTGGGCATATTCCCGCCCCGTGGTCATTCTCGACGCGTTTTGGAACCTCGCCTTCGTTGTAGTCACGGCCATCACGCTCTTTATAAGCCAGGCGCGCAACGAGCGCCCGCCCGCACCGCTGTCCATCTGGTTACTCGGTTACGCCGTGCAATGCGCCGTACACGTGATCTGCGTCCTGCTGGAGCACGAGCGGCGGGATAGCCGGCGCGCAAGGGGGCAGCGGGAGCAGCGCAGGGGGAGGAGGCGGGGGCGGGGGCGGGGGAGGGGGAGGGGGGGGAGGCGCGTACGGGGAGAGCGGAGGGATAGGGAGAGAGGGAGGGAGATAGAGAGGGGGAGCGATGGGGCGAACGGGGGGGACGGGAGCGTGAATGGGGAGAGGGATGGAGAAGGGGAGGCAGCGGAGGATGGGGAAGGAACACGTTTTGATGTGTCGCTGCCGGATGGGGGGAACGGGGACCAGGGGGGAATAGGGGGGAGCGGGGGTGGCGGAAGATATGCGGGTAGGGCATGCAGCCGGAGCGAAAGGGAGGGAGAAGAGGAGTTTCTCTCCGTTCTACGCAGGAGGGACGCGGGCAGAGTGGCGACTCTAGACGAAGCAGCTTCTGTGCTTATAACGGGACGGGCTCATACATTGGACAGGGAAGTGCGGGAGGGGGAGGCACTTGAAGGGCTTCTGGGGGAGGAGAGGGCGGGCGGGGAGGATGGGAGGGGGGATGGGAGGGGGGATGTTAGGGGGGATGCGCAGGCAAGGAGGGTGGGGAGGAGAATGATGGGTGATGAAGGATCGACGGTGGATGATGAAGAGATGATGGTGGGAGATGCGGATGAAGGTGAATCGGACGACTCAGATCAGAGGTGAGCAAGTCAGTAAGTGTGTTTGGCTGAGCCACAGGAGGTAAGAAGAAGTGTGGCTCTCATGGAACAATGCGTTCCGTTCGATGACTTTGTCTCATGCCTTTCCCCCTCCCTCCCACTCACCCTTTTCCAGCCTCGCACGGCGCATAGAGTCAGCCAACACAATGTTCTCCTTCGCCTGGTGGCTCGTCGGCTTCACGTGGATTCTCTCCACCATCGACGATTCCTTCAAAGACGCGCCCATCCTCTCCTGGTGAGACTCCCTCCTAGTGAGACCCCCTCCTGGTGAGACCCCCTCCTGGTGAGACCTTCAAATGAACACACACATCACATGCCCATCCTCGCATGGTGGCTCATGGTCGTCGCTTCACGTGGATTCTCTCCACCATCGACGGCTCCTTCAAAGGCGCGCCCGTCCTTTTCTGGTGAGATTCATGCCCTCCGCTCATATGCTTGACGTACCCGTCTTTGAAGGTCTTCAGGAGCAGCAGACTGCTTTCACCGCTGCCCTTATCTCGTCACCTCAGCGTTTCTCATCCTCCCCACTCCACCTCCCCACACCCTCGCATCACCACACCAGGGCAACCACGGCCTTCCTGGCGTTTGACGTGTTCTTTGTCGTCTTCTGTGTGGCTGTGGCGTGTGTTGTGGGCATGGCCGTGTGCTGCTGCCTGCCCTGCATCATCGCTCTCATCTATGCAGTCGCAGACCAGGCAAGTACCATGACTGAGCAGGCAGCTCAATGTTCTGGACTGGGGTGAGTTTAGGATTGAGGTGAGTGAATGTGGTGAGTGAATGTGATGAGTGAGAGCCAGATGAGTACATCGTGGGAAGAGGCATCCGTTGCTGCATCATTTGTAAGATTTTGACAGGAGTAAGTGTATCAACCAACCTCGTTTGCCCTCACCTCCTCTTATTTCTTTGTCCTCATGCCGTGCTGCTCTTTTCCCAGGAAGGAGCTACTCGGGAGCAGATCGAGGCACTGCCCAAGTTCAAGTTCTACCGCCAACGCACCGCTGCCAGCCACAACTCTTCACAAGCCAGCAGCATCTGTCCCTTCCACTCCTGCTCCTCCTCCTTCCGCCTCTCCTCGTCTCCCCCCCTCTCCTCCTCCACCTCGTTCTCCTCCTCTCCGGCCACCCAAACCGCCCCCTGCCCCTGCTGCTCCTCCTCCGCCTTTGCCGGTGCCATGTGGCGCAACGCGGTTGGCTTAGCTGCTGGGCTCTGGAGGCGGGCAGGCCGGGCAGGTGGAAATAACAGCAGCATCCGAAATTCTCCAAGTGGCGATGGGCTGGACGTCCGTGTGACGGTTGAGGAAGAGACAGGTGGCGTCATGTCATTGGTTGGTTCGGCCCATCCGCCAAGGCAGAGGCATGTGGAGGCGGAGGATGCGGAGTGCTGTGTGTGCCTTGTGAGGTATGAGGATGGGTGTGTGTTACGGGAGTTGCCATGCTCGCACCACTTCCACGCGGCGTGCATCGATAAGTGGCTCAAGTCGCACCCGACATGCCCGCTATGCAAGCGTGATGTTACTAAGGGTGTGGGCAAGTCAGCATCACCGAACACGCCGCCAAGTTCATTCTCTGCTGGAGGATCGATCGAAGAGACGTTTGAAAGCACTCCAGCGCCAAGTGGGGGGCCATAAATAAGAGATTCGGAACTATCAGTCGGAAATCTATGTGGTAGCTTTCACGTTGGTTTTAATAGGCTCACGAAGGAGGCGTATATGAAGCGCATGTTTGCTTGAAAATTATGCATGAAGTCTCCATCGAAAGTACCGAAACTCTACATTTTGTTTCTTACTGTAAAACGTAGGCAAGCACACAACAAGGCGGTTGCCGTACCTTGCGGAACTCGTAGCGAACCGCTTGAACTTGAAGGGGCCTTGCTGCAGGACCTACACAGACCCAGCAGCACCAACGCCGTAATCTTGCTCACGATAATTTTGCGCGATAATTGTTCGCGTCTGTGACCAAACCAGCCAATCACAACACTCTCCTCCCTGCTTGACTTTCAGTTTTCCACTGTTCCTGGCTGACGGCGGTCAGCCAAACAAAATGCTGTGGAAACGTAAAAACTCTGAATTGGCTGGGAGGAACGCGATTCAGGTCTCTGGGTTTGCCGGGCAAAAATGCTTCGCGCAGGCCACGCCTGCTTGACAGATGTCTGCATTGGGTGCACGAAAATCTCCGTCTAGCCTAGCACGACCGTTTCTTGCGGGTTGCTCGCGGGAGGTTCTTGCTCCGAGGAGGAATCTTGTGGGGCCAACATCATAGACATGCAAATTAGTCTGGTAACCCTATTCGATGGTATGCAAAACCGTCGATACCCCAGTTCTGCTGCGCAAAATTGTCTGGTAGCGCCACTCAAAACACTGTGTAACAGCTGACGCAGCACAGAAAAAAAAGAAAATATGTGATTGAATCAGTTGCGTTTTCGATTTCGTATCGTCGTGGTTCTTACCGCGTCTTGTTCGGCGCCTAACAAATATTCCTGCCGGCTACTATTTTCCGCTAAATGTGACGAAAAATCCACTGGAATGAAAGGCTACGGGGTCCATTTCGATAACATTAATTTGGACCAATATATTGCTACCGGGAAATGTAGGGGCAGGGCAGAAAAACAATAAAACCCCTAGGGACCTGGACGCATTTCTGGGAGGGATCAACCCTAAACACGGGAAAGGACATTGTTTTTAGGGTTGATGCCTCCCTGACGCATCCCTTTCCGATCGGGTTTTATTTTTTTCTTGGCCCGAAGAAATCACGTCTTAGCGCGAAGGCAAGCGCGGTAAAGATCAAATTTGAATTAAAAACGAACGCGCTTTCAGGGCAGCATGTCAATAACTTGCAAACAGAGGTAAGACGGTTTTGCATACCATTGGATAGGGTTACCACACTAATTTGCATGTCTATGATGTTGGCCCAATCTTGTGAGTCTGCCAGAACCACAGCGCGGCGGAACGCGTGACAGCAGTTCAAGGCATTTGGCCATGTACAGTATAAATCGCAGTGCTGAATTTTCCATCTCACAGATAGTTCCCCCAGTTCATGATTCCTTTTTCTCTAAAAGCCTTGTTCTCAAGCTCTTTGGTAGTTCTAGTCAGGCTTGGGAGCTCTCCAGACTCGCGTTTTGAGTCTACATGGCCGTATTTAATTCCCAGAGACTAGCTCTGAGGATCCACTGCGCGTAGAGGCAGTGCGGCCGAGCTGAGGTCATTCCTCGCTCGAAACGCCTCTAGAAGGCTTGCTTTCCCCTACAAGCCATCTTCTCACGATCTCCTGTTACCTCTAGTCGGTTTTGCGGGCTCTTCAGACGCTTTTTGAGCCTACATGGCCGTTCTTAATTCCCAGAGACTAGCTCTGATGATCCACCGCGCGTAGAGCCAGTGCGGCCGAGCTGAAGTCATTCTTTGCTCGAAGCGCCTTCGCGAGACTAGCCCCCTCGCCCTCTCGTCTTGGGCTGCGCACAAGCGCCTCTGGCTGATCAAGAGCCATGATTATGAAACGCGGCTTGTTCTGACCTCAGCTTGCGCCAGAAAGGCGCTTTTGAATGACGTGGTGCTGCATCTAGAGCAACAAAGACGGTAAGCGGCAGGTGAGGGGATGATGGGAATTGCGATATCTTGCTGTGTTACACTGTATCTGGCAGGGACGACACGCTGATCCATTCTGATCCGTTTTTGCCTATTCACGACGCCAAACATCAGGCTTCAGCGAGTAACTCCACATTTGCCGGAAGGCAGCAGGCTTTCATGCACGACACGGCGAGCCGACCAAGAATGTTACTAACGTGAACGTGCGATGATACCACGACACAGCGAGACGACCCACACTAGACCTTGACGCTTCAAAGATCCTCAACACTGCCATTGTGCGCAAGTCATGCTTGTGATTCACTACTCGCAACACGATCTACTGCTCGTTGCACCTTCCTCTCAGACAGGTGATGAGCGGATTCTTCGAGCTCGTCTCCCACGCGCGACATCGGCCAAGACAGGACCTCTAACGTCCTGGACATCATGCCATCTCCTCGCACGACGACCCGAGAAGTCAGCAGGCTTCACACTTTGCCGAATCATGCTAGACCAGTTTTCTCCATGGTCTGGCTTGGAACTCCATACTGACAGGTGATGACCAAATTCTTCGAGTTCGTCTGCCACGCGCGACATTGGCCAAGGCGGACCTCTAACGTCCTGGACACCATGTCACCTTCAGCACCGACTTTTCCAAAAAGTCAACAGGCTTCAGCTTTTCCCAATCACGTTGAACCAGCTTTATCTTCTGTCAGACTTGAACTCACCCCACAAGCAACCAAATCGAAATGTACTGAACATATTGCACATGGTTACAGGGAACCAACCGTTTTAGACATGTCATGAAACTGCATCAATGCTGTATCTGCATGCTTTCCTTGTTCTCTTCCTATGCATCTCGTTTAGCTTGCTTCTGTTCTCTTCGTGACCTTGCCTATTTAGTTCACAAGACAATAAGATGCTGTATGTATGTTTATATAAAGCAGGATATGGGTGGAGAAGGTTGCAGGTGAAGCTTCACTTCCGACGGCAGGACTCAGCTGGAAACCAGGATGGTGCTGGTGAAGATCTACTGGTGTTGGATTATAATTTATAGGTTCACTAGATTGGCTGTGCGTGATACTAGGTTTCTGATGCCATGAAACTAGGATGGTGCTGGTGGAGCTCTGCGTGTGTTGGATTAGAATCTCAAGGTCCAGTAGAATGGTTCTGCATGATGCTGGGTTTCTGATACCCTATTCCCAGGATATTCCCCCGTAGGAGTTTAGGAGTTTGGAGATTTTTGGAGGCCTATAATCGCGTGATAGGTTAGCCTCGTGAGAAATGCCATCAATGCCGCAAGTTAGTTCAATAGAGGGGAGAAAGAGGGCGGGGACTAAAATTGGGAAGGTGGTAATCACCCGTCTTGTTGCATGGATTGACTAGGCTATATATATTCTATATGTGGCCACAGAAGTGTTTGAAGCAACGCTGCACTCGAACCTCGTCAAAATTTGGGAACCACCACTGTGCACCCTTTCATCAACAAAACAAACATCCGCCAATCAGGTTCCCTCGATCCTTCCCCATCGATTTTCGCGCCAAGCCGTTCGGAGCCTCTCAGCCCTAGGATTCACGGGTCGTGAGCGGCCCACAGGGAATGGGTTTGGCTCGCACCACACACACGACGCCTCCCCGATACCGTACATCAGCAGACACTCCCTAGGAGAGATGCTATTCCAGCTGAGTCTCTAGCCATTTCCAAGGCTAATTGCGAAGATTAGTTTCCCATTCAGGCGCGGTGAATCTGCTTAGTTGATTCACTGATTCCTGACGAAAGGGTGCCGGCTCATTGCTGCACCCCTACGGCCGCCATGGCCTCCGTGATCTTCACCATCCCGATTGCCGTCAACTTCCTCGCATCAAGTCTCATAGTCACCACCATCCAGGTGTGCTTCTCAGGAAATCTACGGAATCTCGCAACCGATACTTACACCGTTCTAGGTCTCGCTCTCACCACGTCTCAACTGATGTATCCTCTCTTCGTTCGCGCTCCGTCATTTATCCCTAATTTTTTCCTTTCGTTCTCAATGTTTTCGCTTCGTTTCCGCAGATCGCGCTCTCCATTCTCGTATTCCCGATCAGCCCTCGCACGTACCGCGTCATCAATGCGTATCTCATGGGATCCTTCTGGGCCATGTTCATCTGGCTCATCGAGTGGTGGGGCCGCTGCGAGGTGCGTGCTCTTACCGATTCGCCGCTCTAAACGTGTGACTATATAGAGAGTTGCGAGGAAACGCTGCTTCCTCATGTTAGAACTCGTTGTTAACCCGAAATCCCTGACGGAAGCCTCGTATTCCGCTGTGCTCGCCTGTCACCGCCTTCCGCAGGTCCGGCTGTACGGCGATCCCAAGGATCACGCATATTTCGGTACGTTGTGAATTAATAAAAATCAAACACCTGACTATTTCCCACACGGGACGGGCATTGCGAAGAACACATCCCACGCTGCTGATGATCTCGATGTTCTCTGCATCTGCATATCCTTTCGCCACCTGCTCATTCCGCTCTTGCTGCTCGTGTCGCTCGCTGCTTCCTGCGCTGTCCGCTCGTGTTATCCGACAGGCACGGAAAGCGCGTTGTGTGTGAGCAACCACCGCAGCGACGTCGACTGGGCCATCGGCTGGCTTTTATCTCAGGTGGGTGTTTCTAGATCACTCTTACTATGCGTTCAATCTTTGGCTGCCTTCGGAGCCATTTTAGGAAGGTAACTAGTATAACCTTGTCATTTGATGCAAGCACGGAACCTTCACGGAGATGTCGAAATAAGAGCATTGAAACGATGCCAGGAATCAAATTTCGCCAGAATGGAGTCCACTCGCTCCCCTTCCCCCTCTCCCTCCCCTCATCTCCGTACCCTACTCTACCCTACTCCCTCTTTCTGCCTTTCTGTCCTCCTCCTGTCGGTTCCCCTCCTTTCTGTCCACCTCCTCTCTGGCCCCTTTTCTGTCCCCCATTCTCTGTCCCCCCTCTCTCTGGCCCCCCACGCGACTGCAGAGGTGCGGCTGTCTCGGAGGCACGCGAGCGCTGATCAAGGAGGAGGCCAGGTGGATGCCTGTGATTGGCTGGTC